ATACAGACATTTTTAGACTGATGTTTTACTTACTTGGAAGGAACATACATTGTATATTCCATTATTGGGAATCACAAGGTCAAGATCACTTGTGCTAGCAATAGATTATTTACACTCTTTTTATACTGCCTTTGTGTGTATTTTTTTTTTACAAAAGTCTCATACGGGGAACATACCTACAAGATGGCCCTTTAAGTTTGGATGGAGTTTAGAGTCACTGGGTTCAGAGTCAATGTCTTGCATTTATATATATTTAAATAAGTTAGTTAAATCTATGGCAAAAAATGACCCGTTTACGAGAGATATACATGACCGAAGATGATGAGCCAAAACATATGAACAATTCTGTTACTTTTGTACTCATTTAAGGCAAACTCTTGGCCTGTAATAAAGCTTATCAATTAATCAATTTCAAAATCTTTTACAGTTTGATTATGTAAAATCTTTCAAGTAGACATTTTTATTTGACAGGTCCTGTTTAAATGTACTTCAGTAATATTATTTTCATTTAATCATGTCACTTCTATTGAAAAAGACACATACTGGAATGATGGCACATGTATTTATAGCTAATAGATTATGATTATCTAATATATTTTAGTTCGGTTGTGCTGGAAACTGTAAGCTTATTGAAACGATGGAACCAACCAGTACTAAACAATGAGTGTAAAGTTTATTGCTGACGGACACAAAGGCTTGCCTTTAAGGGGGGTCGAACCAACGCAGCCAGCAATCCTTAGATTACTAGTCCAACCCTCGCCGACACTCTATACATTGTATTTCTAATATTTCGTTATTTCATTATACTTGTTATTTTCCCTCTTTTTTAGGTTTTCGTCGTACCAACACAGTATAGGTCATATAACAACTTTCCAGCTTTACTTTGCTTCTCGTCAGGGAGATAATTCCCACTTATCTGTCATTGTTCATGCGTAGTTTTTCCCCTTAGATTATTATAAAAACACGGGTCTTTATTGTCAACTTAGGTCCGTGATAAAAGTCGTTAATCAAGAACACATCTTTTACAGGTCGTCTGATTAGCTCAATAGGTACAGCGTTGGACTATGAAACGGGTTTGACTCCAAGACTGTGCAGGTCACCTTCATTGTGATTGATCATGAAATCATTTCTACGGTTATTCGCACCACAGACACTTAGGGTCTGGACCTCAAAACACCTTTAAAGTCCAAATAAAATGTATATTTGTCAATCCCAGCACATGTACTTATCATATATACCACAAGGCCGTCGTCGATGGTCCGGCCGGTCCGGCCTTGGCCGGACCAATATTTTGGCCAAAAATGAGTAAAAAAAAAACAAACAAAAAACACGCATCGCTGATAAGCAATTTGACACTTGACTGGCCCCTTATGCAATGCGCGGTAATATACAAACTTGACGTGCAGAAACAACTGGACACTGTTAATTGACCAGGTATATGTAGGAGTCCTACGAAGTCAAGTGTTAAGTTATCTTAATTGGCATTAATTGACATCGACGTGGCTTCGGACAGTTCACAGTATATATATATATATATATATATATATATATATATATATATATATATATATATATATATATATATATATATATATATATATATATATATATATATATATATATATATATATATATATATATATATATATATATATATATGTTTATTTAAAATATAACATCACAATTCTCAAAAATTTGCTTCAGTTCACATACAAGTATCTTAATATGAATAGCTTAAGATAGCAAACTATCATTATGTGTGACACAATTCCATCGGAACCAAATCAACCAATATCATTTTCGTTTCCAAAACGAACATTTGTGAGTACATTTTTTCATCAATGTTATATATATTATGATATAACAAAACCGGCAACCGTGTTATGGCCTCCAATCGATCTTGCCATGGCCAGTGTTAAAGAGAGATTTGACCAACCGGTCATCCCGTATTTCAGAACGTGGAGGATTTACATACTAAGGTCGCACAACCTTTGAAGACCGAGTACACTAGAGAACTTGGTTTTGTTTGAAATTCCTATAGTAACGACATTAACCGAGACATCTTAGAGGTGCAGCTAAGGCCTTACCTGCTACGTTCACATTTTGACAAATCAGAAAATAGTACTGTTACTCTACCTGACGTTTTGAAATTTGTGTCAGAACAGTCAGTGCTAAAACGAGCACTGTTCTCTGAGGTCGTTGTGTTGTTTAAGATTTTGTTAGAAATGCCTGCTACTAATGCTACAAGTGAAAGGACATTCTTGGCGCTCAGAAGAAGAAAGACATACCTGAGATCGACAATGTCTCAAGTACGTTTGAACAATCTAATGGTGTTACATATTCATAAGTACAGGACAGATTCACTTAACTAACGTGTTATTGCCGATGAGTTCATTACCACCAGAGAACGATGGCGATTTGTTTTTGGAAAATTTACATAAAATGAAACTCTGTGTTGTGTAAGATTATTGTGAACAAAATACAAGTTACTGCTAAACAGAAAGTGGTTATTAGTGACTCGTAATGTACTATTCTTCCATCATGTCATCAATTGATATTTAAGCCTATACCATTGTGTGATTTATTAAACAATAATCCACGTACTGTAATATTTCTTGTATTTGTTTATTTATGATTATCAGATAAAAATGCATCTAAATAATTATAACATCAGTTATTGTTTATGTTTCATTTGCCAAATATCAATTACATGTACTGTATTCATTTTTATGTACACCTGTCCGTCCGTTATGCGAACCTTAAATTTCACCCTTAAAACTTACGGCGCACTTAAAATTGTAAAAAATCGTTGACATATATTACTATAACATGCACTAGCGGCAGGCTGTAAACTGTGCCAAATATACGGGAAAACGCCCCTGAGAGCATCCTAGAATAAAAAAATTTCCGGGGGAGCATGCCCCCGTACCCCCCTAGATTCTGGTTCAAACCAACAAAGTTGGTCGCACCAATCACAAAATCGTGACGACGGGCCTGTACCATTAAAGCATTAAACTTAACATAAGCTGTTTTGAAAAACAAGTAATATTTCAATGTCTAGCCTAATTATTTTGACGATTTGAAATATGATTTTGTTTCAAAACACAGTGTCTGTGATTCGCACTATACCTCTGCTCTGGCATGTACAGAAATTATCAGTTCCTTGCAAAAGTGAAGGCAATTAGTAATTATTATAAGATCCACGGCAACGTGTAAGACGGCAAGTTCGCATATTCTCTACAGCTCTGTGTAAAGTTTAAGGTTTAGTTTGTATACATAGTATGAGTTAGCTGCCGATGTCCCAACTAAAACTGATATGTGAGTGACCCTAACAGTTTCTGTTTTGTGCCTTAACGGACGGGTGGGCCCTCATTAAGCATATCTACATCTACATTATACATGTACTAACGATTACACTAAGCAGGCACCGTTGTCTGGGAATAGCTGTTAAAACAAATGTGTTTTAAAAGTGCAAATTTATAGGTGTAAGATAAAAGCAAGTTAAAAGAGAATTACAAGACTGAGATAAAAAGTTAATAGCAAAACTGACTTAGAACAGTTTTACTGGTAAAAAGGATGCAGCTGCTTGTAAAGAGGTCTAAACTGGGACTAGCTTGTAAGGACACGGGTAGGCCATTTCATAGACGAATACTTCTAGGGGAAATGAATAGGATTGGTATTGTGTCATTTGAGTATGGTATTAGGTAGTTCCGGTTTCTAGTGGGTGTTTGATGGTGATGGTCAACCCTCACAAGATTGTGTTGGATTTTGTAGAGTAGGGTAACAGAGCTGATGTTGAGCCTCTGTTCTAGGGTTTGCCAATTAAGTTCACTTAACATTTTAGATACACTACTGGTGTTATTGTAGTCGCTGTATACATATCTGGCAGCTGACCTTTGAACTTGTTCTATTTTGTAAACCAGATATTTTTGCCAAGGATGCCAACCCGTGGAACAGTATTCTTACTGGGGCCTGACATAGGTTTTGTAGGCAGTTTCTTTAACCTTTTTGTTTGAAGTGTTGACTTTTCTTTTTATAAATTTGAGTGAATTATTTGCTTTTGCTGTTATTTATATGATTGGTCCAAGATAGGTCTTTACTAATTGTTACACCTAAATATTTTGCAGCCTTAGAGGATTTTAGTTGTTGACCATGTAAATTATAAGGGAATTTCTTGCGGCTGATACTAAGGACTTCACATTTAATTGGGTTTAAGTCCATGGACCAATCAGATTCCCTGTTTTCAAGACTGTTGAGATCTTTTTGAGGGTATGTGCATCTTGGTTGATTTGATTGTTAGATATACTATTGTATCGTCTGCAAATAGTTTAACCTTGCCCTTAACACTATCAGGGAGGACATTTATGTAAGGTAAGAAAAGGCAAGGTCCCAGGACCGAGCCTTGGGGAACACCAGGGAGGACAGGTTAGTTGTCTGAGTTTTGACCATCAACAACTATACCTGTTGGGTGCGACCATATAAAAATGACCTTGTCCATGTGACCACAGATATATCTTTTACTATATACTTTTTAACAAATCAATAACAATAGATCGTGTGTAATCCACCTAGACTAAGTAAACTCATAGATATAAAAGTAAACTGTACATATTTTTTTCAAGTTGATTCTGGTTGTCAGATCATAATTATAATAATGTCATTATGTAGAAAATACATTTAGACAGATCTGAAATAGTCAAATAAATACATTTGTTACTCATTTTACATAGACCTATCTATCTCTAAATACTGCTAGTGTTATAGGCAAAAATTGAGTGGATTAAATCCTCCATCAAATGTCACGCGGTAGGATTATTTTTAATTCGTAATAATGAATGGTTTCGTGGCAGTTTCATATTGTGATAAATGGAGCAAGTAGTCTTTGTGTAGTCTTGTGGTGTTTTGTGGTAGTCTTGTGGTATATTGGGGTAATTAAACCCTACTTTGCATGTTATCTCCCTTGGTTTAGAACTCTTGCATGCGGAGAATGCTACTGGTTCCACGCGCAAAGAACGAGTAACAAGAAAACATTTAACATAAACGGGAAAAAAAAACAAAAGGCACACACGGCAAAATAAAAATAGCGAAAATCATGACTAAAGATTCTAAAAAGCATGGCAGTGCCAAAGATGTGGTGTCACAAAAGGTAATGAATTTAAAAAATCTACGTAAATTGTGTGTATAAAGTGTATAGAAATTTTAATAGTTGGTGGGGGACGGCACAATCGGAGTCTCATAGTCATAATTTTTCCGCGGTATAGGGACCGGCGGTATATTACATGAAATCTGTTAAATTCACACTACAAAGGTAAGGATCGTAAAGTTTTGGGAAATGAGCATAATGTAGATGTATTGGAAAGCCCGATGTATCTATTGTAGGAAAGATCCGTTAACCATGTCAATTTTTCCATTATTGTTTACATGCGACAATCGTTTTTTTTCTGCTAACCAATGTCCACTGGCTGACCTGGAATCGTGTACATATGGGTTGGATGTGAACCTCAATAAACAAAAATTAAAACTAGAAAAAAAGTGCTGCTTCATTCTTTAATGTAAAAACAATGGAACAAACTTGTCAATTTCCATTTACAAATTGATTTGGACATAGGGTCCGTCCACTTTTTGTGAAGAAACTTAGATGTTCAGTCCTAAACAGTTACAAAATTTCTTCCTGCGCCAATAGTATGAGTGAATGGTATGAATCGCAGTCGGCAAAAGTTCCAGTCCACTGTTTGTTTTTGTTTTCTTTTGTTGTAGAAAAAGAGTGATCATGATGAATATGTTGATGATGATATTGTGGTATATTTTTGTTTATAAATATTGTATTCATTACTTGTTCAATGTTACTAGTTATTATTTATCGTTAGCTTTACTTTTTCAAACAAAAAATTTTGAGCTATTGCTAAAGTCATGGTGTTGTTGCAGTTGCCGCCCACAAGCATTATCATTGGACATTATTTTGAGCTTCACTTTTCAAAGAAAAAAAGTGAAGAAATTGTCATGTTCCTTCTTTGCTTGTCACAGTATTGGTGTCGGCGTCGGTTAACCTTTCTGTTGCCGTCCGTTTTCCCAGAAACTATGAATGCTATTAAGAATTCTCTTCATACTTAGTGTACATGTCATAAGGGAATGCCATTTCAAAGGCTAATAATCCTGAAATTATTTTTTTTGTGCAAATCACATTTTTGTTAAGGTCCATTTTCTGAGATATTAGTTATCAATGTAAATGTTAATATTAAAAATATTTTATTATTGTCAATCAATGTATTCTTGATGACTAGAGTCAGGATCAGGCCCATTTGTGTTTATCTAGGATAATGTTCTTGTTTTTCACTATTTTTTGTCTTTTTTCTTTATTACATTTTGCAAAACTTGACCACTATGTTTTTTGTTCATTTTATATTACTAAATTTGTAAAATTTACATGATTTTTGAAACGAATGAACAATTTCATATAATTCCAAATAATGATGCATTATGTATTTAAAAATCAGAAACGAGACATTTTACAATCTTCTTTACCACTTCTGCTGCATATAAGTTACAAAAAGCAATAATTTTAAAATAAATCTTTAAAAAACAGATTTTCTATGATTCGAACTTGCAACTAAGTGATTACAATTTAGTTGTAATTTTGTATTTACAGTTAGGGCTATTGGGCAGTAATTATAAATTAAAGTATTAGAAGAACTTTACTATCATTATAAACCAATTCTTAAATTGTAATAAATTATAGAAACTTAGCAAAAAACATCCCTTAAACTTATAAATCATTATAAACATCATTATCATACTGCCTGAAGCAATAAAAGCCTCTATTTATGTTTTTGCATTTGGTAATGAGAAATAGCTTTTGCCCTTGTTCGTACTAATTGGCTCCAGTTTTAGGAATAAACACTGTTTTCAGGGTTATTCATAACATTCAGTGTTCATTCTAGTTTTACTTGATAACTGAAAATCAGTTGAATTTGTTGATAATTTCTAATGTAGATGTTTATGCTTTTTACATTTCAGGTACAAGAATTCAAAGACACTTTCAAGTCAGAGGTGAGCATAATTTTGTTAAGCATTTTCTTACTTAGTATCATAAGGATAATTGATATAAAACATGTTTCAAACAAGTTTCTTGAATGGGTCTCCCCTCTAAATTTAAAGATTGTTTTCTAATACATGTATTTAAAGTCATTTTCATTAAGGCTTGTATTGCCACGCCTTTGTGGTGCTCTTATTTTACAAAAAAAACATAGTTACTGGTTTATTACTCTTTAACAAGACAATGGTATTATGGATTGTAATAGTTTTACTGGTTTATTACTCTTTAAGAAGGCATTGAATTGTAATAATTTTACTGGTTTATTACTCTTTAACAATGTGTTGAATTGTAATAATTTACTGGTTTATTACTCTTTAACAAGGCATTGACTTGTAATAATTTACTGGTTATTACTCTTTAACAAGGCATTGACTTGTAATAATTTACTGGTTTATTACTCTTTAACAAGGCAAAATAAAATAAAGGTCAAGTTCAAATTTGACTTTTCACACATGATTATTCAGAGTTATAGTTAATAGTAGTTTTAGATGGAAAGTAGTTGAAGTAGTTTGGTTGGGGTTATGAATCACCTTAATTGATAGCTTTATTATTTTTTTCAGGGAGAACATTTAGTAAAAACAGTGTTTCCACAGAAGATCATAGAGTTAGAAGAAATACACAAGGTATGTACTTCACTATAAATGTTCCATTTAAAACAAGTGATGGGGCTTCTGTGGGGAAGTGGTCAAGGTAGTTGACTTTAAATCACTTGCCCCTCACCGCTATGATTCTTTCATGTGAGGAAGTTATCCAGCTAGCTTACAGAGCGTCGATGATTCTACTCGAATGCCCATTTATGCCTGAATTAATGCAAGGAAGGGCATGTGAGTTTTTACTCCACCAGAAAAGCTGGAAAGTCGCCATTTGACCTACAAGTAAACTGTGTCAGTGCGATTTAAAACCCATCTTTAAAATAAACAACTTATTAAACTAGTTTTGCATGTTGACGTTTGCACATTAATTTTAAGGGTCTATCATTTACATTAATTAATATCAAACAAAAAGGTTTGATAATGATAAGATGGCCAGGGCCATTGGCACTCTTATTTACAATAATCATGAATTTTCGTTCAAATATTTGCAGAGTTTGAGCCTATCAAAGTTGTCAGAAGTTCACAGTGACTTGAATATACCTGTACCAGAGGCAATTCATCTTGACAATGGAAATGATGAGGTAAAAAGTTTATATGTCAATTGTTTTTCTTGCAAAGTAATTTGTAAATAATGGTTAGTTATCTAGGAAAGCTGGTTAGATGAACCAGTCGCTAAAGGGATTTGACTTAACTGTGTTAAAAGCAGTGTAAAAACCAAACAAACATTTCATTATTCTTGCAAGTAAGTGGATTAGAGCTGTAACTTCATGTAATAAAATCAAATTAATGTGTTCAATAGGTCATGACATTATCAACTTATATAATTGTGTTAACAGTTTTTCTTTACTGAGTGAATGTGTAAATCTTTACTGACAACAATTAGGGCCAGAGACATATGTGTTTACCATTATTTATCATTTTGTAACATTTAAAATTTTCTTTAATCATACAATGTTTAAACAAAAATTTTCATTGATAATATTTTTTAACAAGAGCAAAACGTTTGTGATTTTAAACAAGATATCCAAACCACTTGTTGGATTTTGACAAAACTTGATCTTTAGGAGGCACTTTACAAAAGTTATAAAAATGGTTCCAGTCTTATGTATAAGTAGGTTACAAGAGCTAAAAATAGACTTAAAAATAAAAACTTGGATCAAAAGTGACAACATATTGTGATTAATAACTGACTTTTGCATGACCTGTTTTAGTAATGTATCTAAGGTGAGCGACCTAGGGCCATCACTGCCCTCATTTTTAATTTCCTACTGTGTATATTATATATTTAGTTCATAAAACATAACAAAACATATGAACTTTATTGATTATAAATTATTAGATAATACAATATCCTCATTAATTTTTCAGCCAGCAACCAAAAAGAGAAAACATGACCATTCAGTACAAGGTAATCATTAAGACTGTTAGTGTGTGATTTAACTTGTTGAGTAATATGAACCAGTTGCTTTTAAAATTTATGCAATGGATAGTTATGGTGCAAATTGGTCTATTTAAAGTAATTTTTAGCTCGACTCTTCGCAGAATAATCAAGCTAATGCAGTCACCTATTTGTCGGCATTGGCGTCCCTTTGGTTAAGTTTTTGCTTGTATGCTGGTATCTTCATAACTATTGATGGGTTTGTGCCTTTTTTGGGACAATTTTATGCATTCATAATAATATAGCAGTGATTTACTTGATAAAACATCTTAATAACAAGCCTTTGTACCTTTTCGGAAAATTTTATGTATTCATATAGGTAAGCATTATCATACATGATGAAACACCCTTGTGACAACTATTCGAATAGTCGAGCGTTACTCTCCACCGACAGTTCTTGTTATCTTTTCTGTTTCGAAAAATGGTCAAGCTTTAATGATCGCTGTGGCATCGTTGGTGTTGTCGTCATTGTCGTTGTTGTCATGCAAAAACTTTAATGTAGCCCATTATTCAAACATTTTATAAGTTACATGAAACATGGAATACTTGCTTATCATGACAAGGTACAGCTGTAATACAAGAGGCATAATTCTGAAAGCAATAATTTTTTTAGTTATGACCTTTTTTAACTTGGAATTTTTAATAGACAAGCGTTAACATGGCATGCAGTGCTCTTGTTAAGCTCCCATAACAGAAAGCTTATACTGGTAGTCGTGGCCTTGTCCATCTTGGCTGCTTTAACTGAATGGTACACCATCCAACTTTAAACAAAAGAGAACAATAGACTTCATTCATTTACATTAGAAAGAAGAAGCCATAGCATTAAAAGAATATAGCAAACAAAAATATGACTCCATATTCCAGTTATATCTGGGCAAACATCCAATATATCATTTAGATGTTCTTACAAAATATTTCTTGTACAAAATGCTCAGATAGTTCTAAGTGATGCAGCATGAACATAAATACGGTAAATAATAATATTTTGTTCTAGAACATTTGATTATCTGCTATATATAAATATGTCATATCAGATCATGTATCCACAAAATTATTTATGGGATTACATATCTAACATTATGCACCACTTCACTTTAATAAAAAAAAATGTGTATTTATTTTATAGGAACAGAAGTTTTAGCATTACCAAATGGACCATGTCCAATAAACAAAAAGTTGTGTGACATTTCAGAACAGTTAAAACCCTACATAAGAGATTTGATAGATCACTCTAACACTGTAAGTATAATACCTATAATACTTCACCATACTATAACACAATATGCTGCATGTACTTATAATACTTTACCATACTATAACATAATATATGATAATTATTTGATTTGTTACTTTGTAGGGACATTGCCCATGGCCAGTAGATGTGGCCTTTCGGTTTTGTGGCCATTAGGTCAAAGGTTAAGGTCATAGTGATACTGTAAAGTCATTGTCCAATCAATAACTTGAGAATGATTTATTCTAAATTTGGGAAACTTGAAAGAGACATCGTACTTGACTTTTGGGACATATAATTGAGAAACTTACAAAAACCGTAAATTTACACAAACTTGGTGACAGTGTTTATAACCATGCCAAAATTAAAAATGCAAAACGTGTTTCATGCCTCCATTTATTACTTGCAGTTAAAGTGCCTGTGCCTATGTTTTAGTGGAAGTTTTAAATATTTGAATACACAAAATCAACTAAAGATTCAAATTGAAATGCTAAATTTTGTATATGTTAAGCCAGAGGCCTTATGGGAAAAAATGATGTGTTTATAATGTGTTTCATGACTTATATTTCAGATAAAAATGTGGATATCATTTTTAATACCAAAAATAGAAGATGGCAATAATTTTGGAGTCTCTATACAGGTAATTAAACTATTCTAATCTCAAGCTAACAAGAACAAGATAAGCTATTAGAACAGTGTGTATAGTCTGGTGCCGATTTTCTGGCATCAATTAATGCTTGTGCTGCTTTTGTAACTCTGTACAAAAAGGTATTGCATGGCAGTGCATATATTTTGATGTGATGTCATTTAGGTTATACAAACATAGTGTAAAGACTAAATGTTCGCTTGCACTGTAGGCACATGGATGAAAGAAGGATTCTTTTTCACTTAAACAGTCTTTAATTTGGGTATGTGATGAATATAATACTATATTCGTGCAGGTTCATTAACTGAATTTATAGATTAAATTCAGCATTCGACTTACACTCATTTGATATCCTCTATTTAGTGTTCATTGATGATCGATTCTAGTCATATTTTCTTTAAAGACATATAGACATTTACCAAAATGAACACTACATAATACAATTTATTTAAATGTCGCATGCTATCAGAATATGATAACAGAAACATTTTTTGCGAATAAAGTTCTAAGGTTATGCAATATTTTAAGTTAATTCTTTTATGTACTTTTTGTTTCAGAAGAGCCAAGGAATTGCCCTTGTTAATGCGTTTTGATCTTGAATTCAATGTTTAGAAACTCTGGTTATTGCTTTCATATACATTGTATAATAAACATGTACTAAATTTAAATTTTTATCACTTTAGGAGGAGACATTAGGTGAAGCACGACAGGTGGAGAGTGAAGCTGCTACGTACCTCGACCAGATTTCTCGATATTTCATCTCAAGAGGCAAACTTGTATCAAAGGTTGCCAAATACCCACATTTGGTATGTACTTTATCATCATATTGTATCATAGTTTGGGAAGCTTTCTGTTGAAAACGTGTCAGAGTTAAATCGTATACATATACATGCACAGTGCGTTAACTGGAGTGCGGGTATTAGTTACCCGCACTCCAGAGCATGCCCATTGATTGGCTCATTTTTGCTGGGGTTTACATATTGTGACGGCAGAGAAAGGGAAAGCGACAGAAATGTCATATTCAGATGTTCGTTCATTGGTTCATTTTTGCCGGGGTTTCATATTGTGACAACAGGGAACGTGCTTTTATGTTTGACTATGATACAAAAGAGAAAGAACACCAAAACACTCGACAATCTGATTAATACTCGGGGGCTACGCCCCCTCGTACAAATCAGATAGCCTCGTGTTTCGGTGCTCTTTCTATTACTTATTGAATTGTACCATAGTGACAAAAATTGAACATGTAATTTATGTTGCTGTCAGATTGTGTGAGTTTAGAAGTTCACCACAAGTAATTTGATACATGTTTTAAAAAAAGCTGTAGTATGGCCATCTTTATACTGTTGGCTGTACAAAATTCTTTTATCTAGATATTATTTTAAAGTGATTTATTAAATGAATTATCCATTCAATAGTTCCAAAAATGGAGGCAGGACAAGTCCATTTAAGAAATTCAGCAAGTTATGGGTTAAAATTTAGTGTACAGTGAGTTCTTGGTTCCATGAAGACTTGTTAAGATGTTAAGAATGAAAATATATTTGATAGTTGCCTTATCTTATTCTATCATGTGTATAACAGTCATTGAATTTAGCACTGGCCCGGTGGCCCATGGACAATGAAAATTAGTTCGGGCCAGTGAAAATTATAAGAAAATTTAGTTAAATATATAGTAGAATAAATTCAAAACTGAATTTTGGCCAGTAAATTCAAAATCTTAAATTCATTGACTGTGTAATTGAGACAGTAGATTAATCAAATATTATAATACAGGATGACTATAGACAGTCAGTGAGAGAACTTGATGAGAAGGAATATTTCAGTTTGAGACTAACCAGTGCAGAATTACGCAACCACTACGTAAGTAATTTACTAATATCAAGTTTTACAGTACTACAGTAATGCATTCTTACATACAACATTATGAATGAAGTACTTAAAGATTTAATGATTTAGATATATGGGTTATTATAATCTTTATGATTATATAAATGAATGTCTCATAAATGTAATCCGAGTCTGTCATACGGTCATAAGTAGCTTGTCTTGGGTGTCACTTACTTAACATAAGACATGTAAAGTTAAAGTAAACATGTCATATCCTCAGAAACTACAATGAAGAGGATATATCTTTAGTTTCTGCTAGCAACTTCAATTTACTTTGTTCCTATGCCGAGGCACGTGCCTTGTGTGTTACCAATAAGTTAAAGATAAATTTATATCACTTTCTTAATCTGTAGCAAAAATGTTGACAATGTTAAATCTACTTGTTTCTGTTTTAATATTGCACATACGATTTAACTTCTTATGGAACAATTTTTATATCGTCATATTGTTGTATTGTTTCAGGCCAGTTTACACGACTTGATCATGAAGAATTTTGAGAAGATATTAAAGCCAAGAAATGCGAATGCAGAGGCCCTGTATTAGAGAAGAGATTCAAGATACTTCTCTTAGTTTACTATAACCTGATTACATGAATGTTTCTGTCAACACATGATATATTCTATTTTTAGCTTGACCTTTTTCAAAGGAAAAAAAACGAGCTATGTCTACAGTCATGGTGTGGTTAAATGTTCTGATGTCCTTAAATTTTAGGTCAAATTATTGCATTTTCATTGATTTTTTACTGTTATTGTCTATAAATTTGTACTTTAAGATTGAATTGTATTCATACTTTTTGATTTAACTTGACCTTGACCTTTATTCAACCTTGACATATAGTGTCAAATTTTTAAATTTATCTTTATTTATGTACAGATTTGATGAATGCTTTGACAAACCAATGTTTGTGACTAACTGAGCCTTTTGAATAACTTAAATATATGACCTTTGTTAAGAAAAATTACAGATATGTGAAATGACCTTAACTGTCAAGTCTAGTATGAAATTTATATTAGATTTAGGTAAGGTACTTTTCATTGAAAATCTTCACTACAATATTTTTCTTCTGAGAAGATTGCCTTTGGAATAAGAAATAGTCGATCATGGCTCCTGCTAGGTGGTGGCTCGGTGTTGATTAATATAATCAAATGATTCAACAGTGTGATCAGGTTATAGGTTTATAACATCAGAATTTGTAGCATTTATTTGTAAAGCTATATAAGAATTGTCAACTTTATTTTACTGTACTATTAAAACGTTAAAGCAGTGTCACTTGCACTTAATGCATTTCTTCAAAAACAAGTAACAATGGCTTATTGGTGCTAAGTTTGAGTCAATGAATAATAGTGCTTATATTTCAGTTTTTATTTTGTTTGTAATTCTAAGACCTTACACAGGTATTGATCTGACTACTTTAACACAAGTACTGATCTGAATATTAAACACAAGACCTCTTAGAATGTTTACCTTAAAAGTTATTTGATTTTACTACTCATTCATTGTAAATAAGACAACATTTATGTTTAAATTTCACATAAATCATTTTCATTCACATGGTTTTGTTCTTTTTTTATAACCCTGAGTGATGAAACATGTAAGGATGACCCAGTTCAGATTTTAATTAAATGGAGAGATGTCAAAATCATAATGTCATCAGACAGTGTCTGAATGGCTTTTTTACGCGGTTTTTAGCCCGCCTGAGCATTTTGTGCCCAAAGGTGAGCTTTTGTGAGAGCAATGTGTCATTGCCAGCAACCATTCCTCATTATTCAAAATTTCTTTAACAACATCTCATAACCAACAGCTTATAAACATCCAGGTGGATTCTGACCAAATTCTACAGGTATGATCCTTAGATGGCAGCAGGCCTACAAAAGTTATATCATCTTAATATTTTAGACAATATGTCATGGTTTAAATAGACATTTGTCGAAAATATTAAGATGATTTTCATTTTGTTCTTAACAAAAACAACTGCACAGCAATATGCTTGGCAAAACAATGTATCAGAAAAAGATTTAAAAGTGATGTAGCATGCTGTTACAAATACGCAGAAGCTTGGATATGATTAAAAGGTTCATTATGTGTAAAAATTGTAATATTTCATTCCATAGTTTACTGTTAGTTTCAAAAATGCTACTCATATGCCATATACCTAAGCCATTTTGATTAAAACGAGCTGTCGGGAGGACAGCAATGCTCAACAATTCGAAAAGTTATCAAAAGGGTGTTTCATTGAGTATAAAAATGCTTGACTATATGAATACATAAAATTGCACCAAAAAGGAACAAAGGCTTACTATTAAGATGTTTTATCGAGTAAATCACTGCTTTATTATTATAAATACGTAAAATTTTTACAAAAAAAGGCACAAACCCTTGAGTAGTTATGAAGATACCAGCTTACATGCAAAAACTTAACAAGTTAAAAATGGGGCTTAATTATGCAAAAGAGCAAATCAGAGTTATGGGACTTGTGCCAATCATGTTAGATAATCACAGAGAACAAGTGTGTGAAGTTTCAATCCATTCCCTTCGGTAGTTATGGAGATACCAGCTTACACATAAAAACTTAACCAAAGGGACGCCGACAAATGGCTGACTGCATTAGCTCAAGTATTCTGTGAATAGTCGAGTTAAAAATTGTTCATGAACAACGTAGTCAAATGTATTATGTTTCTCCGAGTAACTGTAAGCTTGGAGGTAGGGGTGTGACATGTACCATATTTGGACCAGAAGTACCCCCCGGTTAACATCTCTAAAAGACAAAGGCGAGGATCAATGACCACCAAATATTCCAAAACCGTCTAAAACAAGAGAGAAACAGCCTATATTACTGTGTCCTAATTGGAAAAGCCGAGGACTACAAATCTAGATTCATACTTACCTGTTAATAAAAGTAAGTGTGGCTCAAAATATTACAGACAATGATGAGCTAATTAACATAATTATATTCTTGTCCTCTTTTACCTTTGCATTTACATGAGGATGCTCACACTTCAAAACGTCATTCAAGTATTATGTCATCTTGTCGAGAACCCCTATATGTATGGCCTCCTGTGATAGAAATCAAATAATCTCAGATTCATTGTCCTATTATGTGAAATGTTATTCAACTTGATAAAGGAATAAAAGGATGGAAAAAAGTTACATATAACCATGGCTTATTCCATCTAAAGTTATTGGTCAGACAAGAAAGAGGTTACATACATACTGCATGACCTTGTCACTGTATGGTGCATAAAGATTTTTTTTATTATTTTCCCATTGATATCAATATTCTTTTTTAGGAAACCTAAACATGCACTTTTAGATACGTCAGATAACTGGGTCCTAGGTGTCCTAACTATTAATTGTCCTATAAACAACAGTTAACTTAACCAATAAATAGCCACACGATGACTACCTTCACGTAGGTAATTAGTATCACCGTGGAAAAGTATACTATTTCATTTTTTTGTTTTACTAAATATCTTATATACAAACAATTTTCATAAGGCCTTTCTATTTGAGATACTTGTGGTCTAACACTGCATCTCTTAATGTTCCTTAATACGAATAGCAATGCTACATGCCAAAGATCTATGTATTCAGCATTGGAGATAATGCACATTTAACCTCTATTTGGTAAAAAAATATACAATCACTTTAAGGGGCAGTAACTCTGTTACCTTTCACTGGATTAAGTCCACATTAGTACATGTCAAACTTTGGTTGAAACTAGAAGGGTTTTTTGTCACAAAAACATGTCTCCATAAACTATGTACGGTCACTCATGTGAAGTTTCATTGAAATCTTGACCTGTGAAAGTCGGACAAGAATTTTCTATTTATAGCTCTGATGACCACTTTGTGCAATGAAGCGGAATGTGCCAGTATTCTGCACAACTAAGGATGGTACTGATCACTCCTGTAAAGTTTGGTTGAAATCCCACCAGTAGTTTGACCTGGAAAGGCCGGATAAGATTTTTTTCTTCTATTTTTAGCTCTGATGGCCCTTTTGTGCAGTAATATGGAACATGCCAGGGATGTGCAAAACTATGGATGGTTCTGATCACTCCTGTAAAGTTTGGTTGAAATCCTACCAGTAGTTTGACCTGTGAAGGCCGGACAAGATTTTTCTATTTTTAGCTTTGGCGGCCATTTTGTGCAGTGAAGTGGAATGTGCCTGTAATGTGCACAACTAGAGATGGCACTGATCACTCCTGTAAAGTTTGGTTGAAATCCCGCCAGTAGTTTGACCTGTGAAGGCCTGACAAGAGTTTTTTATTCTTAGCTCAGGCAGCCATTTTGTGCAGTGAAGTGGAATGTTTCCGTAATGTGCAAAATAGGGATGGTTCTGATCACTCCTGTAAAGCTTGGTTGAAATCCCACCAGTAGTTTGACCTGGAAAGGCCGGATAAGATTTTTCTATTGTTTGCTCTTGCGGCCATTTTGTGCAGAGAAGTGGAAAGCGTCAGCGATGTGCTAAACTAGGGATGGTTCTGATCACTCCTGTAAAGTTTGGTTGAAATCCCAGCAGTAGTTTGACCTGTAACAGCCAGACAAGATTTTTCTATTGTTTGCTCTTGCGGCCATTTTGTGCAGAGAAGTGGAAAGCGTCAGCGATGTGCTAAACTAGGGATGGTTCTGATCACTCCTGTAAAGTTTGGTTGAAATCCCGCCAGTAGTTTGACCTGTGATGGCCATAATAAGAGTTTTTTATTCTTAGCTCAGGCAGCCATTTTATGCAGTGAAGCGGAATATTTCCGTAACGTGCTAAACTAGGGATGGTTCTTATCACTCCTGTAAAGTTTGGTTGAAATCCCACCAGTAGTTTGACCTGTGAAGGCTGGACAAGGTTTTTCTATTTTTATCTCTGGTGGCCATTTTGTGCAGCGAAGCCGAACGTGGCGATGATGTGCACAACTACAGTTGTACTGATCACTCCTGTAAAGTTTGATTGAAATCCCACCAGTAGTTTGACCTGTGAAGGCCGGACAAGATTTTTTTCTTTTTGGCTCTGGTGGCCATTTTATGCAGCGAAGCGGAACATGCCGGTGATGTGCACAACTAGAAATGGTAATGATCACTCCATTCAAGTTTGGTTTAAATCTCACCAGTTGTTTGACCTGTGAAGGGCGGACAAGCTTAATGCGGATGGACAGACAGACGGTGAAGGCAAAAACAATATGTCTCCCAAAAATTTTGGGAGGCATAATAAAATGAAATACAAAGCACAATGAAAACAGAAAAAAGTATTTTACTGTTTTTATTTTGTCTTTTTTTTTTCATATTTTTCTTCTCCCTCAACAGCTCTGAAATCATTAGTGTCAGTATACAGTCAATATTTGTTCCTGCTTACTTTGGTTTTAAAAAATATAAAAACAGAAATGTTTTACACATTGAAAATTAAAAGCTCTGTACTCTGAAGCAATAAATGAAAATGTAAATTATAAACTGAAATTTTCCCTTTGTTGAAATAAAATTAGGTTGTCAAGGGCTACCAAGAGGCAATTTGGTAAAGGTAGCTTTTTCAGGCCCATTTTTGGTGAGGGCAAACCTAACAAATCAAACATTCTTAAAAGTACTTCCTATCAACAATACAAAGTATGATTGATATATGTTTTGTCTTTTTATGAATAACAAACATTTACTATTTTTTATGTAATGTTTACCAAAAATTTTTGTGTTGTATTATACTTTGGGATAATGTGAAATGGTTTTTTACAAAAATTTTTTAAGACTGGGCTTATGGGGGAAAATATTTTTAAAATTTTTATTTTTACTTATTTGATTGGGGAAATAAATTATGTCATCCAAAAAAACGTCAAATTTTAAGTTAATAACCCTTTTAAACTTGAAAAGTGTCCTTTAAAAAAATAAAAAAAAACTTGATTTTTTTTTACATTTTTTTTAGGACCTGGTAAAAAGAAGAATTTTCACTATTTCAATGTTTTAAGCCAAAAGTTAACTAGGTGGAGGGAAAAACGCTGATGAAAAAATTTACTAGAAGGTTTTTATAAAAAAATGTGTTTGAAAATAGAAAACAAATTTAAATTGGGGGAAAAAGACAAATTTTAATATTGAAAAACTTTCTAAAATGGTTTTCCTTTAAAAACCCAAAAAATTTTACAGAAGATTTCCTTAAAAAGGTGCACAACTTTTTTTTTCATGATTGATACCCCTTTTTTATAACTTAAAAAAAGTCCAAATATATATAGAATTACTACAACATTTCTTGTTTACATTTCTTTAAGTAAAAATAACAGTACATAGACAATGTTAGAAATTCACTATCACTGAAATAACGACTGGTTACTTTATTAAAAATAAAGACTTGCAATCATCAAACTAAAATAAAATAATAAAAAAATAAAACATATCACCAAGTTAGCTTTCCGCCCTTTCTCAGCTTGGTTTAACTTCATTTTAAATTAAATTTTTCATAACATGACTACAAAAACCCATGTTTTTTAACTTCTCTTTCATTTAAGAAATTAACAATACAGTATGAAAATTATCTTTAAAATGAATAGGGAGACTCACTTTAAAATGTATGATATAGTAATTTAATTATACAGGCAACTTGGGCTTAAATCTAGAAACACTTTTTATGGCATTAGTCTGTCCCTGCAGATTGTTATTATTTACTGCCAGTTTTTGAATCTACACTTGTACAGTTTCCAATACAGTGATATTAAATATTGTTAGATGGCAGAAATGTCAGATGATGCGATTCTGTACTGAGAGTCGAGATCTAAATCTTACTTCAAGTATATGTATTTTGTCCAGTCATTCAGAGCTCAGCTTCAGAGTGTACAAAACGACATAATAGCTACATAGTAAATGTAGACAAACATACAACCATGTAACAAAGTTACCTTACAATTTATTAAAGAGCATAAAGCTTTATTTCTGATGTCCATCATTGTTTGTATTTTGATAAATATTAAATGCAAAACACCAGTTATCATTTTTTCAAAAGCAACAGGCCAATGCACAAAATTATTGCTAAAGAGTCAAAACCATACTTAAATTAGCAGCATATTTTGTTCAGGAACATTGTATTCTATAAATGTACCATGTATAAACCTTGTATTAAATAACAGAGACATTCTGTTTTATAACTCTTTCGAGAACCGACCATAAGATTATGGAAACAATATAATTTAACTGTGTATAAATATGATAAAAATAATTCAGAATTAGCTTTTAAAACATTAACTTTTTCAGAAAACTATGGCTGAATTATTTTTTTTTACATATATTTGAAGTATAGGGTATCAAAGTATTAATATAATGTTACAATAATCTTAAAGCTCATGTTTTACCTAATTCACAGCTTATTCACTCTGCCTGACACTGTATTAATCTATGTTCTCAAAAAAACAACCTTATTACACGAACACATTTGTGGAAGCAGACGTCAAAATGTCTGACTCACTTAAAATACCACTACCTGTCAATAAGTTTTTTTGTTTGTTAGATAACTGAATATTGTTACAATAGTTTGACTGTATAAATGTATGTATATATCTGATGAAGGGGTTCATGACGAGGCTGCCGGAGATGGTGAATGTGACTTGTCACTAGACCTCTGTGTCTCCAAATCTTTCAGGTGCTTCTGTACCTGTAATATATCAGCAATTAAAAGCTTTGAACAAATTTATATCACTCATACCTGTAATATATCAGCATTTAAAGCTATGAACAAATTTATATCACTCGTACCTGTAATATATCATCATTTATAGCTATGAACAAATTTATATCACTTGTACCTGTAATATATCATCATTTATAGCTATGAACAAATTTATATCACTCGCACCTGTAATATATCAGCATTTATAGCTATGAACAAATTTATATCACTCGCACATGTAATATATCAGCATTTATAGCTATTAATAAATTTATATCACTCGCACATGTAATATATCAGCATTTATAGCTATTAACAAATTTATATCACTCGCACATGTAATATATCAGCATATAAAGCTATTAATAAATTTATAACACTCTTATCATCGACTTACTAAAGCTTGTACTATACAGTTTTGTTTTGGTTGGGTTTTATATTGCAGTCACCCTGTATAAGTCATATGGCAACATTCCAGCTTTACTGGTGGAGGAAGACCTCTGGTGGTCATCAAAGTATTCTTTCAGACACAAACAGGCACCTGAGTAGAACCACTGACATTTCGTAAGCTAGCTGAACAGCTTCCTCTCATGAAAGAAACCAAAGTCCCTGACAAGTTTCAACCAACAGCAATTTTGGGCAAGTGGATTGTATTCAATGACAATAATTCTGCCATGGACGCCCCTACAGTGTACAGTTAACAGTTCTGACAAAATTAGTTTCTATACATAATATGACAAGTGTAAGTAGTTTTTTAATGCACGTCAGATGATTTGTGAAGGGAAACTGTCAATATACAGTATGTAGTTGCTATCTACAACATACTTAAACCTGTAACTCATGGGTGGGCTAATGTTTGTTTGACAATACCTGTGATCTTGATAATCAGTATTAGAATTAATTTATAACTAAAGAATAAATTATGCATGTCTTACCAGGCAACACACTAACAAATAACAAAATTTAGAGAATAATCTTACTATTTTCTTGACATGTTCAAGAGTTCGACAACCCTCTTTTCCTTTACAGTCATCTAGTCCGTATGGTGGTCGTATGGTCACTTCCTCTAGTACTACAATATTTTGCCGATCCCATTTTACATCAGTGATTCTATAATCAAGATACAAATCATGTTAAATGTGAAGTTTTCAGTGAAAACTTCCAAACTGAAAACATTGAAGCGTTATCAACACCAGTATCGGGTTAGTATTTTCATAAAATAGTCAAGCTAAAATGTCTTTTTTTTTTATTGGGGGTGGGGGTTTTAGTAGCACCAAACCAGTCAAGGTTGTATAGTGACTTTCCAGCTTTATTGGTGGAGGAAGACCTCAGGTGCCCCTTTGTGCATTATTTCAGGCATATACTGGCATTTAAGTAAAACCACTGACAGTGTATAACATAGCTGTATAGCTTCCTCACATGAAAGAATCCTATTGTCCTGGCAGGATTTGTACCTTCAGTGACAAGGGGAAAGTGGTTTGATGTCAACAACCATAACCGCTCAGCCACAAACGCCCCAGCAAAATGTTTTCTACATATCAACACTTTAAATAATATCTCATGACCTACGACACTGTACTTTTCTCCAAACAACACAAATTAAATTAATTAATGCCAAAAATGTGAACATCTGTTTATATGTTTATACGAAAAACGGCAATAAAAGGAGGCTGCTTACAAAAACTGGCATACTGGTATGTCATTAACGCTTCATAATTGCTTTTCTATCTTTTTTGAGAATATATTTAGTAACAATATATTTAGTAACAATATAAGAATTTGTTTTCTTAATTATTTCATGAACAACAGGGGATATATTTTCCATTTTGGGTTAATTCCACATCAATACAGATAACCAGATCTCTGCTACGCAATATTTAAACATTGGCTTACGTTTTCACAATGGCATTAAAAACCTTCTGTCCTTCTGGAGTGACTCCTACACCAATATAGTTCACTTGACGTTTCTTTTCTTCTATATTTGATCGTAATCTGGCATTGATCTGAAATATAAGAATTGCCATATGTATATTTTATTTTGTTGAGACACACTGTTTCAGTTTCAAAACTTGATGGTAAGATCCCTTAAGCACTTTTTTCTGCCTAACTCAAGAAATTTTCTCGTGTTTAATCAAAATTATTAAGAACTTTGGCATTTACACTTAATTAAAACATTAAACACATAAAACAAATACCACAAAGTTACTGTACAGTGTACATGTACATTATCACAATGGACATATGGTACATGTGATTTTGATCTAAGTCATAGATTTACTAATTTTCCCTCTTTTCTGAAGATACATTATACTAAATCATATAGTAATATAACAAGTATATTTCATCTCTCAGACATTTTTAGGCTTTGCAGTTTAACCAATTTGTACATCTTCAAAAATTGTCCAGGCTTAGGCTATACATTAACAAGAGCTGTCTGTAGGACAGCACGCTCGACTATTCTAAGTGCTTGATAGTAAAAGAGCCTTTATATTGTTTAATTTTTTAAGTTCATAAAAAGGGCTAATTTTTTTTTATAAATTCATGTTATAGGCCTAAATGAGAGTCTAATTATACAGTATTGGCTTGACTATTCGGAAGGTAATGTCACAAGGGTGTTTTATTGAGTATAACAATACTAATTACCTATGAATAAATAAATTTGACAGAAAGGCTTGTTATTAAGATGTTTTATCAAGTAAATCACTGCTTTATTATTATGAATGCATAAAATTGTCCCGAAAAAGGCACAAACCCTTCAGTAGTTATTGAGATAACAACTTACAAGAAAAACTTAACCATGAATTTCTAAGTTGAAAAAGGGGAGAAAAATCAGCCTTAATGCAAGATCGAATTATGGATCTTTGTCAGTGACCTACAATTATGACCCTAAATGCATATGTGAAGTTTTTATAAATATCTTTAATAGTTATTGAGATATGTAAAACTTGCATGTAAACATTAACCAAGAGACTAAGTAGAAAAGGGGATATGAATCAGCCTTAATGCAAGATAGAGTTATGGAACTTGGTCAGTGACATACAATTACGACCCTCCAATTATGACCCTAAGTGCATGTGTAAAGTTTCAAGTAAATATCTTTGAAGACCTTTAATCTTTAACCAAAATTTCTAAGTTTCAAAGGGGCGAATAATTCTGCAAATATTGCAGGCAGAGTTATGCAATTTTGCAAACTGATGTACATTGTTACTATAAAAAAGTATTTTAAATTTCAATTGAATATCTCAAGCAATAATTGAGATATTTGACTTTACAAAAAACTTTAACCAAAATTTCTAAGTTCCAAAGGGGCATAATTCTGTTAATATTGTAGGCAGAGTTATCCAACTTGTCAATCTGATGCACCTTGTTACTATAAATAAGTATTGTAAGTTTCAATTGAATATCTCAAGCAATAATTGAGATATTTGACTTTACAAAAAACTTTAACCAAAATTTCTAAGTTAAAAAGGGGCATAATTCTGTCAATATTGTAGGCAGAGTTATCCAACTTGTCAATCTGATGTACCTTGTTAATATAAATAAGTATTGTAAGTTTCAATTGAATATCTCAAGTAATAATTGAGATATTTGACTTTACAAAAAACTTTAACCAACGCAGACGCCGACGAGGACGCTGACGCCGACGCCGACTACAATAGCTCTCATATTCTTCGAATAGTCGAGCTTAAAAGCATCAACTATTGATATCATCACTGGCTAAGTTTTGTACATACTGGGAAATGTTGAAACTGTACATTCAAATTCATTACCTTCTGTGAATTAAGGTTAGCCAATGGGGGTGGAGATGTGTCCCTGTCAGCTTCCTTTAGCACTTTTACTTCACTTACATATGACAAATTAACCAGCTTTACATCATGTACACTGTGTTTACCACTTGCTGGCTGACATTCTATAAATAGGTGGTTAAGGAATGTTCTAGACAAACAAAAGTGCGTTACTCTTATCCAAGTCTGCATTTCCCAAATCATAAGCTTTTATGAAGTTGTATTCAACTCCATAATATTTACTATCCATGTATTGAAGTTTCAGTATGTTTTAAAGTATTCAAACCATGATATAAATCTTAGACTTTATAGTAGTCTGATATTAGTATAAAATTTCTTTTTGCTGTGCTCTTTTTTGTTGTTGTTATATGCAGTGGAGTAGCTACTATTAGGCCATGTAGGCCCGGGCCTTCAAGTTTTGATTAGTGTTATGGGTTAGAGGCAAGGCCCCCATGCTTACACATTTAAAAATGTATTTGTTTTGATGTTCATTCGTAAACATTGACAATATTTTTTATTGTAATGACCACATTGTCAAATCAAAATATCCTAATTATTATCTATAATCATGAATTTTATCAAATCTACTTCTACATCATACAGTATTACTGCTTTAAAATCATTTTCAATCACTCTAAGCAGGTATACATTGTATACATTAAAGAGACAGCTTTGAGATACAAGGGAATCCAGGAACCAGTCCCTAGCTCTTATTGAATAGACCCCTTGGTTCTTTTACATACCCAGTGTATAGCACTGATAGTGATACATGCGAGGATTACCTGGATTTCTTACCAGTACACCTCTAGGTAGGTGGGAAACACTGAAAGTGTCTCTGAAAAATCCCAAGGATTTAACCCAGGATCAAACCCTGGACCTCAGGAGTGATAATCAGTGGTTTAACCAACTGAACTAACTGATTTATTCCCAGTAAAAAGGAAGCTTACAGCATTTTTTGAAGAGCGTGAAAACTCCAAGGCTGCATAGCATATAGCCTAATTAATTTGGCGTGAACGGTTTGACCCATTTTACAGACTTTTTTTTTCTTACTGTCAAACCGTTACGCCTAATTTTAACTGTCATTTTTACGCACGGAAAATCTACCGGTAACACTATCGATAGTTTGGACTGATTTTTACTGCTTAAACCTGAAAGTAACTTCAATTACCTCTAAAGATCAATAGAATATAAATTTTAGTACTAACTTCTCCTAGAAAAAATATTAGATTGTACCTGTCTTAACGCATACATGCGATTTATTTCAAATTTGTACTGTATACACTATCTCCGGCGGACATGTTATGACGTCATCGTAAAAAATCGATTCCGTGAAAGCTGGTAGTAGCTACCAGTGTGTCTAGCAGGTAAGTGTGGGTTACGCATGAAGATTAAACTTCAAAAAAAAATATCGGGGAAATAAATCTATTCATTATTTTTAAATAAATTTGTGCATTATTAAATACTATTGAAAAGTATCAATGTGTTAAACCTAAAATACAATGGTAGCAAATAGGCTCCGTACAAGTACTGTTGTTTAATATTTTTTAAATGTTTTAATACATGTACTCAACATTTATCAATAGATGGTTTGCCTTCTTGTTTACTGCTAATGACTGCCGATAAAATACTGGCTTCATTTATACATGCATATTTAAATGACAATTAAGAATGTAAAAGAAATAAAGGAATTCTTTTTCACCTAATGCTGATATATATTATAATACCATATTAAACCTACTGATAAAGTTAAATGTCTTCTTGACATACTTTATTAATTTACTAAAAAAGGAACTTTATTGTGATCCAGCCATATGCTGTAAGGGAAGGGTCACATATTTTAATTGAAATAAATTTTAAGTAGAGGATATTAAAAAAAAGTCATTGAGAAGATAAGAATTTTCAAATGAACAGATTAAGAGACTTATAAATGTATAAGGTGTATGTCTTGTTGTTTCATACTGTTTTGGTGACACTTTTGTTTGTGTCCCTTGTTGTTTTCTCGTCTATGGTAAGTATCTTCCCTTTGCCCCTAGTTTTATTTTTATTCCGCCCCCTCCCCCTTCCCCGAATTTCCTATCCCCTACCACTGTGCCAGTTTACTTAATGGTCCTATTAATCATTCATTTATTTATTTTCTTTGATTTTGATTTCCTTGTATGTTACCAATATTTCTTTACATTTATCATTTTGTATCATTTTAGTGATAAGCCAGGCCATGCTCTCTCTTGCGCCGTCCTGTTTTTGTTTAGAATCCTCCTGGGTTTCTTGCAAATGGTTCTTGTTCCTGGGTCGTGGGGGGGTTGCGTTCATTGAACGCGGCCTTTCCTTGTTCATCTTGTTTATCATATTTTATACTTGTATACCGAACCGAACCATAACAAACAGATAATGATTATCAATACAAGGTTCGACAAGCAAGCAAAGAAATGTAAAGAAAACAGAAAAAACTTATCCACATATCCGCCCTCCAAAAAAAACACCAAAAAAACGCCTGAAACTGCAAAACCGAAACATAAATACACATGGGTGCCAAAGACAGCTCTGGTAGGTACATGTGCTCCCTTGCGCCTGTTTCAACAGAATTCATCACTTAAACATAATAATGTAGAAATTTTAATCAACACCCACAGATGTGTACAAAATACGGCGGTAATCATGGAACTTTCAATGCAACACATTCGAGGTGCCGTTCAATGAAAAGCGGGAACTAGATAACATGGAATTTTAAATGGATATAGGTTTTGGTGTCATTTTGTGACAGTCGTTCTAACAGACGACTACAGTAATCTAATCAGACTATTTCTCCCATCTGTCTTACATTGTTATGCTATTCTACGTCTTAAATAAGGGTCACTAAATTTCCGCTTGCTGCGTTTTTATCATAAACCCCGTCATATCTGTTTGACAATTGCATTTTACTGGGGACTGTCTGAAATTCCATTTCATAGTTTGAAATTTTAAGATTTTTTTCTCAGAATTTAAAGTTATTTTTGGTTGTTTTGAACTTCTTCCCCTACACAACTGTCCTCAATTTTTTTTAAGATAATAAACTAGAAATTGATAGGGAGTTTAATATAAATTGAAATTCTTCTTTGCTTCATCATGTATAGTATACTTATAATTCATTAAGATGTACCTACAATTACATTGTATTTTCATATGTGCGAAATCATGGCAGGGTTATAAAATAACAAGAGCTGTCGGTAGGACAGCACGCTCGACTATTCTAAGTGCTTGATAGTAAAAGAGCTTTGATAATGTTAAATTTTTTAAGTTCACAAAAGGGCTAATTTTTTTTTATAAATTCATGTTATAGGCCTTAGAGAGGGTCTAATTATACAGTATTGGCTTGACTATTCGGAAGGAAATGTCACAAGGGTGTTTTATTGAGTATAATAATATTAATTACCTATGAATACATAAATTTGACAGAAAAGGTACAAAGCTTTGTTATTAAGATGTTTTATCAAGTAAATCACTGCTTTATTATCATGAATGCATAAAATTGTCCCAAAAAAGGCACAAACCCTTCAGTAGTTGTTGATATAACAGCTTACAAGCAAAACTTTACCATGAATTTCTAAGTTGAAAAAAGGGGAGAAAAATCCGCCTAAATGCAAGATAGAATTATGGATCTTTGTCAGTGACCTACAATTATGACCCTAAATCATATGTGAAGTTTTAAATAAATATCTTTAAAGTTATTGAGATATGTAAAACTTGCATGTAAACATTAACCAAGAGACTAAGTAGAAAAGGGGATATGAATCAGCCTTAATGCAAGATAGAGTTATGGAACTTGGTCAGTGACATACAATTATGACCTTCCAATTATGACCCTAAGTGCATGTGTAAAGTTTCAAGTAAATATCTTTGAAAACCTTTAACCTTTAACCAAATTTCTAAGTTTCAAAGGGGCAAATAATTCTGCAAATATTGCAGGCAGAGTTATGCAATTTTGCAAACTGATGTACATTGTTACTATAAAAAAAGTATTTTAAATTTCAATTGAATATCTCAAGCAATAATTGAGATATTTGACTTTACAAAAAAACTTTAACCAAAATTCTAAGTTCCAAAGGGGCATAATTTTGTCAATATTGTAGGCAGAGTTATCCAACTTGTCAATCTGATGTACCTTGTTACTATAAATAAGTATTGTAAGTTTCAATTGAACATCTCAAGCAATAATAGAGATATTTGACTTTACAAAAAACTTTAACCAAAATTTTTAAGTTAAAAAGGGGCATAATTCTGTCAATATTGTAGGCAGAGTTATCCAACTTGTCAATCTGATGTACCTTGTTACTATAAATAAGTATTGTAAGTTTCAATTGAATATCTCAAGCAATAATTGAGATATTTGACTTTACAAAAAAACTTTAACCAAAATTTCTAAGTTAAAAAGGGGCATAATTCTGTCAATATTGTAGGCAGAGTTATCTAACTTGTCAATCTGATGTACCTTGTTACTATAAATAAGTATTGTAAGTTTCAATTGAATATCTCAAGTAATAATTGAGATATTTGACTTTACAAAAAACTTTAACCAACGCAGACGCCGACGCGGACGCTGACGCCGACGCCGGGGCGACTACAATAGCTCTCATATTCTTCGAATAGTCGAGCTAAAAAGGCAGTTCAGAAATTTCACCTTATGAGCACAGATGTTAAAAAATCCGACATTACAATTTCTAATTTGACAATTTAAATGGACTTTTAAAATGCAGTATGATCTGACGTCGGACATCTAAGTAAGGTTATCAGAATATCCTTTTCACATTTTATTTTTAATGCTGAAATATTCTTGTGTGAAAAAAAAGTTATTCCTGCATAATTCATAATAAATAACTTAAACAAATTATATTATAAAGCTTGACAAATACAATTGATTGCCGCCGATACCTGTGTTACACAATGGAAATTTTACAATTTTACCCTGTTTTACCCTGTCACCGCTTGCGTCATTTTCCAATATGGCCGCTTACAATAATTTTCAACGATTTAAAAAGTTAAAGTGGAATATTTAGACTTGTGTTCGACTTTAAAGTGTGATAACTTGGAACCTTGCATAAAAAACGGCTCTCTTTCAGGTAATGTAGACCCTTTCTTTGAAACTTTTTTAGTTTTCGCTCCCAACAACTTCTAATTGGGAAGCGTCCGTGTATAAAAATGCAGTTCGTGGTTGGACTTGGAAAAAGACAGCGCCCGTCCAAAATTATCTCGGTGTCTCTTTGACAAGTCTAATTAGTTGGACTACATAGCATACAGATCTTTCACTTTTATTAAATAATGACAGAACAGTGCTTCGTTATTAATTAGAAATAACACACAAGTTTCTTTATCAACCACCAACAATGTATAACTCTTTTTAAGCAATAATCAAGCATGTGTCACAACAATAGTGTTGTCAGGCTTCTATATTCTTATTGGCCAATGACAGTTAGCAGCGCACAATAAGGGCATTTACAACTTATTACTAGAACGGCAATTATCCGAATTTATCGTTTACAAAAAAATGTAAATGTGGGAGCCTTAAAGGGTTTTAATTCATGGATCGTTTTGCATTTAAAAACATGGATTTCACTGCAGACAGATTCTAAAAGTGCTCCTTTTCAATTAAAAAATACAAGCATTCTAAGTTGAAGAAATTTCAGCAAAACTACTTTGATCTTTAAAAATCATCAATTTTTTATTATTAATGAACATTTGACGGAAACTTTGAAAATTTATAAATAAACAGAAATGGTGTTGATTTTAGGTGATTATTGCACCAGTTTATGGCATTACAAATTATTTATTGTATATTGAAGTAAATTTGTTAGATTTCATATTAAATATCTGAAACAAAAAGTACTGGGAGTTAACCTTCTTTATAACAGAGAAAAAGCGGAAGTGAAAAGTTGGTGTGATCTATCTCAATTATGGTCAATAGTGATGAGTCTGAAACGTCTGACATTCATGCCGAGTATGCCGAGCGCAAACCTAAAGTTTTAAAGTCAAAGGATACTGATGGCTAACATTTTCGTTCCAATGTCAAAGGCCATGACTTCTCCTTGTATCTTCTGCTGGTAACATGTTGTGCAGGCGACTATACTGCCAATACTAAAGTATTCATTTTCAGCCATAATCTTCATCTTTTTCACAACACAGACATTGGTGTTGCGTATGGACATATCAAAACTCATCCAAATGATCGCTTTCCTGCAGAAATGTTTACCTGACTCGTTCATTGGTTAAAATTGAAAAGTGGGAGAAATCTGAGGCCGGGAACAAGAATGTATAAATAATTTGTGAACTTCCGGTATAAAATGTCAGTACCAAAGTAATTTTTATGGTAAGATCCCTGATTTTTATCATAACGCAGATACTGGTTTTCTTGTAACCATATTTAATCCTTCTTTGTGATTAAGAATTTTTCAGCAGGTAACGAAACCTTATGAATGCTGTAAATTTACTGCCTTGAAAAAGGACATTCACTGATTTAGCTGGTGACACTGACAGGACATGCAGGATGTTAGTGACAGGTTGTTTAACGCTTTAGTCTTTTCACCTCCAAGACGTTTCGGCCCTGTTCTATATTTAATGAGTTGCTATAAACGAATGAATGAGTATACAATGTGTGACATGACCTATGTTGTTACAGCAATTGGCCAAATGATTGGATTATTTTGAGTGATCACAATTATAAATCACTTATAAATTCAAACGTGACAAATCAGTGTGCCATCACATGTAAATAAAGTCATTAATAAGTATTTTAATTTTTTGATTCAGACATTTAAACAGTTTTTAAAAATATTTTTGTTGTATATCAAAATCAGAGATATACAATAACATAAAAATGTTTGTAATTTAATTTAAATTTATATTTTTAGTTTAATTTATTGATATTTTGGAGTTATTAATAAGTTGTGAAAATAATGTTATTTATGACAAAAATAATAAATGTGATAAAGTATAAGGGATAAATTAAATGTAACATATAATATTCATAAAAAAGAATGCCAAAGACCAGGGATTTTTTTTCCCAAAAGTATGAGGAGGTATTTAGAATATTGACTGTTTGGAAAAAATGGATAATATATCATCAAAAATAGATATAAAATTAAATTAAAAAAATGTAAAAAATATTGTCAGACTAACGCTAGAACTAAACTGTCATCAATATTTTTCTGTTGATCTATCATCATAATAAATTTGAAAAAAATTGATAATAATTAATAACATGTCTAGAAATTAGGAAAATTAACCAAAAAACATACATGTGTGTATACACAAAAAAAGGTGCCCAGTAAAATGGACATGTATCATCATCAAACTGATGTAAATACATCATAAATGGACTTTTATCTTTAGCAGTTGCATGACCAAAAAATTGTCAGATAAAAACATGTAGTGGGCATTTAATATGAATAAGAAAAGTGTCAAAGCGAGCTCTTTGAAAAGAAATTATAGTTCTTTAACAACCAAATTTATTAAACCTTTCAGTGGCTGCACACTTTTAAACACCTTTAACAGTAATGATTAAATTATACTTAGAACTGTACAGTACAGTCGCATTAATTCACTTTGGCCTCAACACTTCGTGAAGAGTCCTTATAGGATACCCAAATCGTATTTCATGTTTTAATATGATATCTTAATTGAATCCATCCCGTTAGATAACTTTGAATTTGCCCTTGCATACTGTGTGCTCGAGTAAGCATCAAAGAGTCCATTAATTCATTCACAAGTATTGTATCAAAATATACAAGTTCATGTATTTCATTTGTAAGAACTCTTTGATGTTACCGATATGTATAAAAATCATTAAAATATATTATAAATTCAGATGCAATAATTATATTAATTTGGTAATGTTTTGTATGTTGTGATGATGATGATGATAATTTCAATACATATATGTGAATCTTGCAATTGTTTTATAGGTTGAAAAGTTTGTTTCTGTATGATCAAAGCCAACCAATTGTTTATAGTCAGTCTTTACCAAATTCATTTTCTGTACCAGAATCAAAGGAAATCCCACACATTGAATAACCATTTATTTTTCAGAATTTAAATGGTGAGAATAGAGAGAAAATGTTTGGATTAGCAGGATTTGACAAAGCCTCAGCGTCTGGTTTTGGGTGTTGTTGTTTCCTAATTATTTGTAGATTTGATATGGGTTGACCTCATTCTGAGTTGACAAATGCGTTATTTATGTTAATATCTCCCAGGCATATAGTAATTAAACCATCTGTTCATTCAAACATATAGATACTTATGTGGCTATGGGAACAATAGGTATTGGTAATTTTCCTTTGAGGTTACTTATTCAGTAAGCTCTTATGTGGCTACTTTTTCTCTTACATGGTTAGGAAAACAATAGAGTACCCACTAACGTACCCAAATAAGAGCACCTCACAGGCAAGTTGAATGTATCTTGGGTTCTACCTGTACCAATGGCTTCATGATTTACTTACCAATATAAAGTCAATCATCTCAATGATGTTGGCAAATTACATACTGTGCCTTTAAATTTCCTCAACTTAATTCCCTTTTAGCACTCTGATAATATGACCTTGTATGGTTAGCCTATTCTTACAAGTTGGATATATCGTAAGTTTTGTCTGTTCCCCAATGGCTTCAAACACCATACACTTACCTAACAATACAAAGTACACAAGGGGCATAACTGTGATTTTCATTTTCTCCCATTTTACCCCATTTCACTTTTTACTATAAATATTTACTGATCTCTTTCATATTGGGTTGGTAGATAGTGGTCCACTAACATCGGGTGGATTTTTCGGTCACTTGGATCAAGGTCATTGCCATTGGCCATTTTCAATCACCCCTCGGAGAGTAAATGCCTGTGATTTTATAAAACAGTGAAATAGACTAAAGTCTGCCTATCTTAGCATATTTATTGAATTGATGATACATAAATCTCTGTGAGGATAAACATGTTTGTTATACTAACGGGCATTGAGAAGCTTCCAGCACTTATAGAATCCCTTAAAACAAATAAATTTATAAACATTCTGTTTCATAAATAAGTCCTTCTAATGATTTAGAATGGGCAAGTTTTCAGTGCAGATGGTGATTATAAATTATAATATGATATTTATTGTTTCAGTACTTGTTTAAGAATGAACACTATGACAAGCCTTACTTCAGCACCTATTTCAAGACAGCTATGTTCACTCTCTACCTTACTGGCTTTTCCTATTCTGGCGGCCGTTGGCGAAATCAATGCAGGAAGAATGGGGTAATTTTTAGAATGATTTATATTATTATTATTATAGCAGTCATTGAAGTTTTAAGATTTTGAATTTACTTGCCCGAATTCCAGTTTTGAATTTATATCTACTATATATTAAACTAAATTTTCTTTAAATTTACACTAGCCCGAACTAATTTACACTTGCCGCGGGCCACCAGGCTAGTGCTAATTCAATGACTGTTATAGTATTTTTTCACATTAATTTGCTTATTACTGTATTATATCTTTCAATCTCTTGTCCCTTAACAAAATATGTATACGGTGTAGTTAATTTTTAAGTTTGAATATCTGAAGATTAGGGGAGAGCTAAAATATATTATAAAACAAATTTCAGAGTGTATAACAAGTCACATCATTATTATATTGAACAGGTTAATTATATTATAATAATAATTAAAATCATTTAAACGGTATGAATGTGAATTATAGACAAGTAATATTAGTAATTATCGATATATTTGCATTCATCGATATTTGTTCTTCAACATATTTATATATTGTTGATATGCTTTGCACTTAGTCAATGACAGCTCTACATAATATAAATATATAAGATTTCATAATGTTAAGTTTTGTTTCTATTCTATATATGATTTTAGGTTTTGCAATCTGGTGAAAAATGGTATGATAGATTTCTGAAGAATTATTGGTAAGTTTCAGAAACATTTGAATTAAATTATATTTAACTAGTATACAGGTGGTGTTGTAAGATTACTATCAGAATCATGGCAAGAGCGCATTGAATTCAATTGATCAGAGCTCATTTCAGCCACCCGCACTGTCCCGTCAAACCGTAAAGCAGTTTACCAGTATAAAAACTGCCTTCATTTTTAGCCTCGACTATACCTGATAAGGAATAAGTAGAGCTATTGCAGTCACCCGAGCGTCGGCGTCGGCGTAACCACTTATGTTAAGTTTTGTAATAGTTCAAATATTTTCAAAGTCCATTGACATATGGCTTTGAAACTTTGCACACTTGTTCACCATCATGACCCCAACCTGTAGACAGGAGGAGGTAACTCTATCAAGCATTTTGACAGAATTATGCCCCTTTTTCGACTTAGAATTTACGTTAAAGTTTTTTGTAATAGTTCAAAATATTTTCAAAGTCCATAGACATATGGCTTTGAAACTTTGCACACTTGTTCACCATCATGACCCCAACCTGTAGACAGGAGGAGGTAACTCTATCAAGCATTTTTGACAGAATTATGCCCCTTTTTCGACTTAGAATTTACGTTAAAGTTTTTGTAATAGTTCAAATATTTTCAAAGTCCATTGACATATGGCTTTGAAACTTTGCACACTTGTTCACACATCATGACCCCAACCTGTAAACAGGAGGAGGTAACTCTATCAAGCATTTTGACAGAATTATGCCCCTTTTTCGACTTAGAATTTACGTTAAAGTTTTTGTAATAGTATCAAATATTTCAAATATTTTCAAAGTCCATTGACAATATGGCAGGAGGAGGTTTGTACAACTTTGGCACTAAGAATAGTCGACTTGTTCACCGACATCATGAGCCCACCTGTCACAACGCGACAGGAGGAGGTAACTCGTATCATCGTCATGTCCCGTAAACTTTTACTTTAAATGACATCTCCTCAGCACTAAGCCAATTTCAGTCCAAACGTTCACAGGACCGATGTTCCTTTTGGTGGTCACCTTTAAAAATTGTTCAAAAGAATTTAATTCCATGCAGAACTCTGGTTGCCATGGCAACCGAAAGAAAAAACTTTAAATATCTTCTTTTAAAAAAACCATAAGAAGCTAGAGCTTAGATATTTGCATGAAACATTTCTAGTGAGTGTCTACCAAAAAGTTTGTTCAAATAAAAAGCCCTGGGGTCAAAATTGGCCCCGCCCCAGGGGGTCATTGATTTTCCCTATATGCATATAGTAAAAACTTAAAAATCTTCTTTTAAAGAACTCAAAGAGCTAGAGCTAAGATATTAGCATGAAACATGTTCTAATGGGTGTCTACCAAGTTTGTTCAAATAAAAGCCCTGGGTCAAAATTGGCCCCGCCCGGGGGGTCATTGATTTTCCCTATATGCATATAGTAAAAACTTAAAAATCTTCTTTAAAAAAGAACTCAAAGAGCTATGGCTAAGATATTGAGCATCAAAACATGTTCTAATAGGTGTCTACCAAGTTTGTTCAAATAAAAGCCCTGGGGTCAAAATTGGCTCCCGTCCCAGGGGGGTCATTGATTTTCCCTATATGCATATAGTAAAAACTTAAAAAATCTTCTTTTAAAGAACAAAAAGAGTTAGAGCTAAGATATTTAGCATGAAACATGTTCCAATAAGTGTCTACCAAGTTTGTTCAAATAAAAGCCCTGGGGTCAAAATTGGCCCCGCCCCGGGGGGTCATTGATTTTCCCCATATGCATATAGTAAAAACTTAAAAAATCTTCTTTTAAAGAACCAAAAGAGTTAGAGCTAAGATATTTAGCATCAAACATGTTCTAATTGGTGTCTACCAAGTTTGTTTCAAATAAAAGCCCTGGGTCAAAATTGGCCCCGCCCCAGGGGGTCATTGATTTTCCCTATATGCATATAGTAAAAACTTAAAAAATCTTCTTTTAAAGAATCAAAGAGCTATGGCTAAGATATTGAGCATCAAACATGTTCTAATAGGTGTCTACCAAGTTTGTTCAAATAAAAGCCCTGGGGTCAAAATTGGCCCCGCCCCAGGGGGTCATTGATTTCCCTATATGCATATAGTAAAAACTTAAAAAATCTTCTTTTAAGAAACCAAAAGAGTTAGAGCTAAGATATTTAGCATAAAAATTGTTCTAATAAGTGTCTACCAAGTTTGTTCAAATAAAATTCCTGGGTCAAAATTGGCCCGCCCCGGGGGGGTCATTGATTTTCTTATATGCATATTGTAAAAACTTAAAAAATCTTCTTTTAAAGAACTCAAAGAGCTATGGCTAAGATATTTAGCATCAAACATGTTCTAATAGGTGTCTACCAAGTTTGTTCAAATAAAAGACCTGGGGTCAAAATTGGCCCCGCCCCAGAGGTCATTGATTTTCTTTATATGTGTATAGCAAAAACTTAAAATCTTCTTTGAAAAAACCCAAATAGCTAGAGTTTAGATATTAAGCAAGAAACATCTTCTAGTAAGTGTCTACAAAGTTTGTTCAAATAAAAGCCCTGGGGTCAAAACTGGCCCGGCCCCAGGGTGTCATTGTTTTTAACTAAATGTGTATAGTAAAAACTTTAAAAAAATCTTCTTTTAAAAAGCCCAATGAGCTAGAGCTTAGATGTTTTGCATGAAACATCTTATGGGTGTCTACCAAGTTTGTGCAAATAAAAGCCCTTGGGTTAAATTGGCCCTGCAACGTTGGGGGTTGGGGGTCTTATATACAGGTGAGCGACCTCAGGGCCATCATGGCCCTCTTGTTCAAGGAACTGCTAGTTACTTCTGACCATTCCAGAGCAGTGGTATAGTTTGAATGAGCACAGAAAGGATGTCATGATCAATTACAATGAAACTGGCCTGCACTGGTTGATGTAGGTCTGCACCCAGGTTGCATGGGTAAATTAAGTTGCTGGCCCCATTTGCCATATAGATGAACTATCTTTGCTCCTTGTTGGCAATTGGTAAAATTACAGTAAATTTGTATTTTCTATGGAAGTCAAAATACTACTTTTACATTTTGCTACTTCTGCACATGACTGCACAATCAGTGCTACTTTCCTCAACTGTTCAACATCTAACATGCTCTGAATCCCTTATTAAAACATTATTTAACACATGTATGACTTTCTAAAAAAATCTGATGAATTTAGGTTTCTGCGGCATAATGTGCCTTTATTAGACACTAACCAGGACATACTCTGAATCTCAGGTGAGCGTTCCAGTTGTTTATTAAATCTTCTATATGATACATTACAGACTGAGCCAATATATGTACCACTAAGGTATGATGACAAGAATAACAGCAATAATGAACTGGATGAATTAACAGGTAAAAATTGACATTTTATGTTCAATATCTGACTTGTAAAATAATGATTTAAAAAAACAACAACATACATTTACCATGATAAAAATCAAATCAATACAGCATATATTAAGAACCAAAACACTTGTGAATTTGAGGAGAAAAAACCTTAAGTGATAAAGAAAATGTTTTAATTGATTTAAATATAAAGATGTTCCATGAGAAAAAGTAAATATTCATGATATTCTATGAAATAAGTAAATTATAAGATATTCCATGAAATAAGTAAATTATTAAGATGTTCCATTAAATAATTAAACTTTTAAGATGTTCCATGAGATAAGTTAATTATTAAGATGTTCCATGAGTTAAGTAAAAATTAAGATGTTCCATGAGAGAAGTCAAATATTAAGATATTCAATGTGATAAAGTAAATACATAGATTTATTAAGATGTTCTGTGAAATAAGTCAAATATATATTTGGTCTATGAAATAAGTCAAATATATACAATGTAGCTGTTCCATCAAATAAGTCATCTATAAGGAATTTGGCATGAAATAAGCCAAATGTCAAGAATGTGTCATGAAATAAGTCACGCTGTTTGATGAAATATTATAACTGATTCAAAATCAAATGAATTTTTGATAACCCTCCAGGTAACTCTGTATACATATATATAATTAAGATTACTTACTTACAAACACTTCTATGACTAATATACATTTCAGAATTGCGTGACAGGTCTGTGCGTTTTAACAATCTAATGGAGGTTAGGCAGCTAACTGGTATGTATTTACAAGACTGCTCCATACAATTACATGTAGTAACATTTACATTTGATTTTATTTCTTATTCTTTTCTATTCAGTAAAAATGGCACGATGCCAAATACTGCTATTAATTGATTGACAGAGATATTTGTAGCTATAAATTAGTGAAAATTTATTACACCAATCTTTACATGAGCACCAACACGGTAAAGGCCATATGGCAACTTTTCAGCTTTACTGGTGGAGGAAAACCTCAGGTGCCATCAACATTCCGTACGTTAGCTGGATAGCTTCCTCACAGGAAAGAATTCAAAGTCCCTGGCGAGATTCGAACACACAGTGGCAAGGGGCAAGTGATTTGAAGTCATTGACCTTTACCACATGGCCACTGACACCCCAAGGGGCAGATTTATGGCTACCTATTAGAACATGATACAATATATGTATAGTTTGATATATGGCTAAAATACTCCTGAAATGAAGGTTGTTCTATGCCAACAAGTGTAAGTGATGTTAAGAGATATTCTAAATGTTAAAATGTTAAATGGTAACTCAGAATTTCTTGAATGTATCATATAAAAATCAAATACAAAAAATGTAATCTTTTATCTGAATAACAAAGATGTATTATATGACTGATTACAATCAAATGTAAACATGTAACTACAGATATGTATGCCGAGGAACAGGTCATTGCAAGACTCTCTTACCCGGCTGCTGTCAGAGCAGAGGAACTGAGGTTACGAGCTTTAAATAAGCTCACCATTAAACAAGTAGCAAAAATGGCCTTTATGTTTTCTATTATCGTAAGTAACAATTAAATCACTATTCACTTAGTTATACCTAAATTTATTTTAGGTTTGATAGTGTATGAAGCTATAAGCTTTTATACACACTCTCAAAACCGTTCCTTGAACCAACTAGTACTAAGCAATGATTGTAAAGATTTTGCTCAAGGAAACAAGGACTTGCAAGAATTGCCCCTGACGTGGATTGAACCCAAGATCCTTAGAATACTAGTTAACCACTCAGGCATGGCACCACAGGGACCACAATGTTTACTTTTTATCCCCCGCCGAAAATTTTCGGCAGGGGATATAGAAATAGTCTCCGTCCGTCCGACCTTCCGTCCTTCCGTCCGTCCTTCCGTCCGTCCGTCCTTCCGTCCGACATTTTTGTCCGGAGCATATCTCTAAAAGTATTTCAGTTATCAACTTGAAACTTCATAGGTGGATAGACCTCATTGAGGAGGAGTGCAGTGCACAAGAGTGATAACTCTACCCTGCATAATTTTTGAGTTATTGCCCTTTGTTATTTTTCAAAATTGATTTTTGTCCAGAGCATAACTCCAAAAGCCTATGAGATATCAACATGAAACTTCATAGGTGCATATATCTCACTCAGGAGGTGTGCAGTGCACAAGAATGATAACTCTTCCTTTCATAATTTTTGAGTTATTGCCCTTTGTTATTTTTCATACTTAATTTTTCACCTGAGTGGAGCAAAACTCAAAATGTTTTTGAGATATCAACATGAAATGTCATAGTTGGATAGATCTTATTGAGGAGGAATGTTGTGCGCAAGAATGATAACTCTTCGCTATACAATTTTTGAGTTATTGCCCTTTGTTCTTTTTCATGCTATTTTGTCCAGAGCTTATCTCAAAAAGTATTTGAGGTATCAACTTGAAACTTCAAAGGTGGATGGATCTCATTGAGGAGGAGTGCATTGCACAAGAATGATAACTCTACCCTGCATTATTTTTGAGTTATTGCCCTTTGTTATTTTTCAAAATTAATTTTTGTCCAGAGCATAACTCAAAAAGCCTTTGAGATATCAAAATGAAACTTCATAGGTGCATAGATCTCACTCAGGAGGTGTGCAGTGCACAAGAATGATAACTCTACCTTTCATAATTTTTGAGTTATTGCCCTTTGTTATTTTTCATACCTTATTTTTCACCCGAGTGGAGCAAAACTCAAAAGTGTTTGAGATGTCAACATGAAATGTCATAGGTGGATAGATTTTATTGAGGAGGAATGCTGTGCACAAGAATGATAACTCTTCCCTATACAATTTTTGAGTTATTGCCCTTTGTTCTTTTTCATGCTATTTTGTCCAGAGCTTATCTCAAAAAGTATTTGAGGTATCAACTTGAAACTTCATAGGTGGATGAATCTCATTGAGGAAGAGTGCAGTTCACAAGAACGATAACTCTACCCTGCATAATTGTTTAGTTATTGCCCTTTTTTTATTTTTCAAAATTAATTTTTGTCCAGAGCATAACTTAAAAGGCCTTTGAGATATCATTATGAAACTTCATAGGTGCATAGATCTCACTCAGGAGGTGTGCAGTGCACAAGAATGATAACTCTACCTTTTATAATTTTTGTGTTATTGCCCTTTGTTATTTTTCATACTTAATTTTTCAATTCAATTTTTTTCTCAAAAAGTATTTGAGGTATCAACTTGAAACTTCATAGGTGGATAGATTTTACTGAGGAGGGATGCAGCACACAAGAATGATAACCTACCCTGCATTATTTTTAAGTTATTGCCCTTTGTTATTTTCAGCCATCAGTATTCACATAGGTTTCAAATCTGTAATCACTATAGTCATCAGTTTTCATTACCAAAAGACCTCTTAAAATGGAATTATTCTGCTCTACTACTTGTACATTCTTCCAATGAGCAAACACATTCGGCGGGGGATGGCCATGTTGACATGGCTCTTGTTTACTCTTTTTTGTGTAAACAAGGTTTATGATACATAGGTATGGGGTCATATGTGTTTACCAAACTTTAAACAGACAAGCCACACAAACACGAACATTCAGTAATTATTTATTGCATACCTTTTGGCTATATGCCTTCATCAGTGCAAAACCATTTTCTTTTTTTTTTCTTTTTTTTTTTTACCAAACTTTGAAAGACAGGTTCTTGTTTCTTAATTAATGTTGGTAATGCGTGAAAACTGTGACTGTGAGACAACTTGGTGTTTGAATATGAATATCATTTATTATCAGTTTGTTATAATTTTGATATTTTCAGTGGTTCTTTGGTAATTATGCATACCAAATTGCCTTACATGATACAGAAGTTGGTGTTGTAAATGTGCTGTCATCAACATCATCATTATTTACACTGATATGTGCAGCCATATATCCAGGATCATCAGCCGATAGATTTAGTCTTTCTAAACTTGTTGCTGTGCTTGTCAGGTTGGTTGTTTTACTGTCAGATATTACTTCACACAACGTTACTAAACTTTATAAAATACATTTTTTTTTTCGAAGCAAAATAATTAAGACATTATTTAAAATTTTTATTTAGGCCCATTTATAATATATTAAGTACTCAAAAATAATCTTTGTTTGTTTGTTTTGTTGGATTTTAAGTCACATTTTCATTCTAGTATTCTGTCATTGTTTTAATCACGATATCAGGGCTTTTCCCTTAATATAACAGTGGCCTATAAAAGGTAACTTTCCAGTAGAAATTTTCTTTAAAATTATGCAGTTTTCCCAAAAAGAAACTAAACTTTTATCACCTTTGTTACTTCCAATTTAGCAATTTTAATGATAACTCTTCTCAAAATCAAGAGGTTAAGGCCTTTTCCCAATTAAGATAGAAAAATCCCTGAATATAAACAACAATTTTACAATTCACAGACAGAAATATTATCAAATATATAGCTTTATAAACTTAAAGTGATAATCATATAACCCGTTTGGTAAGCATAGTCAAGCAATATTTCTGACATATTAAATAGAATTTTCAGGTTTTGTTTTACTCTTAATGTGTTCTTTCTCTTTAGTATCATGGCAAAATTAAAAAACATGCTATCTGTTATCACAATATGAAACCCCAGAAAAAAGTAACCAATGAACGAGCATCTGAATATGATATTTCTATTGTAATCCCTTTCTCTATCGTCACATTAAGTAAACCCCAGCAAAAATGAGCCAACCTGCACTCCAGTAAACGCACTGTGCATGTATGTGTATACGATATAACTCTGACACATTTTCAACAGAAAGGTCCCCAAATTATTATACAAGTTTTATTATATTACAGTATAGGTGGTGTGGTGATGGTGAGTGTATCAGACCTAAAGTTTGAAGATAAAATACCAGCTGGAGCTCTCTGGGCGTTATCTAGTGCTATATTATACGCCATCTACCTGGTTGGCTTGAGAAGAAAAGTTGATCATGAAGATAAACTTGATATACCATTGTTTTTTGGTAAACTAATTAAGTTATATATATATATATCCATCTATTGAAATAATAAACTTTTTCAATCAGTAGTGGGATAAACAACTCTGGAGACAGTTTTATCAATGTGTCATAGTCTACAACATTTTAATGTCAGTGCCATTAGTTTGTGACTGATTTTTAAAAAGCCTTTGATATAGAAAGATTAGTTTAAACATATTTATTTTAGCTTGATTGTGAAACAAGTTCTTGCAACTAATGTTAATCACTTTTGAGTCTGCTTCCCGGAACTAACCAGTACTGGTGTCAAATGAGGAAACATGATTGTGACCCCTATAGGGCTCGAACCTATGTGTCCTGGGTTGAGAGGCAGACACCTTAACCACTAGGCCAGCCCTCACCTCAAAAAAAAGATTAAATGATCTTATAATTATACATTAAAATGCAGTTATATATTCTTGTACAATAACATGATAAATCCATTATTAATCAATATTGCAATACTCTGACTTTATGGTTTATTTCTGTATTTTTTCAGGTTTTGTAGGCTTATTTACATCAATTTTATTGTGGCCAGGATTTTTAATACTTCACTATTCAAAGATTGAAACATTCCAGTGGCCAAACAGTGAACAAATATTGTTTATCGTGATAAACGGATTAGTTGGTACCGTCCTCTCTGAATTTTTATGGCTCTGGTAAGTGCTTTGTTTCTGAATTGGAAAAAATAATGTTGTTGAAATTTTGTTCTTATGTTTCTTATAACGTAAACTTGGTTTCTTTATTATCTCGAAAATTTGAAGAATAAGGAAAGCTATTATACTTACCCAGGTTTCAATGTCCTGGTCACATTTCGGTTTAGTTCTTAGTGCAAGTTGGTTTTCTTGGAATCATTTAGTTACTATAAGGATAACAAAGATTGAACATTTTTCCGACAAGTTCATAAATGGGTCTCTTCCCTAGATGAAAGATGTTTTTGATTACTCAGAGTATATTGCCCCGTCTTTGTGGTTCTTTAGTTTATTATTTGTTATTGATGTGCATTGAGTTTCATTCACAAATGTGCAGGCAGGTTAGGGGTGCATCCATTGCATAAAGTTTAGCCATATTGTAGTTTCTTCAAGAACTTTCTTTTTTTAGATCAAGTTACCAATTCTTCTTTCATTTATGTACTAGGAGCTTATTAAGTTTTAAAGTTAAAAATGAAAAAAAGCAACAAATAATAAATTTTGGTAATAAGCCATAAATAACATCAAAGAAATTGTATATTTCAGGGGCTGTTTTTTGACATCATCACTTATAGCAACTTCGGCACTTAGTCTAGTTACACCATTGTCTATGATAGCTGATGTTGTTATAAAAGGGGTGAGTAGATATCTTTGATATACAATTTAATGTGTACAGTTATGTGCAAGCAATATTTAAAATGTCGGCAGTTTGTTATTTATGTGAACACAAGTGTATGTTTAAACTGCCGTTCAACATTTCATAATATAACTTATGGTCTGTAGTAAAGTTACGAGTTAGACTTAGCAAGCGAAATTGCATACTGCAGTATGTCTTAGAAACAAGGTTTTTTTTGCCCCTCACAAATCAATATAATAATGTTATAACTGGAATATCTATCTTCTTTTATTGATGAATGAGATGATAATTTAGGCTTGTATTTACCACATTAAATAATGAGTTATGGTTATTTCTAGTTAACATCAACTTTCAAATTTGTAACACATTTAATTAATTTATAACTCTCCATATAAACCTATGATAACCAACAAATACTCCATTGCAGATAGATTTAATCAGGTAGTCAATGAGCATCATCAGGATTCTCTTTCTTTGAATTATGATTATCTCCCTTTGAATTATAATTACTAGTATCTCCCTTTTGAGACAAATTATTATATACATGTATTGATTACTTTTAGTGATACATCTAGTTTCTTTACCTCTGAAAACAATTTTGGCATGTATTGTTTTGCATCTGGTTGTCCAACTGTCTGTTAGCAAGTTTGCGTCTGTCTTGAATCTTTCAAACCAATGGAACAATTGAACCAAGGTCTCTTAGCTAATTGAAAGATTATTTTTGATTACTGAAACAAGTTTTCATTCGGGCGTACAGTGCCCTGCCTTGCGGTGCTCTCATTTAGATTTTTCAGAAATTATAACTAAGGAAATGTTCTATATTCAGGAAATAAAGCAGGTCATCATGTTGAAATTACTTTAATTATGTCTTTTGTTACAAAAAGAAACAGTATTTTCTCTATGTCTATCGTCATTTGAGAAAACATTCCTATCAAGGAGAGTGATTAACAAATGCAAATGACCACATGAAATATTGTTGTAAATTTCATAAAATTTCTATTCTACGCAGGTCTCATATACTTGGTTGTTTTATCTTGGATCGGTTCCCGTGTTTGTAGCTTTTATGGCTGTCAGCTGTTTGACACATTTTGAGTCCTGGGATCCAGTGTTGTTACTAGTTAAGAAAATTCTACATTGTTTATGTTCAAGAAGAGTTGTTCCAATTTCTAGGTAAGAAAGGTTTTATTTAATTTATTATACATGTGTGTGATGGCCTAGTACAGCCTTTATAGCTCATCTGTGTTGTGATCACCCTTTGTCTATTGCCTGCCCTTCATCAGCTTTTGTGTTAAATTATAAAATACAAAAAATCCATCACCAATTTGTGATAAGACTTTACAGAAATAATCCTGTGATGGTCTACTACACTCAGGCTAGTAGATTTTGATGATATTCAACAAAAAGGAACCTTTGGTGGTACTTTACAAAAACAATTAAAATTGAACATAAATATTTTTCTCTGGAGTAATTGCACTCAGGTGATCAATTTAGGGCTTGGCCATCTTGTTTGATATGTATATGTATATCGTTGCTTAAATCAAAATGTGCTTTCTTTAACCATGAAACTTGACATATAGGATTTTTCTCAGCATCCACTGACTTGCATAAGGAAATATGGCTACCAAGAAGACCTGCTATTACCAATATGTTTTGGTTGATGGATAATTGCCAATTTTTACAGGATTACCTCCCATGACAATGTGGTCACCATTATATTATAACATGAAAGTCAAAGATTTTTTATTAGTTTACTATAGACGTGAGTGTCTCAGGTTAAATTTCCAAACTTTTATAAATTACATTATATGACATTTATATTGCAAATATACATACGGTCATATAACCTTTCAGGAATATTTATAACAATTTTATAATACAGCAAACTTCACAAATTGACAACATCTGTGTATATAAACATTGCAATTATCCAATGAAAAGCTATGTTACAAACATGCACTGTTATAATGCACTCTATATTGCCATTCTAAAATGCTAATAAAAAGTGAATTTATAAGAATATTTTGAACTACATTGAGCATCGAAGAAATATTCCTGATATCATTGGGTTAAATGTTTATGTGATTTAATTGGAAAAAGAAAGTAAGGTGATATCCATACCTTGATGTTATATCATATTTTATGCTTATTTTATTAATTAACTGAATCCCAGGGACCCCCACCCCCTGGAGCCGCGCATGCAGAATAAATATATACTTCAGCATTGATGTTGTATTTGCTTAGCCTCGTTGTTATACTTCAGATAATCTGTATTTAAGGCAAGCTGTTGTAGTATTACATTTCAGTTAAACAGTATTCAAGCCATATTGAAGTCAAAATACATAGCAGTTAATCAATATTTAAGCTATAATTGTGTCAAATTACACTTTGGTTAACCAGTGTTTCATGCCATTCAAGCTTAAGTATTGAGAATTGTTTGGGAAACCAACATATTTGTTTCTTATTTTGTCAGCATTTTATGTGTATCAAAACTCACCCTCTATTGTGACATACTCAAAAATTCAAAAATCACAGCACTTCTAAATACACAGAAAAATGTATTGCAAGAAGAACACACTGTAGCTTTTTTTAATACCGCACAATATGCACAGGAGCTTGTTGTGCAGGCTTTAAGGTTATGTCTTTTTTTTAGCTCACCTGTCACAAAGTGACAGCCTGAACTGTTGCCATCACTGATTCTTTGATTATTTGTTGTCTGTCGTCTACAATACACTGAAATGACATCTTCTCTGAAATCATACAACCAAATTTGATAAAACTTGGCGAAAATATTCCTTGCATAAAGCTTTACCAAGTTTGTTCAAATTGGTATATCTGGGTCACAGAAGCTAAAATAGAATTTTAATAATAAAATTTTAAAAATAATCTTTGAAAGTGCAATGCATAGACTTTAGATATTTAGCAAGTGGAAATCATCCAAGTTTGTTTGTGGTTAAAATTGGATTCTTTCATTTGAGATTGCTATTCAACTAGCTGGTTTGTGGTTCTACTCCAGTGCCTGTTTGTTGCTAAAGTAATGCATGGTGGGACACCGGAGGTCTTCTTTGACTAGTAATGCTGAAAAGTCGACATAATTATGACATATACAGTGTTGGTGCAATGTAAAACCCAACCAAAAATTAAAATACAAGCAAAACTTTTTATAACTTTTTTCATGACTTTCATACCAACAATTGACTTTCCATAGCAACCAATTTTTTTTACATTTGCACTTTTTCAGATGCCGATATGAACTTATCATTGATATTATATATCTGCTTTTCATTTATATTTAACAAAATTAATGTTCCTTATAATTTAGAACCTTTATCTTCAGACGAGCAATATTAGGGCCGTCATGCCACCCTCTTTAGTTACAATTTTAAGCGATTCCTTGTAAAAACTAGTCATTTCAGCACAATTTAGTAGTACAGAATGAATTATGATATTTATCACACCCAACTTCTGCTTGCATGTACATTGCTTTCATTGGGTTCTTTTGTAATTTTTTTCATGTTTAGTTGATTTATTCAGTTAGGTATATATTATATTTTCACACAGTATGGTGGATGGCATTGGTCCGTGGAAAAGAAAAATCAGGTTTGCATGTTTGCACTGCACCTTTAGTTAGTACATTGGGAGATTGTTAAATAAGTTATACATTATATAGTTATGCTAGATCAGTTTAACTATTACAATATTTAAATAAAACTGCATACTTTTTGGCTATTTTTAGATTTTTTGAGCACAACATATTATTATTATTATGAGCTTTTGTAATCCCCCTATATCCATCATTTGTCAGCAATACATTCTTTACACAACATACCCTTTGAAACCAAAGAAAACTACACAGGAATGATCCTAGCTGTATTGTTTAACAACAAAATTTTTTAAAATCTTCTTTTATGTGGCATGTAAGAAGATTTAATTGATCTATATCTAAATCGTGCATAATCGTGCTTATATAAGCGTGTTTCGACGGCTTTTTGACCCCCCCCCCCCTTTTTGAGGCCTCAAACAGTGAAAAAATGTCCTATTTAGACCCCAAACACTGATTTTCGTTTGAGAAATGTTGTAAAAAAAAGTGACCATTTTTTCGGCGCCGTCCCCCATCCAAATAATACATCAGGGGGTTGCCAGAAGGGGGATGTGCCCCCTTCTGTTTGGGGGGTTTGAAGGGGGGCGGATTCCCCCTCATCGCCAAGAAATTTTTGGACTTGTGAGAGGCTGTAAATGACCCCAGATTGATGATAAGGTAACGTGTAACCAACGCTGAAAAGCCTTTGACTCTATCTCAATCCCTTGAGAAGTGGCAGCACTTTGAAATAAATTTTGATGGAAACAATCGAGGCAAAATAGTGATTTTTGGCAATTTTGAGATGTCCCCTCGTTGCCATGGTAACAGGAAATTTAAGACTGAGCATGTCGTTACAAAGGCAATGGTCCAGTCAACATTTGTGCCAAGTTTGATTAGTATTGAAGTATTTTTCATAGTTTCATAGCAGTTTGAACTTGTTAGAGGAGGCTTTTCAGTGAAAATGGCCATTTTTCACAATATGCTCATGGGGGAAAGGGTTAATAGGCACTGCCTCAGGGATCATGGGTTTTCCGTAAATAAAAATAAGAGTAAAATTTTTAAAATTATTCAATACTGGAACCACAAGGGCTGGAGTTTTAGTAACATTTGCATGAAACATCTAGTGGATATTTCCGAGGTTGTTGAAGTTATGGTCCTGGGATCAACATTGTCCCTGCAAAGGGGGTCATGGGTTTTCCTTATATGTATAAGTGCAGTAAAAACTTTCAACAAATCTTTTTTTTCTGAAACCTCGGTGATAAAGCTTAGATATTTGTCATCATCTAAAGGATCTCTACTACATGTAAGACAAATTATGGCCATGGTTTACTGAGGGTTATGGGTTGTCCTTTTAAACACATTTAAATTTTCTTGTGGGAGACTACAATGCCCAGAGCATGTAGCATTGCTTTATAGAGCTTTACAAAAATTATATAGATTAAGCCCCAGCCCAGTGTTCACAAAGATTTAAGGATCAGGATCAAGATCAGGATCAAATATAAAAGCTCTAATATTCTTCATTGTTTATCCTTATCAATTGAATATCTAATATTTATTGATAACATTGGATTTGCAATAGCAAGTTTATGAAATTTTAGAATGAATTTATTGTTATTTTTGCAAGATGTGGGCATTTTACAGTTGATCCAAATATTGATCCTGATCCTAAAATTGATCCTAATTTTGATCTGAATATTTTTGTATTTGTTTTGTTATTTGTTGATTTTATCCCAAAATAAATTGGTTTCTTTGGAAATAGCAATTTTTTACACTTTGAAAATTTAGCATTTAATTCTAGCAAAACAAGATTAATTTAAGTAACAATAAACAATGAAAATAAAATCAGGATCACTTGATCCTGATCTTTTCTTAGTGAACACAGGGCCTGGGGTCGAAAACGGCCTTGCCAAGGGTCAGTTAGTTTTCAAAGACTTAAATAGTAAACATATCATAAAAATAGACTTAAGCAGTAAAAATGTCTTAAAAATCTCCTCTGTAACTTCTTTCTAGCTTAATAAAGGAAGCTTGGTAAAGAAGGTGCCTGCTCTGTACATTGATTCAATGTGCACTTGAGTAGTACAACCTAGCTAGTTATTCTCCTTACATGAGGAAATTCATGATACCTGGCAGGATTTGAACCTAAGCAGTTAGGGGCAAGTGATTTAATGTCCTCAAATAAACAAGGAATGTTGTGGTAATTTAAGTCATGTCCATGCAGACCATATCCTCTGGTGAGCAATAAAGGGCCATCATGTTCCCCTTGTTTAGTCTTTAGCTTTCCGTTACAAAACTTGGCTATAACACAAAAACCCATGCACCTGTAGTCTCCATGTTTCACAGGGGCATGCACTTTCAGCCAGACCCATTTAGAGGACAAATGTTCAAATATTAAGATTACAAGGGTCAAAGGAGGGGGCATGTCATTTATTTGAGCATAAAGCTTATTTATATTTTGTTTGCACTTTTTTAAAAAGAAAACAAATATGCTTTCTGCATTCAGATCAATGTATTGTGCATGTCTCTGGATGTCTTTGTGTCATTTGAAAGTTTCAGTGTTCTGTTTAGTTGCTTAATATTTATTTCCACTGTTTCTGTGATGTTTATTTGAATATAAAGATTTGTTTTAAAAAGCAGTCGAAATAACTAAATGTTTATCATCAGTGATTGACTGTTAGATATGTCAAACTTAGTTTTTATGCTCCAACTGGTGTGAACTTCTAGAACAAACTGTAATTATAACATTATACATAAAGAACTGGTTTTTTTTGTTGTTGTTTTTATGGTTTTATATTTTGTATTTTGTCAAGTTTTATGTCGCATCAAAACTGTAAATGGTCATATGGCATTTTTCTAGTCCTCAGGCGCCCCTCCAAGTATGATTTTAGGCATGGGTAGAAATTGAAAAAAAAACACTGACATTCAGTAAAATAGCTGGTAAACTTCCTCACAATAAAGCTTCCAAGGTCCCTGTCAGGATTTGAACCCACATGGGTGAGGGGCAAGTAGGTTTAAATATTAGCTGTATTTTCAATACAATTAAAATATTTTTTTTCTTCTTGCAGGATGAGGGACGTTGATAAAGAACAGTCAGAAAGTTTGATTGGAGTGAATGTAGCCACGGAGTAAACAATATGATTTAACAATATATTCTTCTTAAGTTGATAACCAAATGCAATGTCTATATTATGGAATTTTAAAAAAAATTGTGAAAAACTGTGTTATTATTGGTTTTTTTTGGAATGGATCATTATATGGAGTTATTATGCTATACGACTATTTGAAAATGTTGTTGTTCAACTTCTTTTTGTGAGCTCATGTATGACATCATAAACCGTCTGGTGTTTGTCTGTCTGCCTGTTTAAATTGTATTTCAAACAGATTTTCATATAATATATCACATGGCCAATAATGACGAAACTTGGACGCGATGTTTCCTGCTTGAATCTCTTATCCATTTGTTCAAATAATTCAATTCTATGTTGAAGTGTGGTTGCCATGGTAATGAACTGGGGGAAAAAGTAAGGAAAAGAATCAGAGGAAAGGCATATTATAACTTAGCTGTTTGGCAAATGGCATCTTTTAGAACTCCATTTAGACTGCTCAAATTAATTATGTCTGTGGGTTTAAAATTGAAAAAGTCTTTAAAGAAACTATGATTAAGCTAGAGCTTTGATATTTTGCATGAAACCTCTACCAAGTTTTTCAAATTATAGTCCTGGGTTTCCATTATTTGTATATACATGTAGTTAAAAAACTTAAAAAATCATCTCCTCAGAAATCATGGACCCTAGAGCTTAGATATTTGGCATTGAAAAACATCCTCTAGTTGACCACTACCAAGTTCAAATTATAGCACTGGGGTCAAAACTGACCTTACCTCAGATGGTGTTGGGTTTTTCTATATGTATATAGTAAAACTTTTAAAAATCATCTTAATTTAAACCATAAAGGCAAAAGTTTAGATATATCATATGGCAAGAAACAGCGTCTAGTTCCAAGTTTGTCAAATTATAGGCCTTGGTCAAAGTTGGCTCTGCCCAGAAGGTTTTCCATGTATTTAGTAAAAACTAAAGATATAAAACTTAGATATCCGGCATTAAACAAAGGGTAGTAGAAAATTGAAAATAATCAACCAGTGAATTCCATAGCAACCAAGGACTTCCATAGCATCAACTGACTTTATAAAGCAACCACTGACATGCATATCACCAGTGACTTCCAAAGCAACTACTAATTTTCAGTGGCAACCTAGCTCTGACTTCCGTAGCAAACAGTCATTGCATAGCAACCATTGACTTACATAACCATTGACTTCCATTGCAACCAGTGACTTCCATACCTATTCTGATGCATTAATTGACCTAGATTCTGACCTTATACAGGCTTAACATTTATAGTTATCAATATTAGTTGTTACTCACATTTAGAGCTTGAATAGCCAGTTGAGCAAAAAGGACCATCAAGGTCCTCTTGTTTAATTATGCCAATCATGATTTAGAAATAGTCATTTTTCCAAGAAAAAAAAATCTAGAAATTATAGAGTTTACCTTCACATACAAATGTAATTAAAAACCTTTTTTACTCACAATATGTTTGTAGATGTAATGTTGACAGTAGATGTCCTGTGATTTGAATGCTGATAAATTTCATTATATTTAAATGGTAAAACTGTGAATGTTGATATTTAAGATTTTATGTTTTGCAGAATTGTACATATGACAAAGAACCAATTAAACATGTTAATATTATTTCAGGCCATACATAGTTGCAAGACAGTGGTTATTGAAGAATATTGTTTAATATTATGGTATGTTTTGGGTTATTTGTATTTTTATGATATAGAAAATGAATTTATATTGTAAGCAACTTATCACAGAGAGAAGGTATATTTTCTAGAAAAGACAAGGCCTTTCAGCATTTTTGCTTCATTTTAAATATGGCATGTGATAATGAACATAAGGTAACATAGGTCAAAGGTGAATGTTGCGGTCAGAGTTCAATGTTGCAGAGAGCTTAGCCTTGAATATGTTCTGCTAAATGTATATAATGTATGAAGGGTTTGTTCTACCAAATTTTGTTGAGTTATCACCTCTTATTTATGGTTGGTTTATTTATTAAACTGTATTAACAAAAAGTGAGTCAGGAACTTCCCCAATGTATTGGCCAAGAAAAGTATGTATTCCACATATTCCAGTCTTTCATTTTATGCATACAGTGTATGTAAAATAGTAAGATGTCTGTATATCGTTAACTGTCATTAAGATACATTTGCATTTGTTTCATTGCATTGTATGTTAATGTTTTGAAAGTGTATTTTCATTGTAAATGTTTATGTGAAATCACTGTCATTGAGTGCTATGGCAGTCAATATCTTGTATTCTATGTAGTCTCTAGTTTGCATTTATGTAGATTTATCATTTAAGTAAAATTCATTGGGTATACTGTTATGACAAAGTATTTTTGTTTCAAATAATAATTATTGTTTCTGCTTTGTTTGGTTTGTATTAAACCAATATACATAAACATGTTATTCACTTTATTTTATGCATTGAAATATTCTTACTGAACAGAATGTCAGTTGCAAAAGAGAAGAGTGCACTTAAATTTTAGCTCAAGTAAGCACAATATTCAAAGCTGAGCTTTTGTGATAGCATGATGTCCATTGTCGATCATGTTGTGTTATCCAAAATGTCTTTAAACAACATCTTCTTAACCAAATGATAGATGTTGACCAAACTTCACAGGAATGATCGATAGGTGGCTCTGTACAAAAGATTTAATTGGTTCCATACCGAGGCATGTCACATAGGTGCTGGTCACAGACACTTTAAGGACACTTAAAAATGAGATCCTTTGAAATAATTTCCTAAGAAACTACAATGCCCAGAGCTCAGATTTTTTGTGAAGTAACTCAAGTGTGACCTTTACCATCAGGGACAAACAAATCTTTTACTACCTGAAGTGAATACGATTTAAAATTTCAATTAACGATGTTTCATAAAAATTTTATTTGCAGTTTATTGATATAATCCCTATTATACCCGGAAAAAACAACAATCAGGAACAAACTTTCATATTAATTAATTCAATAATGACCTTAACCTGTGAAACACCTTCGACATAATAAAAATAATAGAAGCCTGAAGTTTTTGCATTTGATTATAACTTGTTTATGAAGAGTTTTGTTTTAGGAGTAAAAGCTGTTTTAGGGTGGTGAGTAAAAGCTGTTTTAGGGTGGTATTTATTACATTCAGTGATAGTTCCAGTTATTGTAGAGCTTACTCATTTAGAATGTAGCATTGCCTAGTGGTCCTCTACTTACGTTACATAATCATATCCCTTTTGTTTAAGATGATCCCAATGTATCCAAATGACCTAGTGCATTAAAGAGTGATATTTTCCAGCAATGGATCTCAAATGAGCAATCTAAGGTCTTAATGTCCTTTTGTTTAATTTAAATAAAAACTTGAAACCAAATTAAATTCATTGATTTTATGTACAATTTATTTACATTTGCGAGTTGTGTGAAATAGATAAATACGGGTGGTAGTTGTCTAGTAATTGGCTTGACAGTACAGTTCTTGCCTTTTACAGATGAAAGTAGAAGGAAGGTAAGCTGTAATGTTTTATACCAAAATACCATGCTTTATTTAAGTTAACTTTTTTGTGTAAATTGTTTTAACTCTGAATGAAAGCTTCTGTGGGGATATATAAAAGTTGTTATATCGGGTTAAATGAGTAAAAGTTGTTATATTATGTTAAATCATATGTATATACTATAATTTATGATGTTTACATATAAGAGATATGTATATTAGAGAGTGAGAGAATTATTTATAAGATCTGTGGAAAATTAAATGGTTAAATCTTTATCATTGTTGTTTCTCTCTGTTCCCTAGTAAACTAGTATTTCTTATTTGACCATGCAACCTTGTTTTGGTTGATCTTTCTACCTCATACTTCATTGGAACTCCATTGGCCGAGTGGTTAACACATCAGACTAGTAAGTAATCTAAGGATTGCTGGATGATTAGGTTCAGACCCTGTTGGAAGCAAGCCATTGTTTCCTTGAGTTACACTCATTGCCAAGTACTGGTTCGTTCCAGAACAGATTCGAGTGTTTCAAAAAGGTTATAGCATCCAACACAGTTGAACTAAAATAAATTTGTATGAACTAATGGAACTACCTAGCTGATGTATTATAATCCTTTGTTTGTAAATCAGGAAACTTGTCAAATGTCCATTACTTAAGTTATAAGGATGTTTTCAACATTAAGAATTTTTGGCAAACCCAGGTTATACAAGGTAGTATGGTGAATATTCAGCAGCGCATGGTGGGGAATAAAATTTTGTAACAGTTTTCTCAGAAATTACTGATCACAACCTCTTGATATTTGGTATGCAGCATTAACATGTGGTCCCATACCACAAGATATGATTTCAGGTCTGTCACTCAACCACTTCCTGTAAACCGACTAAGTTAAATTTTCGACATTAATGGTCAATGGAAGGAAATTTTTGTAACATTTTATTTAGCAACTACTTATCACAGACTCATACAGCATTAACATGGATCCAATACCGTGTGATTCAATTTCAGGTTTGTCACTCATCCACTTCCTGTTTATCGAATGAGTTAAATTTTCGACATTAATGGTCAATGGTTAAAATTTCCGTAACACCACAGCCTCATGATATTTGGTAAACAAATTCAACCTGGCCATTAAATTTTGCTTTGACCCATTCTTAAATTTTCTTGCTCTGTTTTAATTTGTTGCTATCAAATGCATTTTCTACATTAACTATAAAAATTATATAATATAAGATAGCATAAGAGAATACAAAATTTCCATCCCTCATATAACTGTCCTGGTTTAAAAAGCCATGCATATGAGGTCTGGTGCCATAGTCAAATTCAAACTGATCAGATAGAATCTGTCCCTAATGATCTGCGTGGACAGGTCAAATCTGAATTTGCAACACATACCCAGTGTTTCCCAGATTTCAAAACAGGCAAAATACCTGGAGCAAAGAGATTGAATGTCTTCAAGCTCAATTATCTGTTACCTTTCATACAGATGGTGGATTTTGAAGCATGTAAATTTCCAGGCAGTTAAAGAACCTGTCTATGCTGGGGGGAAAAAAAAAGAGTAACGAAGTATGTTTAGATTTTTTTTCTTTATTTAAATCATTACATTTAGATACTTGCCAATACTTTTGAAAAATATCATGAAAATCTAAAATCACTGCCTCAATTATACAATAGATCATTGTTGTTTTTTACTAATTATCCAAATAAAGATCATCCAAACCAATAAAGAAAGCATGGTAAAATCTATATTGAGTCCATGCTTCAAAAAATTAATTGGCTTATGAACAATTATAATTTTGCTTGCATAGCTCACAAAAAAACAAAACAACAAAAACACAATATATAGGCCATTCATTTTCTAATATTTAAAACAAATGTGTCTTGATGATTAAAATAAGTGAAGAAAAAAAAAAGAGCAATACAAAAAGGTAAAATAAAACTTGGCAGTGTAAGCTTTAGATAGACTATTATAAAATAAAACAAACACAAAAATAATAAATACACCAGGCATCTTACGAATATAAAATATATTGAAAAATACATTCAAACAAAATATTCTATTCTGTACTCATGTTACAATAACAATGCCATGAGAAACTAGAACTATCGCTGAATGCGATTCATACCCCCACCAATGTCCTTGACATAAGACCACTTTGAAAGGTGGTTAAGGGAATAACTTATGTGGCACAAATACATAAAAAGAAATTATCTCTGGCGAAAAAAAGATTAATTGTACAGGTAATAGTATAAATATATATTAACAAATCATGGTCGAAACAGTTTCAAATAACCTTTCATTTTCCCAATATATTAAACATTTTATTTATAAGTCAATTTTTGACCTTCAAGTGTGGCCTTGACCTTAATCTGGCACAAGGGTAAGATTGGTTTTGCACATCACCCAGTTTGGTTGAACATTTGAGTAAAGTTTGAAGAAAATCCTTCCATTAGTATAGAATTTATAGAGTAGACACAATATATTGTCTAGTATTGGTTGTATGTAAATTTGAAGACTTAAAAAGGGGCATAACTTTGTCAAAATGCAATACAGAGTAATGAAACTTGACCTGCATATCTTATTTGGCACACCTCGTATATCTTTTAAGTTTCAAGCAAATGCCTGCGCTAGTTTCAGAATTATTCAAGTACATGTTAAAATTTAAGAACATTTTCTAACTCAATTTTTGACTTTCAAGTTTGACCTTGACCTTTAGCCGGCACAAAGGTGACAAGGATTCTGCACATAACCTTGTTGAGGTGAAAATATGAGTAAAGTTTGAAGAAAATTCTTCCATTAGTATAGGATTTATAGAGCGGACACAACATATTGTCTAATATTTGATTGTATGTAAATTTGAAGACTTAAAAAGGGGCATAACTTTGTTAAAATGCAATACAGAGTTATGAAACTTGAACGAACAGCATATCGGAATTGTGACCCTTCAAAAATATTTTAAGTTTCAAGCAAATACCTTTTCTAGATTGAGAAATATTCAAATAAATGTTAAAATTTAAGAATATTTTCTAAGTCAATTTTTGACCTTCAAGTGTGACCTTGACCTTAAGCCAGCAAAAGAGTGACATAAGTTCTGCACATCCCCTGGTTGAGATGAACATTTGAGCCAAGATTGAAGAAAATCTTTCAATTAGTGTAGGACTTACAGAGCGGACATGACATACTGTGTAATATTAGATTGTTTGATATTTGACCTTCAATTGTGACCTTGACCTTGAGCTGACACATGGGCAACATGGGTTCTGCACATCCCCTGGTTGAGGTGAATATTTGAGTCAAGTTTGAAGAAAATCTTTCAATTAGTGTAGGACTTACAGAGCGGACACAACATACTGTGTAATATTTAATTGTTTGATATTTGACCTTCAATTGTGACCTTGACCTTGAGCTGACACATGGGCGACATGGGTTCTGCACATCCCCTTGTTGAGGTGAACATTTGAGCCAAGTTTGAAGAAAATCTTTCAAGTAGTGTAGGACTTACAGAGCGGACACGACATACTGTGTAATATTTAATTGTTTGATATTTGACCTTCAATTGTGACCTTGACCTTGAGCTGACACATGGGCGACATGGGTTCTGCACATCCCCTGCTTGAGGTGAACATTTGAGCCAAGTTTGAAGAAAATCTTTCAAGTAGTGTAGGACTTACAGAGCGGACACAACATACTGTGTAATATTTGATAGTGTTTGATATTTGACCTTCAATTGTGACCTTGACCTTGAGCTGACACATGGGCAACATGGGTTCTGCACATCCCCTTGTTGAGGTGAATATTTGAGCCAAGTTTGAAGAAAATCTTTCAATTAGTGTAGGACTTACAGAGCGGACACAACATACTAAGTAATATTTGATTATTTGATATTTGACCTTCGAGTGTGACCTTGACCTTGAGCTGGCACATGGGCAACATGGGTTCTGCACATCCCCTTGTTGAGGTGAACATTTGAGCCAAGTTTGAAGAAAAACTTTCAAGTAGTGTAGGACTTACAGAGTGGACACAACATACTGTGTAATATTCGATAGTGTTTGATATTTGACCTTCAATTGTGACCTTGACCTTGAGCTGACACATGGGCAACATGGGTTCTGCACATCCCCTTGTTGAGGTGAATATTTGAGTCAAGTTTGAAGAAAATCTTTCAAGTAGTGTAGGACTTACAGAGCGGACACGACATACTGTGTAATATTTAATTGTTTGATATTTGACCTTCAATTGTGACCTTGACCTTGAGCTGACACATGGGCGACATGGGTTCTGCATATCCCCTGCTTGAGGTGAACATTTGAGCCAAGTTTGAAGAAAATCTTTCAAGTAGTGTAGGACTTACAGAGCGGACACGACATACTGTGTAATATTTCATAGTGTTTGATATTTGACCTTCAATTGTGACCTTGACCTTGAGCTGACACATGGGCAATATGGGTTCTGCACATCCTCTTGTTGAGGTGAACATTTGAGCCAAGTTTGAAGAAAATCCTTCAATTGGTATAGGAGTTATAGAGCGGACACGAAAATGGAGACGGACCGACCGACCGACGGACAGACCGACGCGACAAAGCGAATCCATTATAGCCCCCCCCACATTTTGTGGTGGGGGTATAAAAATAATCATTTTACAAAGAACAAGAGGACCAAGTTGGCCCTGGATTGCTCACCTGAGATACTTTGCTAGAAAAGGTCACAATTCTTTGGTGGGAAAGTAAGTAATAAGGTCTCATAAGGTTGTCATTTCTCACCAAAACTGCATTATTTTCAGAACCCTTGTTGATATACCCTAGGTAATATTTAATGACTAATTACCAAAGCTCTGGACACAATATACATGTTTTACTAAAGCTCTGGACACAATATACATGTTTCATACTATGTAATGTCATGTATTTAAACTAAATGTCCCCCAAAAGCTGGACCTTTTCAAGGACCAGGGACATGCCTTATATAACTTTTGTGAGGGACCATAAAACACTGCTTCTTGTCAAAACTCTAAAATCTGGGCATTAAAGTTTCACATAAGAAGGCACAAATGGATTTCCTTTAAGTCTACATAAACAAAGTGACACGTAGGATAGGCCCAATTTTAACCAAAGGGGAATGACATTAGAAGAGAGCCACAAAATGATACTACAGTGCCAAATATTTAAGCTCTGAGCAATGTGATATCTCAGGAAAGGATATTTAAGATTTCATTTTTTAGCTTATGTGAGGTACTAATTTATTAGACTGAAACCATTTATAAGACTTATGTAGATGGCTATCTAAGAATCATTCCTGTGAAGTTTGGTCAAAATACATTTAGTTGTATAAGAGATGTTGTTTATAACAATGGACATCAAAGAACTGACAGAAGACACACTGCCATCACAAATGCTTACCTCTGAGCACTTCATGCTCAGGTTATCTAAAGATATACCATACTTTAACAAGCAATTATCATAGTATTGCAAGCAATCCATAAGTCCCCTACCGGTAAGAGCCCAAGCAACATTCTGAAGGGCCATTGGCCATTCACTTAGGTTCCTATTTTAAGTAAATTTGTTGAAAAAGTTCTTTAAAAGTGATCACAGGAAACAGTTTTTATGTACAGACAGACGGACTGAAGGACACTCTAAAGTTATTTTTTAAACATCCCTGTTATCAAAATATAACATTTTTAAAATCCTATCATGATTGAAGAAGTTGGAGTAAAAATTACCAATTTCTCAAAAAAAAAGTCTAAGTTCAAAAGGGGCATAATTCTGGAAATAGTCTTGCTAGAGTATTGAACACTCACAAATGTTGAGTGACAATAAGAAACATTTATATGAAGTTTGAAGTAGATACATTCAGAAAAAAGAAGTTATTAAAAAAAAAACAATGTTTTTTTTCATGTAAATTTTATGTTCAAGGGAGGTAATTCTGATAAATTTTGTGCTAGAGTTGTAAACCTTGTCACATATGATGTGGTTGATGACAAGCAACTTATATTTAAAGTTTGAAGAAAATACCTTAAGAAATAAAGAACTTATAGTGAAAAAACTTAAAAACTAGAATCAGAAATCTTGAAATTCAGTCTATTTGTTGCCATAGCAACCAGAATTTTCAACATAGGAAGATAAAAAAGGATGTGCATAATTTCCATACTGCCATCTACCCATATGTCAAGTTTCATAAACATATTTTCAGTCCTTTTTGTGTTATCGCGGGATCCAGGTTATGTGTAAAATTTGCCATATTTTCAGTCTATTTGTTGCCATAGCAACCAGAATTTTCAACATAGGAAGAAAAGAAAAAGACGTGCATAATCTCCATACTGCCATCTATCCATATATCAAGTTTCATTAAAATATTTTCAGTACTTTTTGCGTTATCGCGGGATCCAGTTTTGTGGACGGACTGACGAACGGACAGACGGACGGAGGGTAAACCTAAAATCCCCTCCGGTAAACCGGTAGGGGACTAATAATCTTTATTACTAGATATACATATATGTTTGTTTGTTTAATTGGGTTTTATGTCACACAGACACATTCTGGGTCATATGGCAATGTTCCAGCTTTACTGGGGGAGGAAGACCTCAGGTGCCCTTCCATGCATTATTTCAGGCATGAACGGGCACCTGAGTAGAACCACTGACGTTCCATAAGCTAGCTGGATAGCTTCCTCACATGAATGAATCCAAAGTTAAGTCCCTGTCAGGATTCAAACCCACAGCGGTGAGGGGCAAGTGGTTTGAAGTCAACGACCTTAACCACTCGGCCACAGACACCCCCTACATGTTAATGAAGAGAGAAAAGCATTCCACTGATCATAGTTATATAACAATACATATATATTTTCACCAAAACATAAATTTAAATGAAACGTAACAACTTGCATATCTGTTCCATGATAAAATACTAATAAAAATAGACGTCCTGTCAATTTATAATGAAACAATTTGGCCCTATATTGCTCACCCAAAGAAACCTCAAGTTGTTAAGAACATTTCATCAACTCTTATCAGTTGGGTGAAAAATTGTAGAAAATCAAAGGAACTTCACACTAAGTTTGTTACAGTCAAGCAAAAGTGTTTTGTATCTAGGGGTTTATGCACTTTATTTGTAGAATATCTATTTAGTATTAAAGAGATATTCATAACAAAACTGACCAGATCAGTATTTTCCATCTAAAATCACATATGTTTATCACCTTGTATCAAGATTTCATTTGAAGATGATTTTTTTTTCCATATTTTTATGCAACTACATGTATTTTGTAAAGTGGACTGAAATAATTTCAGTTATTTTCATAGAGGATCATTCACAGTATTATTGCATTAATAAGTGGTTCAATAGTATATGTATTATAAATTTTATATAAATGATAACTCAAACATATTGGGCAACAATGGGCAAAGGTTAGTCACAGTATGATATTACAGTGTGTCACACTAACAGATACACATTTTTCAACATAGACAATACATTAAGTCTGGTGTAACAAAAATAAACAAACAAAAAATATACATAAGTTTGTAAAATAAAGATCTCAGTTGTAATAAGTGTTTGCCTCTCATCATTCCCTTCTTGAAAAATGTCAGTTAAGTTAACCTTAATTATTTTTTTTTCTTTGCAGTCTTTCTAAAATACCTTAAACTAAAAAATTTCAACTAGAGCCCGCTTTTGGTAAACACCTATGCCCTTAGTCTTGTCAGAAATGAATTTGATAAAAAGTTTTACCTGTTCACTCAGACAAGAAAACAATGTTAACACAGTTACATAACTTGACAAAGTTATAACCTCTTGTTCTTGACTATGGTTAATCAAATATATGCAAAGACCTTAGCTTTTACCCAGTGACTACATACTTCCGTTAGTTAGAAGACCACAAGAATCTCTGTGTGTGTGTGTATAGGTTTGCCACCATATCTGCATTCCAGCCAATTAGACAGTAAGAACTTAAGATATATCCATATTGCCAGTTTAAGTTAACCTCATACAGTCAGACATATGGGTTTTGTCTTCGACCTTTGATCTCTAAAACCCCAAAAGAAACCTCTTTTCACCCAATGAGCTTTTTGCCCTACACTGAACATAGGGAATTTATCTCATTATGTCACCCCAAGTGTGGTCAGAGAGTTCAATTACTACATGCCCAAGGTCATAAATAGGCTTATATGCTATCAATTAACATTAAGCAATGTCAACAACAAACAAGGCAGAATAATTTTATAAAAAAAAAAAAAAAAAATACATATAACAATCCAAATAATAACATGACCTACATGTATTAACATACAAACATTACATTAACATTCATAAATTCTGCTTTGTACCTAAACACTTTAAATCAAATTGGGATATGACACAATATATAACACAGGTTATAATACCTTTAGATCATTTTAAAACCCGAGAACCATAGCGAGACACAGTTGATTTAAACACTCTAAGCTTATGCTATACACAATACATCTTTTACCATGACAGAGTCATCTTAACCAAATGAACATGATTTTTTCAAGTTCAAGAAAAGTACTTAAAATCTAGGCCATGAAGATCAAGACAAGAAAATTTCAATGGCACGTTTTCATATAACTGACCATTGACACTGGTTAAATTTGACCCCTAACAGGTGTGATTTAATTTAACTTTTGCCAAGGTCCAATTTGAAATATTATAACATTTAAGTTTTAGACCATATAGTTTCAGACAATGAAGATTTAAATAAATTTATATGTAAGAAAAGAGAAAACGCCAAACTTGACATTTCTAAACATTTAGAGAAAAACATTGAAGCTAAGGGTTTACTAAGGAAACATTAATTTTTGGTGCAAAATTTCACATTTGAAATTAAACATGTCAGTGTTGTCATAAGCATAATTTCATTCAAGTATGAATCCAATCTGGCCATTCGTAACAAAGTTATAACCAGTCATAGTAAAAAAATCTAGCAAAATTAAAAAAATTTGGCCTTGAAAGTCAAGGCCAGTTATCAGTAATTTGTAAAGGTCAAATTCAGTCTGGTCAACTTGAAGGTCTTGTCCTATTTGATGTTGTGTCCAAAGTATGAAGAAAATGCATTAAAAATATGAAAATTATGACCAATGTTTAAGTTGTGGATGGGAACATGATTGGTATTAGAAATAACTAGAACTGTGTCCAAAGGACACGGATGCCCCCACTGACAACATGTATATGGTGTATAGTAAAAAAATCGACAAAGGGCCATAATTCGGTTAAATTTGGTCCAAGCAAAAATTCCTTCCTTTACTACCATCTACACATTTAGGTTGTTCATCCCTGGAAGTTTAAGCAAAATCTGCCATCCGGTTTAAGAGTTGCGTTCACAAAATTTCTACATGGTATATAGTGAAAAAATTAACAAAGGGCCATAATTCTGTTAAATTTGGTCGCAGCAAAAATTCCTTCCTTTACGACCATCTACACATTTAGGTTGTTCATCCCTGAAAGTTTCAGCAAAATCTGCCATCCGGTTTAAGTCACAAGATTTTGGGACGGACGGACAAGTGCAACGCTATATGCTCCCACTTTGTGGGGGCATAAAAATAAACTTATCAGTGACTCCATTGAGAAACAAATTTTTTCACCAAGGAACATGGTAATATCAATTTGGTAGATGACAATATGGCAGAAAAATACATACCAAAACTTTGGGCCTTTAAGTTTCTGACTAGATTTTTTAAAGATTTCATTTTTCACATTACTCTCCTGTGGCTTACTTTACATTGGAAATCAAACTAGAGATCATTTTTCCTTTTTACTTAGGGTAATATATATTTAATAGTTGCAACCTTTGAACTTTTTGACACTTTTTCTCAGTTGAGTTAATCATCAAAAATAAAAAAATATATATAAAAATACACTAATCAATGTTTTCGGCTCTTTGTCTTTTTCTGTACTGGAGTTGATGTTTTATTAGGAGTACATGATAAGTTTCTCACTACACCATTTACTGATCTTAGTGGACTAAAATCTGAACGATCTTTGTGAGGACTTCCAAAGTTAAATTCAATTTCAGCATCTACTTTTTCAACTCCATCCTTTGGCACAGTTTTCTTCCTTTTAGGTGTACTTGCTCTACCTCTTACTGGAGAGCATATTTGGTGACTACCAACTTTCAGATTCGTAGTATTTTGTTTGGAAGGAGTTTTTCTTGGACTACAATTAAAACTAAAATACACTGATGAATTTTCAACCTTCATTGAAGAGTTAGGTCCCTGTTTCAAAGAATTTTCTATATAACCTTCAACAGCATCATTCCAAGAAGAATTTGAAGTTTTATTTGGAGAAGGAAAAAATACTGGAACATACTTCACAAGGTTTTCCGCTTCAGATTTTTTATCAGTATCCTCAACAACCCATTCATGTTCATCATCTTTAAGGAATTCTATCTCAGAACGTTCCTCGTATGACATATCTGAAGGCAATTTGTCTTCATTTGTAAACCCATCAAAATTTTCATTGTCATCCTCACTAGATAAAAGTTTTGAAATACTGCGCTCACTCAACAGGCTCCAGCTTCTGTTAAGTTTTACTTTTTCACAGTTTTCCTTCTTGTCATCAGTGTTTATAGGTGACCATGTCAATGAAAACTTATCATTAACATTTTCATTTTCTCCTGAAACAGTGGTTTTCTCCGAATGATCCTGCAATAGTCTTCTTCTTGGTGTACAATTTTCAACTTTCCTTCTTTTCCCCTCTGGACAGGACGACTCTGAATTTTTACGTTTCCATTGTCTACGCCTTTCCTCTCTTGGTGTAACACTAAATCCACTTCTTGATTCTTTCTTTGGTTGACATCTCTCTGGGGTTTTTACTAAACCACAAGACTTATTTGTCCTATCAATGGACGTTTCCTGTTTATCCATGTATATTTCATTCTCTGAATCCAAACAAATGTCTTTCGAGGTATTAGCATTTCCATCATTGATTGCCTTTAAACTGTCCACAAAATTTCTCCTTACATTGTTGTTAGACCTAACATTAGAACTATAAACTGATGTAAGAATTTCACTTGCTCCCTTTTTATTACAGGAAGAGTTGTCATCTGATTTATACACTTGTCTTGGTGACCTAATAAATACAGGAGACTTCCTCCTTACCCTTTGTATTTTCTGATTTATTGTCAACTTAAACACTGGTGAGTTGCTCAAGTCATTATCTGTGTCACTGTCATCAACCATCATATCTTCACATTCACTTTGTGCTTCTCCTGATGCTTCACATTTTTCCAATTTTTCATCACAGTTAATAACTACAGAATCATCATCGCAACGGCGCAACCTTGACCTTCGAACTATGTTTAAATCATTCCAAGTATCTTGCAGTTGTTGTACTTCCTTTGGCAAAAACTTGGCCACATTTACAGGTGTTCCTTTATCTGGAATTTCATTTGTCATATCTGTACAAGCCCTAACTCCTGGAACTTCTAATACTCGGTTTTTATGTTTTGACTTTTCAATTTTACTTTTGGTACTTACTATTTCATTATGTTTTATACCTGTTTGCATAAGTGCATTTTTGTCAGTTGTATTAATATTTTCTTCCTTATGTTTTTTACACATTTTCTGATGTTGTTTTTCTGGCATATCACTAAAATCATCAGATTGTTCACTTGATTGCTGACTTTCACTTTCATTATAGTTCACTCTTACTTGTCTTTTTCTTAAACCTCTATCAATACAATTAGATTTCAATGTCTTCTTTGTTCTCAATCTCAAAACTCTACATTCTGCATTTGAAGAGTCACTATTGTAGTCATAGTCTTTTGAATATTTCAGTGCTTTAATTTTCTTAGAATATTCCATTGCATTTTGATCTGTTTCAGTATTATCATTCCCAAGGATATAATGTTGAGTGCAATTTTTAGATTTAACATTTTTTACCACTCTTCCAGACTCAGTTACTTCAGCACCTGTGTTTATTTCTTTATCCCTGTTTTGAACTTCTCTTCCAACATAAGATTTGGTTGAACTGATTTCCAACTTTCTACCTTTTCTCCTTTCCTGCCTGTCTAACATACCTCCTGTATTCCAGGAATCTCTCAATATGTTAGGAATATTGCCACTATCTAACATTGTTTTACATTCTTCAACAGGTACAAATTCCCAAAATCTGCTAGGTTTCTTTGATTTAGAACTTCTCGACTCCTTTTCACACTTACCATTTTCATTAACAGATTCTTCTACATTAATTTGGGAAATCTTTGTTGTTTGTTCACCAAGATCATCATTATCACTAATGTAGTCTGTATCAGTATCTACATATGTCTTCTCACTTTTCCTCCTTTGAGATCTGTCTAATAATTCACCAGTATTCCATGAATCTATTAATTCATTTGGAATGGGAAGATAACTTTCCCCTTGTAAAGTGTTATTTTCCATTGAAACATTACAGATTGCTTCAGAACTGTTCTTAGTTTTCTTAGTTTTCTTTGTTTTCCTGGTACTGTTAAAGTCATTTGTGGAAATATATTTATCATCAGGCAGTTCTTTCGTCGAAGGTTCATTTTCTTGTTCATTCTGGTCAATATTGGTCTCTACAACTTCAGTAACATAATACCAGAATTTATTACTCCTACCTCCTTTTTCTCTCTTACCAGTACTTGTTTCCTGGACTTGCTCCAGATTTTCATTTGTTTGATTTGGTTTGCTACAATTTCTTTTTCCCTCATTGCTTTTATGCTTCTCATCATTAACCATTTTAGATGTCAATTTAGCATCCCTTATCTTAGAGTTCCTTCTTGACCTTTGTGAATCTGAATCAGAAACATCAGTTTCAAACCAAGAACTTGCGGCTTCTAATTCCTTCAATTCTTTTCGTAAACCTGTAAGCTTCTCATTGCGTATTGGACTTTTTTTACTTTCTACAATCGGTTTATAATGCCAAAATCTATTCCCTGCTTTCTTTTTACTTGGTTTAATCTGTTTAAGCTGTGGAGTTTTTTCATTTTCATCATCCCCTTGGTAACCATTCAGAACATTCTCATTTTGGACCTTTCCAAATCTTTTTTTACGATACTTGTTTAAGACCTTGGAACTTGCTATGCTACTTCCAGTCTTCTTTTTTTCAATACCTTTCTTCAATTTTTCATTTTGTCCTTTGACAGTCAGTGGATCTGACTGGTTGCTACTGAAGGAATTACTCCTGGATCTAGATGGAAGTCGAAATAGGGCATTGACATTGTAGGACTCTACTGAAGATCTTCTACCCAGTGATCTTTCTTTAATCCTCTCAGCAAGTGTTTTACAGAATGTTATAACATTGCCTCTTTCGTCATAGCACTGGAAATCTGATGGAATATCCGAGTCAACATCAATATCAAACACATCCTTAACTTTTCTCTCTCTTTTCTTTTCAGTTTCTTTTGTAACTTTGACTTCTGTGCTATTTTGCGTTATTTCTCTTTTCGAACATTTGTCTTTCTTCTTGTTTTCTTGCCGAGGTGAATTAGAAAGTGCGTTATTATCAACATCTCTGTTTGCTTTCTTTGACTTCCTCACAGACTGTGTTTTTTCACAGAGTTGATCAAAAGTCTTATCAAGAGCTTCCTCATTTGAAACTTTAGGCATTGGTAAAGGTCCATCTAAACTTCTTGCAAAACAAATTTCAAAATCATCACTCGATTGTTCAACAGCAGTCCTTTTCTTACCAAAATTAACTATTTCTGCAAAACCAAATTTAATCAATTTATAATCATCCACTACCAAGTCTTCCAACAAAGTATCTTTATCAGAATCATCAACAGATTCAACAGTCATCTTTTTTTTACACTCTTCAACATTCTTCAATGCTTTTTCAGCACATTTTATGGGACTTTTATTGCTCACATTAACAATATTTTGTACTTCCTCAATATCAACGCATTTCTGTTTCTCATCAGGATTACTAGATTTTTTCTTAGATTTTTCAATTGTATCCAATTTTTGCTTACAAGGTGAAATATTTTCCTTATTTATTTCATCACTGACTCTTATATTTTCCCAAGCCTCTTTAGTTTCAATAGCAAATCTTTCATTCAATGATTTTCTTGGAGATGACATTTTGTTACTTTCATTTATTTTTGACACATCCTTATTCATTTCTTCACGTTTCATGGTATTCATCTCTGTGTTGTTTACTTTTTGTATTCCTACAGACTGTCTCAACCTTGGACTTCTACAACCATTTCCATCTTCTTTATTTCTAATCTTTAAATTAGGAGATTTTACCCCTGTATCAGTATGACGTTTTGTTGGCGTTTTTCTAATTTCACTGTCTTTTGTTTTCAGTACATCTGGTGTTTTAGATACATTGACTGATTCATCATTTTTTAAAGTTTGTTGATTTTTTCTAGGTGATACTCTTACAGATTCCCTAGCAACAGATGAACCAGTCTTTAATGGCAAGCACTTTTTTGGCGATGACATTATGGACTGCTTCTGTGGTTTACATGGGGAGTTGATAATTCTATTAGAATCTGGAACAGTCTTCCTAGGAGATCTTCTTACACTATTTTCCCTGAAAAAGCATTAACATTAATCTACTATAACATATATATCAACCTAAAACATAAAAACTTGTAATTTTGCATTTTAAAACAATAGTTATATGGCCACTGTAGAGTTTTACTTATATATAAGATATACATTTGTATATGCCTGCTATCTTTAATTCTCTCTGTTTTAACTTCAGATGACCAATATTCTATCTTGCATATTATTCTCATAATATCACAGACTGGTTGGTGGCCTTGTGATTAATGTGTCCTATCAAACTTTGTGGGTTTCAAGCTTTACTTGTTTTATTACAAAGTCAAGTATACAAAATCTATTTAAATCATTCTATCAAGTCTACATTTCACCTGAAATGATATTTAGTTTTACAAAATGCCACGACCTTGAATTTTCTCTGACTAAGAAGAAATGTTCTAAAAAAAAATCAACTATATCACGATTACACTTATTGAACATATCATACCTGTCAAGTACAGAGTTTCTAAGATGTGCAGCTTTTGTCAAGTATTCAAACAAGAAATGCTGTGTATTTGGTCCTGATTGAATCAGTGAATCCAACTTGTTATAATTAGTCTTTGTCTTTACATACTGTCTATGTTGTTCTTCCAGTACATGCTAAAATCAAAATCAACATTTGTATTTAGTTTTCTATATTTAAGTAAGACATAATAATAATCATGATGCAGGGATCATTCTAGGGGGCGATTTCCGCGATTTCTCGCAAAAATATCACCAAAATCTCAGAGAAATTTGTGAAATGAGAGAAAATCTCGCACGGCAATTTGAGCCGGAAAATGTCTAAACACAATCTAAGGAATGCTAAAATTACACAAAATATGATGAAAAATTCACGATTCCCATCAAGAATTTAATTTCAAATTGTTTATTAATGAAATCGGTGTAAAAAAACTCCAAAAAGTAGTCCAACACTTTGAATTATTTAGCCTAAAATAATTGCCGATCGGAGACCGCAAATTCACCGTACAGAAATAAGGTATGATGGCTAACCTTTATCTATCTGTAAGTCGAGAATTTACACAAAACACTTTTAATTGATTTTAATAAAAAAATTTAGACACAGACTAACATAAAAATGGACATGTCAAAAATAAATCTACCGGTAAAATTTGTCTTCTAAATGTCACATCAACCACGGTAAATTTTGCCGTAAAGAACAAATTTAAAAATTTTGTTTTACGATTCCTGATGAAATAGCCGATAATAAATGTTCTTTTATTGAACAAAAATATTTAATTTTATATAATTGCAATCAGCAACAGCTAGAATTGTGAATGTTTCAGCGGAAAACAGACAAATATTCATTTGTCACATATTTTCGCGATGTCGTGATTAAAAAAAATTCTAAAAGGAAGCCGAGTGTTATTTAAAGGTGTTTTATAACACTAAAAATGATGTTTATGAATAAAAATTACTTTAGTTATTGTTTATATTTGTGGATATGGAGATATTTGTCATTATGTGTTCAGGTATATTTTTTAATGGAGGGAGGTGTGTGAAGAGAATCATAAAGAAAACAAAATGATAGGTTATAAAAATATTCTTCAAATCTCAACAATTACTTCTGTACAGTACAGTGTTGTCCATTAGGAACATTGACTGCAAAAAATAGTTGTAGTAGATATCCATGTATAATTCTTTTATATTTCTGAATAAAGGTGTTATATTTATTTTTCGTAATTAGAATTTTACTATGTTTAAAAAATCACAAAAGAAAAGGCATAAGATGTGTTAAAAAAGTGAAAACAAAAATCACTGTAATAAACAGAGCTACATCTTCTTATATCCTCATTAGATAAACAATGTTTATATGTTCAGTGATTTTTAAAAAGTTAGAAATTTCCATATTTTTAACCTCGCCCACCATGAAAATTAAATCTCTCAAGAAAATCTAATTTCTCTCATCAAAATGTCTCAAATGAGAGAAAATCTCTCACTAAAAATCCTGACCAGGATGATCCCTGTGATGGCAATTACAATATTTTGTAAGTCTTATATCTGTGAAACCCTTTGTCACTGACTATATAAATATACATGTAGACGTGTTTTATAAGGTATTTAAGATTACAATATTTATTTATAAAAACCTTTATCTTTGGTTTATACAGATTTAATTTAAGTTTGATTGTGTAGCGACCAGTATAAGCTTATAGACACACTTTCGAATACGTCCCTGAAACTAACCAGTGCTGAGCAATGAGTGCAGTAAAGTTTGTTACTCAAGGAATCAACAACTTGCCCCTGACAAGGGTTGACCCCATGCAGCTAGCGATCATTAGATTACTTGTCTGATCCTTAAACCATTTGGCCATGCCACCACATCTGATCACCTTTATCTTTGATGATTCAAGTCCCAGAAAGTTTTAAACAAGAGGGCCATGATGGCCCTGAGGTCGCTCACCTGTATATAGGCCCCCCAACCCCCCCCCCCCCCCCCCAAACGTTGCAGGGCCAATTTAACCAAAGGGCTTTTATTTGCACAAACTTGGTAGACACCCATAAGAAGATGTTTCATGCTTAACATCTAAGCTCTAGCTCATTGGGCTATTTAAAAGAAGATTTTTTTTAAGTTTTTACTATACACATATAGTTAAAAACAATGACACCCCTGGGGCCGGGCCAGTTATGACCCCAGGGTTTTTATTTGAACAAACTTTGTAGACACTTACTAGAATATGTCTCATGCTTAATATCTAAACTCTAGCTATTTGGGTTTTTTCAAAGAAGATTTTAAGTTTTTGCTATACACATATAAGGAAAATCAATGACCCCGGCGGCGGCGCCAATTTGACCCCAGGTCTTTTTATTTGAACAAACTTTGTAGACACTCACTAAAAGATGTTTCATGCTTAATATCTTAACTCTAGCTATTTGGGTTTTTTTCAAAAAAGATTTTTTAAGTTTTTGCTATACACATATAAGGAAAATCAATGACCCCCGGGGCGGGGCCAATTTTGACCCCAGGGCTTTTATTTGAACAAACTTGGTAGACACCTATTAGAACATGTTTGATGCTAAATATCTTAACCATAGCTCTTTGAGTTCTTTAAAAGAAGATTTTTTAAGTTTTTACTATATGCATATAGGGAAAATCAATGACCCCCCCGGGCGGGGTCAATTTTGACCCAAGGGCTTTTATTTGAACAAACTACACTTATTAGAACATGTTTAATGCTAAATATCTTAGCTCTAACTCTTTTGGTTCTTTAAAAGAAGATTTTTTAAGTTTTTACTATATGCATATAGGGAAAATCAATGACCCCCTGGGGCGGGGCCAATTTTGACCCCAGGGCTTTTCTTTGAACAAACTTGGTAGACACCTATTAGAACATGTTTGATGCTCAATATCTTAGCCATAGCTCTTTGAGTTCTTTAAAAGAAGATTTTTTAAGTTTTTACTATATGCATATAGGGAAAATCAATGACCCCCCGGGGCGGGGCCAATTTTGACCCCAGGGCTTTTATTTGAACAAACTTGGTAGACACTCACTAGAAGATGTTTCATGCCAAATATCTAAGCTCTAGCTCTTATGGTTTTTTTAAAGAAGATATTTAAAGTTTTTTCTTTCGGTTGCCATGGCAACCAGAGTTCTGCATGGAATTAAATTCTTTGAACAATTTTTAAAGGTGACCACCAAAGGAACATTCCTGTGAAGTTTGGATGAAATTGGCCTTGTGGTTTATGAGGAGATGTCATTTAAAGTAAAAGTTTATGGACGACGGACAGACGCCGGACGAAAAGCGATCACAAAAGCTCACCCGGTCACTTTGTGACAGGTAAGCTAAAAACTATAACCTTATATGTTTTATTGAAATTTGTTTTCTATTAATTACCACATTAACAAGTATATCAGATATTAAGTCAACTTATGTTATGCTTTTTAAGGCTGGATTTAACTGAAGGTCTTTTAAAAGCCAATAGTGGATTTTCAAGAACCATTTAAAGACTGTACAAACCTTTGACCTTAACCTTTGACCTGAAATTTCATATAGCAGGAATAACCAAGTGTATCTACATATAAAATTCATGACAATAATTACGTTTTTCTTTCATTGAAAAACTGGAGCTAAAATAACTTACCTTATCTAAATCTTCATATTTGACATGACAACATTCGCAATATCCTCTCTTCCTTTCCTGCTTCCTTTTTAGTTCTTTCCGTCTCTTTAACTCTCCAGCTGTAAGGATTCTCCCTGCACCAACATCAGACTCTGATTTTTTCACACTTTTACTGTGGTTATAAGAAACAAAATGAGTTGAATAATTGAATATTAAATGATATTTGAAGGGAGAAGAATCTGCAACATTAAACTCTGTGCTGTTTTAGCATATAAAACTAGAGATGAAAGATGCACCTGACTATTTTTTCAACCCATATAGACCTACTGACTTTGGGTGTGGTTGACAAGAACTTATCAAAGTGCATCCATAACCAAAAGAAATAAAATCTTAATCCAAAAGGAAGAAGGTGATTTATGACTCCATGTAACAGTAAATAACTTACTCTACTAACGGTTTAGTTGTACTGTCAGCAGAATCACACACATCTTTTTCCTCTTGTGGCGTGTCTTCACTAGGTATATCCACTTGTGCTGCCAGCAACTCCCCTCGTTCCTCGCGTGACTCATCGCCACTGTAAATACAGATACACATTCATGTTTAAACTAGTTAAAATCAATAGAAAATATCCCTAATAGTGACAGATCATTGAATATTTGTATAATGTTATGTGATATTAAAAGGTAAAATTAGAAGCACCTTACTTCATGATGAGTGATTAAGACCACTTTGCCCCTCAATGCTGTGGGTAGAAACTTTTGATTCTTTCATATGAGAAAGCTATCCAGCTAGCTTTTGGAAGGTTGGGGATCTACTTGGGTGCCTACTCATGCTTGAAAAATACACAGAGGAGCATCTGAGGTCTTCCTCAACCAGTAAAGGTTAAAGTTGACAAAAATGACCATAATAAACAATGGAAAGAAGTATAAATCCAATAAATGTCTCAATTATCATGTTAAATTTACTTTGTAAACAAGAAATAGTTTGACATTACCCTTTTATAAGAGTGCCATCAAATGGACAAGAGCCTTTTGGTGTATCAACATTCAATCTTGGCCATACATCAAGTTCCATATGAAATGGTCGGTAACAAAAGTTGTCTGTTTCCAGCTTCACATATGGTGCCTTTAACAATTTGTCTACAAAACAATACAATATGTTATCAATGATTTCTTTTTCAAAATAATGGCATCGATTGTTTTATTTTCAACAGTAAAAGTTCCTTTATGGTTTCATAGCTCAAATGAAGATTTATCAACATTGTAAGTTTCAAAAAGCATTATTTGTAAAGATATTACCAAATTTACATTTCATGTTAATTCAGGGAGGTACTTGGAAATTTATTTTCGATAAAGTCTAAGCTAAATTTTCAATAAGAAATGAATGCACATATTTTAAAGATTACTAATAATGCATGTAAACATATGCAGTACATATTCTTGGATGTTTGGAAATTGTTTTAGAAAAATAATTATGTACATAATTATATAAAATTTCACTAAAATGTTGCTACATCCTTAATGACAACATACAGGATCTTTAAAAAAAAAAATAATATCAACAAAAGTTTTAATGTTGTAATGGAATAACCAACAATCAGAAATATGATATAAATCTCTTCTTTAAGTAATTCCAGTGCCGTATATAAATGATTTGCATGTTTAAGATGACATTATTCTGCCATCATGAATGAAGTTGTAAATTAACATGCTACTGAAAAACAGTGCTTTCAGCTGGCTCTATCAATACCTGCAGTCTCAACATACTTACATGAAGATACACATTTTGACTTGATGTTTTTCTGAAATTACAAACAAAAACACATGTATATACACAATGTTATAATGACTATATAGCTAATAACATTTAAGCAGTATTTGTAATGAGAAATACAGATTAATTAAAGTACTTCTTTTATTGACATGGAATAACAGGGTACTTTTTAAATGTCAATCTTTTCAATAACATGTCATGAAAAAATACATTGCTGACATGAATTTCATCCAAACTGACAAAACTTTCAAAACAAAGTCTAAAATAGAGGATTAGATTTTTTCCGTAACTTGGCAAATGTGGGTTTTTCCAAGCTAATCCCACGGTACAAACAAGCTTTTACCGATATAGCTTCACCGTGCACTACCGGTCACAGTAGATTAGTCAATCTGTTGCTCTTATTTTTTTCGAACTGTTACTGTTAAAGTTTGTTTGTACTCCAGAATTGGCTGGGAAAAACCCAAAATATTCTTAATTCCAATGTCTATTGTAAATGTATCTCTTTGCATTGTCAAGATCAAGATTTAAAACAAGCACTGGTCGCAGCCAGCGCTCTATACTTTTCACAGTGCTGAATAGTTAAATAAAAGCAATTTAGAAAAGGGGGCATAATTATGCAAACATTCTTAGCACACTTATCTGCCCTTGATAGTCAACCAATATATCTAGTTCAGATAGAATACAATAAAGTTTTTGAGAAAAAGGCAAATATTCTAAGTCAGAAAAGGGGAAATAATTATCATGCAAAATTACTTTAAGGATTATCTGCCCCTGAGAAATGTATTTTAAATTTGATAATGGACTAGTGCTCCAAGTTTAAAGTGTGAATCTGATGCTTTTTGAGATTTTTCCTTCAGAAAAACTGGTAAAAAAAAAAGATACTTAAGAGAGCTATGGCTCTTGTGCACTGCACTTCTTCTGAAAACAATCTGTCCCTGTATGAAGTTTCAAGATGATATCTCTTATATATCATGAATTGTGTCCCAAATAAAAATTACATAAGAAAATTTTCAATAATGTTCAATACCTTTAATGTTTGTCTGGAAGACTTTGGTAATTTTTTCAGTTCTATTTCAATCCATTTGATTGCTCCTGAAATATATATATAACAGTTGTTTTGTGTATAAAATATATCAAAGAACAAATGAACGTTTAATTCAAAATAAGAGAGCCATAATCTTTTAACTACAAATTTTCTTCTTCAATAGGAAGGACCATTTTCAGTGTGTGATTCCAGGCAAGTAACAAGATCTAGCACACAAATCAGTTTGCGAAACATTTGTACATTCAAAAAGTCATAAGTATTATCATCAATAACAGTTACAATAAGCAAGAGCGATCAGTAATCACATGACGATGTTGCCTCATGATAGTCATTACTCGGCCAAAAATTATTCAACCTATAAATATTATAAAACACCTAACATACCTTCAATACTGACAATCTTCACACCCCATTTCTCAGCATTATCAAGCAAAGTGCTAGCCTGTTTACATGGAGAATTAAACATTATGTTAACTTTACAAAACCATACTACATTTACATTGCAAAATGCCACTTCGAAAATGTGTACTTACACAAATTCAGTCCATTTATAAAGGGAAATGTGTTAGATAAAAACTAGGTCAGGTAAGACAATCATTGAATTCTGGGGGTCGCTCAGTCTTGACTGTTATCAAATTTATTAAATTCTAATATCAATTTGACTGAATGATCATATAAGAATTTGACTGAATGATCCTATTAGACCAAAACTGAACTTTTTCATCACTAGTGAAGTATACATTTATAAACATAGACGTTTAATGAACATTTTATTTAACGGTGTAACTTTCACAGATAGGCTTATTTTCCTATTTCAAATAATATGCCTATTTTTAAGTAATAAAGGCCATCAAAAAATCTACAAAACCATATGATGGCCATCATTATTAAGGATATGCTAAACATTGATCTGAAGCCAAGCAATAAATCTAATTCTAAAATAAAACTGCCTGGTCTTACCTGTTTTGTATATCTTGCTTTCTCTAAAAGAGCCTTCCCTCTGGTTACCTTAAATGGAAATAAAACATTTAAACAAAAGGCTATGATATAATCCATAGATCGCTCACCTTCATTTCTATTGCTAGAAAACAGTCAGAATTCTTCATTACAGAAATAGTAATTGGATCATATTGAGGTAGGCCATTATCTGTGTCATGATTGGTAACTTTTGTAGTGATCCACTAGACAATGTTATATAAAATATACCAAATACCTTAGCTCTAGCTTAAGTAGTGTAACCCAAGAAAATTCATAATAAAATTTTTTCTTACTTATGTCTGTGATCACAAGAGGCTTATTTTGACCCTTGGAGAAGATATAAATATGTAGAAAACCACAAGATATTGCTACATTCCAATTATTAAAGACCAGGGAATTGCAGTATGTCTTACAAGAGCAGAGGGAATTAACTTTGATTAAAATTAACTTACTGAAGCGACTTTCTTGTCCTCCTTGAAACCTGGCGAAGGTGAAGGGTCACAGTTAAAGGGACTTGGAGTTGGACTTTCATCTGCACAGGCATTGGCAACTTTCTTCTTTGGGCGTGGCTGACTTGTTATCAGGTAATTTATATCACGGCTGACAAAATCTTCAAGAGTCTGCAGAAACAAAGCAATGATAGGCACATAGCAAAAGATATCAGCGAGTGATTTATAACATAACTGAAGATAAGATTTTGTGATATTGGTTATCACAATTTTAGCTAAATTCAATAACAAAGCTATAGTCAATTACAGAAAATTCTGTGAAAACACAATAATTTGACCTTCAAGGTCAAGGTCATTTCACAGTCAACATCAACATGACTGTACCAATAGCATAATTTTTTTCTTTTAAATACTCAAGCTCAAATAGCCATGTTAAAGTTTACAGAATGAACGACAGTTAACCCAGTGTTCTAGATAATTATTTTTACTCAAGAGTCAATACTCTCTGTTTTTTATACTTGAGAGTAAACTGCCAGTTTCTGGCCAAATGAAGGAGTAAAATTGACTCTCAGTTTTAAAAACTTGGGAGTCAATTTACCGCATATTATGATACATTATAATTTATATTTATACATTACAGCCTGAAAAAAATCAGAAATTGCTCTCAGTTTATAATTTATCAGAAATAGCAGCATGGCAAGGTATCATTTATATTTAGGTTTAAGGCATATTATAAGAACTTGAACCATTTTTATGTGAAATGAAGTAAATGTATACATGCAAACAGTTGTGACCTACACTGTTCAACTCTTTAAGCTTGTGGGCTAATAATCAGCCATTTCTGTACCAAATTATATGTTGAGATTACTGTTTTATGGACTGTAAATTATCTAACATATAAATGAAATAAAATAAGGTGTGATGTATAACTTAGTTTCATTGTATTTTTTCTTTAAAAAAAAGAGGAGCTAGGTACAAAATAAAAGGTTGCAATTAATTTATTTTTTACCGTTCAATGTTAGACTTTTGGATGTTGAGAACCCCTTCTCTGGCCCATTTTCCACCCATTTTGTGCTTACAACACAATGCACATTTCAAACGCACTACATTTTCCACCCATTTTGTGCTTACAACACAATGCACATTTCAAACGCACTACATTTTCCACCCATTTTGTGCTTACAACACAATGCACATTTCAAACGTACTACATCTGGCGTTACAGACAGCCACGGGAAACCTTTACACCATGATTTGATCGTAGCATCTAAATTATGCTGTCGTATGACTTCTTTTGCTCTTGCAAACAATAGTCAAAATTTCTTCAATAATTAGCTGAATTACACACTGAGAAGACACTGGGCTTGTTTACACGGTAGAATGTGTCGAATTTTCGTTGTTTGGGTTTCGAACAAGATATTATCAATGTATACAACTTGATAATTTGATAAATTTGACAATATTTTTTCGTCTACTTCAATAACGTGACAGACGCTTGATTTATCTGATGTACATCTATTACCGAGCGTCTCAGTGATACAAAGTTGACTGGTTTACAACTATAAACCCAGGCTGAGAAAATAACACACCTTTATAGAACAGTACGCTAACCAGTCAGTCATTTTTATCGGTGTCAATGTAAACATTGCCTACGCCAAATTTGTTCCACTAAATGCGTAAACTGTAATCAATAAATCATTATGCGTAAATATACGCCAAAATAATGACAAAGCTGGCGTATCCTGAGTATTTGCTTGCGTAAATGACGCCGATACGCACGCTATCTCTAATGCTGTTAACCTATTATTTATGTAGCCACATAAGTATCCTCTTGTTAGTACAGACAGATGGAAGGACAAACATGACAGAACCCTAGTCTATTAATTTTGCACTCTAGAAATTAGAGAGCATAAAAAATCCTGGCTAAAGCCTGCATACATATATAAATATAACATTTTTTAACATACAACTATTACTAGAAATTGTGATTCATATATCAATGTGCTCAGAGAGAAGTATGCTTGGAAAAGGAGTATCTTTTGACACATTAAAAACATAATGTACATAAATTGTGTGTCACATGTGCAGCAGCCAGGTCCTCCCTGATTTCATCCAACACGTATACAATTACAACAGCCGAGTGATTTATTACTTACAGCTCCAAGTTTCTTTAAGTCTTCTCTCAATTGTTTTAAATGTTTGCTTTCTTTAACATCTAGGTAAATGGTCTTTCCAATCAAAGGCAGTTTCACATTAGACTTGAGAGTTTTTGAAGGATAGCCTAACTTTCTTCTTCCCTTTGGGCTTAATTCTGAAAGAAAAGAAAGTATGTTTAAAATCACTTCTTGTAACTTTTCGTGTTTATTCTCAAGTCTCACAGTCAAACAGAATCAAACAAAATTATTATAATTTAAGTTTGCTTACCGGTACCCCATTTCAAATAAATTTTCATTATTACATATTCTTTGCAATTTACTAAAAATCCTTTTATTGGATAGTTACAAAATAGAATAATAAAATAAATGTACTTACTATATTTGGCTCCCTGGTTGTTCATTTCAAATTAGTAGTTGGACCTATCAAAATGAGCCACAGATGATCCACCCCAGTTACATGCAAGTCTGTAAGGATTATGAATTAAAAGTAAGAAAAAAGGTAAAATAGCACATTTTTCACTTCAGTTCCTGTAATAAAATAACAAGTGTTATACTGTGCCAATAAACCAATTATTTAGTGTGTACTGATTTGAAAAGCATGCACATCTGCTCATTTTAAGTGTCTTCAAAATTTTGGGGGGGGGGGGGGAGGTAGGTAAGGTAGTAAGTGTCTTGTTAATGTTACAGACAGTTCACCACTCAGAAAGTTCACCCCTCTTTTTAAGAAATTTGATTGAGACGATTCACCCAAGTGTAGGACAGAAGTCCTCCTGGACAATAGCCCTCCCATCCAAAAAATGACAAGGCTGACAGAAGCCCTCCCGTGAAAATGACAGAGTGGACAAAAGCCCTCCCATGAAGATGACTGGGCTGACAAAGCCCTCTGCAGCAAATACATATATGTATGTTGAATACCTTTTTCTTTTCAATGCACTCAAAATATTGAAATTGTAATCATGAATATTTTTGTTTTCCATTGGCATAATCCTGTCTGTATGAGCTTCAGCACATTCCTGATAGGCATCCAGTGTCTATTCTAGGACGCGCGATTGCGCGATTCACGCTAGTATTCAACAGATCGCGCACAATTCAAAATCATGTGCGTGAAAATCGCGCATCTATAAAAAAAGTTAATAAAACCGTAAAACTTTCATCCCGCATTATATTTGGTTGTTTTGTTTACATTTACACCGAAAACCGAAGGGAGGTTACTGTAAGCTAATTATAATAATTTAGTACCGTATGGTACTGGTTACGTGAGTTGACAGAAATTAACGGAATGTTCCGTATTGACCGGAACTAGTGTGCTTAGGTCTGACAGTTGGGCGCCATTTTAGTGTAGTAAATAATCAAGAAAAATTAGGCAATTCCTAGCTTGGCTACGATCTAGACGTGAAAGATAGTTCGATTATTTGTATTGCCAATCCCTTTATAATCAATCGCGGCAGTTCTGTAATAATTTGTTTTCGTTTAAAAATTCAGGGGGGACAACTTCTGCTGCCTTAAATTAATATTATCGTTTTAAATAATTATTTCATCGGTTGAACGCCTCAGTGTAAACTTAATGCAGACGATTTAACATTGGCAGTTTATATTGGCGCCCTTTGATTTTGAAAATCGCCCCCTTTTTTGAAATAGAGGGGGGAAAATCACCCCTATTTTTCAATTCCTAGAATAGACACTGGGCATCTGAATAATAAGTACTAAAATTTGTAAGGGCATATATATTCATGTAATTATGAAATGATTACTTCCATGTGAAATTAAGATTAATAGAGTAATTATTGATGAAAGGTTTAAATTAACTAAAACTTAAGTTCAAGACAATTATAGTGTGTATTTAAATGTGACTTGTTTTTTAAAAATATCGGCATTTGTGTAAAATGTTACCACTTGTTAAACTTTTCATAAAGGTATATTCTGAATGAAAGGTGGTTCTAGCGCATTGAGTCATTCACAATCTTAGGCCTATTGAACAGAACGACAAATATATGCCGTTGAACCGTATTTTCGGGGGTTAACGTTTTAAATTTAAGCCACCGTTTTTAAATTAATAGTAAGTGGAAGACAAAAAACATCAACAGTAAGTTAAAACTATGACAAACAAAAAAGGAACGTTTAAAATACGAAAATAAACTATTTCAATAATAAATCCTAATCTTTCTACTTTCACTATCGGTAGTCTGTGTCGCTCGGAAGCTGTCTCATATTTTCGGGGATTTTGATTGGATGGCCTCGTTTCGGTAGTTACGTTGCACACGCTCAAATTCTATACTGCACTCAAAATATTTCAGGACATTGGTTTAAGTTAGGCATAAGTCGCGGTGATGAATTTTTATGCGGAAATACGTTTTCAGGTTCTTTTTTGTTGCGGTGTAGTTGAAAATAACGTATAAAAATGAGAAAAGAAATAATTATAATTGAAATGACATTGACAGAGAACATGAAAATCTTTTGACATTCTTTTTTGATAGTCCAGTCAAACGCACGAGCTGTCATTCACGACCGGAAATGACGCCACGAAAATATGAGAACCCCCGAAAATATGAGAACAAGGCATATGCCATACATGTTACAATTGTAATATATGGAGTGCATTTGGAATAAAACTGATACTTAACATACATTTGTATTTTTGTTATGGGAGGGCCTTTATCCATTTTGTTTATTTCATGGGAGGGCTTTTTTCCGCCCTGTTATTTTTCTTCAAGAGGGCTTTTGTCCGGGAGAGCTTTGTCCGTTTCCCCATAATTTTCATCCCTCATTTTAAACTTATGATTTTTTTCTATTTTGGGATTATGTTAAATGTGTAAAACTGTTCAATTTTGATTGAGTATATTTACTGTTTTAACATATTATGTTATAATTTCATGGAAATAACATCCACGGTGCATATCCATATCGGTACCCTCTTTGCGAAATCAGCTGAAACGGTACCCTCTTTGTACATGCACAGGCCACTCTCTGCTCAAAACAAACCTGCGATGGATAACATGCCAGTAGAAATTCATTGTAATAAGGAAAGGAGGTATGACACGTGGAAAAGATGTATATCCCCGTACTGCCTCTTTCCGATCAGCTAACAGATTTTTCAACAATAACTGACAGTGAAATTATATATAAAAAAAATTCTCTTTCAATTCTGCAAATATTATCATTTCAGCTAATAAATGCACCAACTTTTTAAAATTTTACTTGAATTATTACTATGAATCGAGGACAAATCATTACTGACCCATTTTCCTGTTCTTCAAAATTTCACAACCACTTTTCAATCAGTTAACAAAATATAAACTGTACCACATAAAAAATGTCATACAATGTTAAAATATAATTAGTTCTGTATTTTGGAGAAATTTTGACAAACTCAACTTCAGATAAATGGTAATAAACAATTTTAACCTAATTATAATGCCGTTTTTCAATCTAGATATTTATTTGCAGTGGTAAAGCTGTCACAATTGGGGTATGGATGTACATTTCAATTTGCATAACAGAAAAAGCATGTTCTTGTGAAATTTTTAGGATCTTAGGGTCTATATGACCCCATTCTAGTGACTGCTTACTGAAAAGTTATCACAGAGAATGTTTTTCCTTGGTTAAGTGACTGTTACTTTACTGATGTATTACCTTCAAATTAAGAACTGTATGGTAAAATATGTACATATTAAAATTACAGCTTTTGAAGTGCAGTATACATTATGACTTCATGATATTGAAACAGTTGTCCAACTTAATATCCATTTCTGCAGACTGACAAAAAACTGAGTCTGTATATCAATTATTTTTAGAAAATTATTGCGATTTGTAACTGTGTAAATAAAGGATTAGTGGAAATCACACGTTTTACATATTTTGAACTAAAATGCTAGCATTTTCTTTTTTTATCGCCTAAATTGACATTGCTGCTAATAAATTTAGTCAAGGGGAATACAAGATGTGCTTACAGTTTGGTTACATGACAAATAAGGTCAAAAATAAAAAAATTCTAGGGGTGATTGAAAAGGGAAAAGAGTCAACTCGGCCCTATACCAACTCGGCACGGGTCAACTCGGCACGGGTCAACTCGGCCCACTTTACAAAAATATGTTATTACGTATTAACTTTGCTCTGCATGTTGTTAAGGTAAATAAATAATGAGAAATATCTTATAATGATATATAATTACACTTTGAACTGTCGAAATAAGTACATTTAGATTTTTTTTAATTTATTTGTCTTGCAGATTCGATAAAATTAATATAAATCTAATAAAAATGTGTTTCCTTAGATGCATTTTGTTTGTAAAGTAATATTAAAAAAAAGAAAGAAACAAAAACGTGTTTACTTCATACCATATGCTTCTAATTAATTGCAGGTGGTCACTAATCAAATGAATGAATGAGTCAATCATAATTATCACCTAATTAATCGTACATAAATTTTTTTAGTATTACTTTACAAATACTTTTCATAATTATGAGAGATTTTTTTACAAACATTTCCATGATAGTAATTATTTTGTGAGCTATACATGACAAAAAAAAGCAAACGTGGCTATTTGTTACAGATTATTGATTTAATTATCGACGGGTATAAGTTGCATTTTAGTACCTCTGAACAAGTGGCGACTATAATATACATGTATTGATTTAGTGTAGATATGTCGGAAATTAACTGTATCCCACTGTAATCTTTGTGTTACCTATATCATTAATGTACAGTGAGATACGCAATCAGTTATCTTTACTCGCATTCTACGGATAAGAGAAGCCTGTCAATCTATGTATTATAAATAATTACAATAATTACAATAAATAGTGATAAAACAAACTTAAATATTAGTAATTGAAAAGTGGGCCGAGTTGACCTGTGCCGAGTTGGAATAGGGCCGAGCTGACTCGGGGGCCGAGTACGTTTTAGGGCCGAGCTGACCCGGATTCATTGAAAAGTGGTTGTGATTGAAAACTGGCAGTGTGTGGATATTGAAATTTTACTGTATGGTTATCCATCGCAGGTTTGTTTTTAGCAGAGAGTGGCCTGTGCATGTGCAAAGAGGGTACCTTTTCAGCAGATTTCGCAAAGAGGGTACCGATATGGATATGCACCGTGACATCGTTTTCGGAAAAGTTTTAAAATAAAAAAAATTGAAAAGAACTTTTCAGCATGTGTAGAGAAAACTCGCTTTTATATTGCGGAAGGAAACCTTGGACCCTGAAATGACCCTAGTCCCTGATGCAAACAAATTCTAGATAGATAGATAATGCTTTCAAATTGTATCTTTGCTATATATTTAAAATATCAATACTTTGTTTACCCTTTTTACGCCATTTGCCGCCAATTCGTATTTGTTAGTAAAATCAAAATTGATTGGACGAAAAAATTAAACGAAAACTTACGCAAAAACACGGAATGATTTATGCTCAACTTTGTCCTAATTACCGAATAGTACTTTCAGAAGTTCAAGAATCTCAACTCAGAATAGTAGATCTAACAAAAAAATCTATGAATACGATTAAAGAGATGATTTTAATTTAAATATCGTTAACTTCATACAGTACAGACATTTCAACCAAAGTCATGTTTTCAATACCTTTCACTTTTTAGAGACATAACGCAGGTTTCTTTTTTATGAACACTTAAAGATCATTTAACTCAATTTCTATGGTTTTCTATCATAAATATGGTGCTCAAATGAAGATTTATCAATATTGTAAGTTCCTAAAAGCGTTATTTGTAAAGATATAACCGAATTTACAATTCATGTAAATAAAGAGAGGTAATTAGAAATTTATTTACTATAAAATAGAGAAAATAAGAATCCCTAAAGAAAGCCCAACACACACTATTGAAAATGTTGCAGGCACGGTTTGATGGACGGTACTGAAATGTGCAAACTAGTACTAGTGCAAACTACCGTCCACGCCCCGTAGCACCGGCTTAAGCAGAATTCAACATTTAACATGAACTGGTTCAATTTTGAAACAGATGTATTCATATGGCGGTTATCATGAAACCTTCAATGTGACACTAAGTGCCATTCCATGAAAAGCGGCATATGGTCCCCAAATAAAAAATATGTCTAAGCCAAATATTGAACAATAAGAAGTCTAAGCCAAATATTTCAATAAGAAATGAATGCATATATTGTAATGATTACATATAATGCGATTGAACATTTGCTTTACATATTTAACATATTCTTGGATGTTTGAAAATTATTGTAGAAGAATAAATATATACATTTAAAATTTCACTTACATCCTGAATCACAACTAACATGATCTTTAAATAATCTCCAATTTTATGATTTTGGATTTGAAACATGTGATATGTAATCAATACTGATTAAAGTGGCTTAGACCACGATGATATTTTTGAAACAGCAATTAAATATGTTCATTTACATTGTCTTTAATGTCGTGATTAAATGTAGTTATATATAAAAAGTTTCAATTGCATGTTAACTGTAAATTGTCAGCACGATATATGTTTAAATGTTAATAAAAATATATAGAAAATTGCCTGGAGTTCAATATTTTATCAAAAATTACTGAAAGTAAAAGAAATTGAACAAGTGAAAGGTTTATTTGTTTGCTGAAATATAAATGTTTCCATTAGAAATAATAAGGGGTGAGTGTGAAGTGTTCAACAGATTTGGAGTTCGAGTTGGGGGTTGAAATATCCTTACGGATGAAATGTCTTCAAAATTAGACGTAATTTACCTTACGAAACATAATATAATCATGGAGTATTTATTTCTCCAATTAGATATGCCAGGGGTGCAGTCATGTGGATTACTTTAATGAACGCAATAAATTTACTCGCAAATTTCTTCAAAAAGACCGTTGCTACCATAAATTATAGATTTCTTTTAAACTAATTCGGTCATCGTAATCCAGGGCAATGCAGTATTATTTTGGACTGTTAGTAAAGCTAAAATGTTTTAATTTTTGTCTTCTGTCTTCCTTCGTCGGACCATTGTAGGTGATTTGTGTTGCTCTGCCTTTTTTAAGACATCAGATATACTTTTCATGGTCATTAGGCTGTACATATCTTTTTGTATCTATATTTTCATTATCATTTTTGTGTTTCAGTTATATATCGTCTAATGTAACTATCATCATTGTTAGACGTTCACTTCACATATTACAAAGTAGTGGTTTAACTACTGTCCATTACAAGCGGGTTCCCCTTTGTAAAGGAAATGTCTTGTTTGTTGTTACATGTTTTTGTACGGTGACACGTTCTGTTATATTATATCTAAGCCGTAAACTTGTATTTCCTTTCCATGTCCTCTCAAAATCTCGTACTGGACTGCTCATTATCAACCGACTCTAGGGTTATATCAGATAACATCTAGATCTTATATGATAAGCCTTGCAATTTTGTAAGATGGTTAATTACTGGTACCAAAGAGCTTGTTCTTATAACTTTTAGACTAGACGGAAAAGCTCGTTTCCCCAAGTTCCTGTCTACTCCTATTTCAAACCAAATAGTATGCATATTTAATTTTAGTATTAATTTTCGTTAGAGAATGTTCTGAAATGTTTGCATGATCAAAATCGATCATTGACGTTTAAATACACGTATCTACAGATCTCCGATTTCAGAATTTTATAATGGACAGTTTATCATTTGTAGTAGATATTGTTTGCATATCTTGTCAACAAGTAATTATTACCTAGCAACGAATCTCTCCTATTACCAACTTATTTAACCTATATGGCTCCTCTTAAAACTTCAGGTCAAACCAATAGTAAATTGACTTTTATATATGAATTTTAACATTCATATTTCTTGCTATCGTTTTTAATATACATGTATGTTTTATTGTTGTGCTTGTGGTTTTTACTTCTTCAATCTTTATATTCGGCCATTTTCTTGTTGGGTGGTTCCAGTATACGTATTCCTCACTTGAATACTGTTGAATTACCCCTAGGATATGTGGCTTGTTGTGAAGGTTCCATGAGAATTAGTAACGATTCGCCACACTAATGATTCGCCACATAACAATTCGCCACAGAGTAATAACGATTCGCCACAGTTAAATAACGATTCGCCACAGTATGATTATAACAATGATTATTTTAGTAATCAACATACTTTTTTCTTCTTTTTTAATAATTTGACAATGACAATAATTTAATAATGTTTCTTAATACAAGTAATATGAAGTTAAGGCCCCCATCGCGGTTTTTCAATTTATCAAAGTAACGTACATTATTACAGGAGTACAATTATAAAAAAGTAATTATATGTTGAAATAAATATTGAGTAATTTTGGTAATAAAATATTTGGTAAAAAAAGTTTTCCATCAACAGTTTGAATGCAGCACGCCTCCAGATTCATGCAAATTGTCATGAACATTTTGAAAATGTTTTAAAAAGTAAATTTAAATATTGTCAAGTGAATAAAAAAAAATAATTTTCACGTTGCTTACAGTACTTACAACCCATGTAAATCAGCAGAAAGAGGTCAAAATATGCAAAAATAGCCCTCACTGCGTAGGTAACGTAGTAGAAATATAATGAATACTGCTAAATCGGTCAAAAATCGCCGATTACATATAAAATTATTACTAAAGTCTTGAATCTTTTTATTGTTCTTAAAAAACAAAGTAGGCCTTTGATTTTCTTGAAATAGTTTGATTCATCTGGAGGCATGCAGCTTTGAAAACAGGTGTGAAAAAGTTCGTATTTGAACACGTAGCGAATCGTTATTTAACTGTGGCGAATCGTTAATACTCCGTGTCGAATCGTTATGTGGCGAATCGTTAGTGTGGCGAATCGTTACATTACCTTCCATGATAACCGCCATATGAACACATTTTGGAATATTTCAAAATTCCAAATTTTCATAGTTCATGTTAGATGTTGAATTTGTTTAAGCTTGTGCTAGGTGGCGTGGGCGGTAACTTGCACCTTCCATTACCGTCCATGAACAGGCTCAATTAAACCGAGTCTGCAACATTTTCAATTTTGTCGTTTTGTGCGTTCTTTAGGGATTCTTTATTACTTCTATTTCATAAAAATCGCTGTTTGTATAAAGATAAATATAGACTTTCTTGTGGTATCTTCAGAGATAAATAAGACATCAATTTAATATAACATATTTACATATTATTTAAGTTGTATCATTTATTTTTCTAAATGATGTTCTAACCTAAGTCAGAGACTTGACTATGTGCCTATTTAGCTCCATGGTCTAATTTATACTCTTCGCATTATGTGCTTTCAGCACTTTGATTTTATTTTAAGTAATCTATTACTCAAAAGTTATCGTTCAATTACATAACAGGAAAATATACCACAGTCATTTTTATGTTATTTATTTATTTTTCTATTTATTTTCATATAGATCTTGCTATTTATTTTTTTTTTTTTAATTTAATTTTATCAAAATTTTGACCTTTCCGCGGATAAAGGTATTTTCAGCAAACACTAAAAGAAAATGGCGTCCCCCATGACAAACGTGTTTGTGGGTTCTGAAACTGGACTTCTTAAAGGAATAAGCATTGCTAAAGGCACATGGAAGAATTTAAACAATATAGAAACGCCAAATAAGGCGAACGAAATCACTTGTTTATGCTGGGATGATAAGAAGGAAACTAGTCTGACTATCGGACTTAAAAGTCATCAAATTGGAAAATACGATGTTAAAAATCAGATTATTTCTGAATTTAAACCGCTGGTACAAGGAAAAGGGGTTAATCTTAAATCTTTTGCTAAATTAGAAAATGTAATATTTGCCGGATATGACTCTGGTCATGTATCAATTCAAGCTGACAATGACACTTCTGATGAAATTACCATTGGTTCACATCTTCAGTGTTTGACAAGAAACGGAAACATTATTGGCACTGGTGGAAAAGAAACTTGCTTAAAATTGTATGACGTCAATACTATTGCAACAGGAACTCCAGTATTTCAAGCCAAAAACGTGCGAAATGACTGGCTCAATCTAAGAGTACCTGTTTGGGTGACTGGTATCAATTTCATGGAAGAAAACAAAATAGTAACATCTACAGGTATAACAAAGTTCAATAAATATCCTATAACATAAAACATTAATATTATCCATCCAATTTGGAATGGCGCAGGTACCTAAGGTGGCACAGAGGTGACATTTGTGCATTTTTATATAGTACAACATAGTATCTCGCACGCACCACTTAATTATCTTGTGCGTACAACATAGTAACTCATGGTCATGACATAGTATCTCATGCGCACCACTTAATTGTCTCATGCATGACTTATTACTCGTGTGCATGACATAAATACAAACAGACCAGTGTTTTTTTTTCACTTTGGGGGGAAGGGGGTCGGTGCCGTTTGGAGGGGGAAAAATGCAATAGGATGGGGAATTTTATTTCTTCACAAATGAGGAGAAACAAAAACGAATCCAAAGCATATTTTAATACACCACTTACCACTGTAAGATTTACTTTTGTTTGACATTCTTTTCTTTCCAGTGAGTAGAAAAGGGGAGCAACTCTTGCAACACAAGTTTAAAATACGTCGCCTTTTCTTAATAAAAGGATCTAAAATATTGACAGAATTTAAAGCGTCGCATGTTAAACTTGTTGGGACGGTTGGAGTAGCTCTCCTTACATACCTGGGAACAATTTGTAAACAACTTTGCTTTACAGTAAGTCTTACTGGCTTTAAATAAAACATTTTTCGGCAGTTATATACAAAAAAATGGAATTATTGCAGGCAAATTTTGGCTGCCATATGGGGGGAATTTCGGCTTTGAGAGGGGAAAAAAACGTACTATTTTGAGGGGGGAATGGGGCTGAATTTCACCGAATATTTTGGTGGAAAAAAACACTGCAGACACATGTCACGTCTGTGCCACCATAGGTACCAGACAAATATTGTAAAATGTTCTGTTTTGACTCTGATTAAGAATATTATCATAGGCACAGGAACTGTCCAGACAAAACCAGACATGGGGTGAATTAGATTTTAATGCTTAAATGGCAGTATGCATTAATTTTTTCAAGTAATGATAAATGTAACAGATTCAGCACATTTTAATGCTAATAAATGCATTACATGTGTTAAAATGCTCTAAATGCATTATATTTGGCATTATTTTTATTTTTACTTCTTATTCAAGAAAAACACTTAAACATTTTATTAACCATTCATGTGACTGTCCTTAAAGGTCATTATCTACCAAAGGTGATTTATAAATTTTGAATTCAGGAATTCACTGAATGATACTAAAGATAAATGCTACATGTATGTAGTATGTAGATTTTTGTGACTATACTGTTAACTGGTGTCACTTAAACATATACATTTTTAACTTGATTATAGTATCTTCAGTTTTCTCCAAGGCTAACTTACAAAGTGTTTGCTCTATCACAAGTAGCCCATTCCCAATCCAAAAAAAAACACCTCTATTTTCCCAATTTAAAAATTAATATTCCAAGCAGCAACCATGAAAATCAAAGTAATTCATTTACATGTAATTATATTTCTTAAGAGTAAAAGAAGAGTCAGATTAAAAGTGTATATTTATAAATATATGAAGTTTTTTGTGTTTGAAGGTTGGCATGGCTAACAAAACCATCCCTTGTAACAAAAAAGGAAAAATCTGTTTATAAGTTGAAATTTTCCTTTTATTAAAACTAGGAAATACTTTGCCAAATGTGAATTTTAATGAAAAGTGTTTTATACTATACTTAAATACATGTCCTTACAGTTTACATGTAAATTTATTATTTCCTTCTCTATTTTCATTTCAGGTCATCATCAAGTAAGGGTGTATGATCCAAGGGTTCAACGTAGACCAGTATTGGATATGACATTTGATGATTACCCTATAACTGCAATGTCTCTTTGCCATGACCACCAAGTTGTTGTTGGTAATACTAAGGGAAGTATGGGACTTCTTGATGTTCGAAAAGGAAAACTTGTGCATCGGTTTAAAGGATTTGCTGGCGGTATAAGATCTATACAGTGTCATTCATCCCTACCAGTTGTTGCTTCCTGTGGTTTGGACAGATTCTTTAGAGTACATGATATCAATACCAAAGAGCTGCTGCATAAAATGTATCTGAAGTCAAGACTGAACTGTTTATTAATGACTAAAGACGATTGGTGTGAAGATAGTGTGGACTGTGAAAAAGTTACAGAGAAAAATTGTAAAGCAGTAAGTAGCGATAACGAAGAAGATGAGGGTGATGATGATGTTGATGATGATCAGGTGTGGGAACAGATGCAAGTTGTTAAAACAAGAACTCTAAAAAGAAAGAAAATTGATGCAGTGGAAGAAATTGTTGACATTAAGAAACTTCCAAAGAGGAAACGTAAAACAGCAAAAAAATAAAATTACAACAATATTTTTGCTTCTTGTTTTAGCTCACTTGAGCACTGTGTGCTTGTGGTGTGTTTTTGTGATCCCCTCAGTCTGTGGTCCTTCGTCATCTAAAACTTGGCATAAATGTCTACCACATCAAGATGATGTGTCGCATCAAAGACCCTTGTCCCAAGGTGTTAAGTTTGCTATAAATATCACTTCATTTCTCTAAAACAATATTAAGCAAATTTGTTTTACTTTCTATTTCTCTTTCTTTTCATAAAAAAAAACGCTGATGCTTTAAGAAAATTTTGGGGGAGGGGGGGCGCATTCGTCACTTAGTGACAGTTCTTGTTTTGTAATTCTCTGTATATTTTTAAACAGATGGTAGGAAAATAAAACTGTTTTGTAAAAATGTTTTTAGTATTGAGAGGATGTGTTTGAGAATCCTCATATCAAGGTCACACAAGTTTATATGTATGAAAGGGAGGTTACTGTGCATTATATTTGTTTATTAGAGCAGATAACTCACATTGGCCGTGAACAATTTGCAAAAGTCATCATCTTGTATGAATATCACCCAAAACAACATAGGTCCCATAAAATAAAGAGCATAAAGGAGTAATCTTTTAAATATCCAAGTCGCAAACTAATAGAAATTTGGTCTGTTATATATGGCCTAATTGGGGAAGGTTGACAAAATAATGTTTATCTGATTGAGACAATGTTTTAGTTCATTATACTAGCCGCTAAGCTTATATAAACACTTATTATGATTAAAACCACTAACTTTATTGAGTATTGTTCAAATGCTCACTTCATTCAAAGATTCAGGAGTAAAAAAAATCCTATGAAAAGGAATTCAGGTGTTTAGTGCCTTAGGAGCTGCCTTTTATTTTTATATTATTAATTACAGGGCATTTTTTGTCAAAATTGTGAAGGGGCCTGGGCCTGTTCATTTTGTGAAAAATAGCGCGATATGTTAAAAATTGTGAAAAAATGACAAATAATTTGGCAATTTGCTGCATTTTGAAACCGGAAACAGTTTGCCATGAACACTTGATTATAATTTCTGACCTGTTTAAAATCTGCTTCAGGTTGGTACTTTAACCCAGTTAACATGCCAAAAAAACATTTGACTGAATTAAAACTATTTCTGTGTTATTGCAATTGGCATAAATCAAGTTTTACCCAAAGGTTAACAATGTACTTTGAGATAAAGTCCCAATATTTTGTGAAATCTCTTTGAAAGTTGTGAATTTTTATATGAAAACAGTCATGTATTGAAACACTTGTAAATATAAGAAGACAATACTATTTTCCTTAAACACTTGCGCTATAGTTATACAATGTACATGTAGTACAAACGACACTAAAACAATGTATCTTTAAAATATTGAGTTTTTGCAAGACTCCTGTTTTAGGCGTGAAACCCGCGTATGCTGTTGATTTTTCGGTAGTTTGGTCGTCTACTCAGTTTTACCGTTTTGTTGGTAATTAATTGTGTCTTAAAGGGTCTTAATATCAATTTGACTTAATTAAAGTCCAGGTATCCTATATTAACAAGGTGCATATACACATCATAACCACTTCGCGAAATATACAGAAACGGTACCCTTTTTGTACAAGCACAAGTCTTTCTCTACGAAAAACAAATTGACAATGGACATGTTCATTCTACAGAGGAAAGGAAAATGTGAAAAAGAAGTATACCACTGAACACTAAAATGTTTGAGCTATGTCTTTCTTTGTTGTCTAGTTTTCAATTACTCCAACGCCAAAATTATCTGTTTTAATATAGGACAAAATTTTAATTGACTCCATATAATTTAGTTGTCTTGTTTCATGTTGTTGTTTTTTTATGTCACAGGTACAATGTAACTTTCTCAATTTCTTTTCAAAATAAAGCACGGGTACCCTCTTAGTATGATATGTAGAGATAATATAAACGAGGGTACGAAATATCTAGGATGCTTTGCAATTTACAAAACAACAAAAATTTAAAAAATACATCAATACATGTATATACTATGGAGCAGGAGTGCAAATATTTGAAACAACATAATAATACAGTCACTTTCTTATACCCGCAGTCACCGCAGATGTCAGAGACCGATAATAATGTGGACGTTACGAAATTATTTCCAAAACATGCAAGTCATAATCGCGACAAAAAGGGATACAGTTTCAGTAGATTTAGCAGAGCGTACCGATTTGGATACGTACCGTGATTTATAGTTTTTTTTATCAACGAATTAAATTCATACTCGCGAGCGTCATTTAAAACTTGAGTTTAAAAAAAACAACTAAAAAACTTAGTATAATGAAATCATTGTAAGTGTGTTAAAGTGCGTTATTGGTGCGTATAAACAGAGCATGTATTATTTTATAATGGTATCATATAACCGCATCACTTGATGACCAGTTTCCGGTTTTCTCATCGCTCATAATCGTGTTTGAACACTTGATTCCGGTTTCCGTCGCGTTAAAATAGTTTTAGATGTGTGTAATGTAAGTGTATAACAAAATGGATACACAGCGTCTCTGTTTCGTTACTTTGTGCATTTTAGGTGAATAATTCTTTGTTTTTACTTTTAAAATATCTTGTTTTTATATAAAGATTAATGTATTTTTATGCAATATTATCAAAATAATTATGTATTTATTTAATTTAAGAACAGTTTGGGCATCTGAAAGGCTTTATGATCAAGTCTTGTTTAAATTGAACAGTTTTATTCAGGCGATCTTTGTATACATGTATATTGTGAGCTTTTACATTGTTATTCACATGTGTTGATTTTCAGCCAAATGGGACAGTGACATTGTATAACTACCAATGTTGTAACTATTATTTTCATGGTTTGTTCTGAACTAGTTTATTTCGGTTCTGTAATGAAGAAATATGTGAATTTGTCAGGAAACAACGCTTGACATCTATGATAGGTTTTGTCGGCACAACTCAACATGTCCATGCTTCGGTGTCGTCAAGATCAACATCATCATCATTCCTGTGATAATATTTATCATCATCATCATCATCATCATCAAAACTATCTTCATTGTTATATATGAGATTAAATACGAATATATATAAGCACTGACTAAAATGCTAAATGCTCACTGAACTCTTTAACTGATGTAAATTGCTGCATAATTGAATGTCTGTAAATACCATAAATAATTATGTTGATAGTATTAAATATCACAATCTGCCACGGGAAAAAATAGATGTTGTTTGTAATTGAAATAATGATCCGGTATGGCGTAGAAATATGTAGTAAATTGTTCAAGAACAAAATAAGGGGAGCGGTGGTCTTTTGGTTAGGAAGTCTGCCTCTCAACCCAGTGATTAAGTATTCGAGCCCTACTCGGGTCACAACCATGTTTCTTTATGTGACGCTAGTACTGGTTGGTTGCAGGAAACGGACTCGAAAGTGATTAATATAAGTTGCAAGAATTTGTTTCGCAATCGAGCTAAAGTAAATATGTTTAACTAAAACTAACAAAATATTACTGTTTATATATCATATAAATCTCACTTTGTTTCCTTAAGAATTTGATTCAAGTACGAACTTTTTTTTTAATTTATAACTAACAAGAAACCGAAACATCCGGGCAATCATAGGCGGATAATACCTTACTGTAGGCCCAAGATATGTTTTTATCAAGCAAAATATTTATTATATGTTATAAAAAGTCTTTGTTTTTTATGAAGAGAAAACGAACGTGTTTTATGCAATGATTTATAAGAAACAGCCTCAAAAATGATGACAAGGAAGCAAAATTTAATTCGTGTTTGATTTTTTTCAAGAAGAAAAATTGTTGTTATAGGAATGTACATGCATGTATTTGAAAATTTATTAAAACAATCTATTCTCTATATAAAATATGTTTTACGTTAATTGCATGAGGAAGTAAGATATTATAAAATAATGAGATAGGCTACATGATGTGATGAGAAAGTGAGTGTTTGAAACCAGTTTACAACCTTTTTCTTCCTTCTTTATTTGAAGAGGAATTCTTCCCATCACTTATACTTCTCATTCTCTTACGACCCCGACTCGATGTCTCCAATTAACATCATATTATACAAAAATAGAGAGACATGTTCGTAAGTATGATTATTTTCAACGATTTATACAGAAATAACACTTAATCATCATACTTAGTCATCGTATGTGAATACATGCAGTGCCTTAAAAATATTAACTGCTAGATAGAAAGTCCTAATTTTATCCTGTGTCTTAGGACTTACATGTATGTCAAACTATATATAGGACTAACTTAAGACCGTTTCAATAAATATTTTCTTCTTTAGTGAAAGTTTTAAACTTATTCTCCCGAGAAAAGTTACAAAATACAATGACACGCGCTTCAATCCGCAATATGTAAATGTTCATCTTTATCGCTATAATCAGAAATTGAAGAGTCTTAAGTAACATAAGAGTCATATGTTAGGACATTTTCTTTGAAACAGAAATTTTCTCAGTTGCTCAGTTATAGACTTAAGACGTATTTTAAACTTAGGACTTTCCATGAAACGCGACCCATGTGGTTTTTAAATGGATAGGCACAGTAGTTGATGTGACACAAGTAAGGGTTAGTAGATATCCACAGTAGTGCCATAAGTAAGGATAAGCTGCCACTTAAGCACGTGTCGGATTTATTTCCGTATTTACATTTCCAGCTGGGCAACTTTCGTTTACGGTCGGAAACAAGAAAATTTGCAACCAGAAGTTATTATGTAGTGACTGTATTACAGTACACCAAGATTGTGCATGGTGTAAACAAAAGGTAAACAAATTATTATATATGCAAGTCACTAAATAATGCAAACAAAACGAAAAATTAATTGTTGAAAAGTATTCAAATTAGAAATAAGTTGTGCTACAGCCCAGCAATGTTAATAATACGGACACCCCCTGGCCGAGTGGTTAACGTCGTACTTTGACTTCAAACCACTTGCCTCTTACCTGTGTAGGTTCGAATCCCACCAGGGACTTTGGATTCTTTCATACGAGGAAGCTGTCCAGCCAGCTTACCGAAGGTCGGTGGTTCTACTCAGGTGTCCGCCCGTGCCTGAATAAATGTTACACTTTTGAAGTAAAAAAAAGCAATATGTATTGATCTTGTTACATCTCTAAGTATGTTAGAAGTATCTTGAAAATGTTCGTTTCCACTTTGAACATGTATTTACAATGTTTTACTTCATTTTACTTCATTTTTCTCATTGGCTCAATTTTGAAAATGATGTTTCAAATGTGTTTTGTTAGGTACATTTTGTATATGTTTTATGATTTTTAAGTAAACGAATACTGAATTGTTTTCCTGGCAAATTGTCTTTTATTACTTTTATGTTTTCTTGTATTAAAATCAATACATCAGTACCTCATTCAGTTCTCACAGGTTCGGTGATGTTTCTTCTATTATTTATTCAGGACTTTGTAGGTACCCGATGTAGTACCTTAGATGACCTTAGAAACGAGCTTAAATGTGAAGAAGCCGAAATAATATTCCCTATGAACAATGTTACAGCATCACAGGTAAGGCCTCTGCTATAGTTTAAGAAGGCGTCAGCAGCCAAAATGCTTTATACCGCTGTCCCTCGAGACAGATATACTAAAACTATACTAAAATAATGTTTATGATTTGTTCGAAGTTCGGTCCTTCATTTGTAATTTATGTATGAATCAAGTTGTCCATCAGGTTGGATATATCACTGATTCTAACATGTATACTTCAAAATGCGTTCCTCAAGATTCATGCTAATTTTCATGTACATTTTAAAAATTTATTTAAAAGAAAAATATTGTACCGGGAACAAAGAAAGTAATTTACACATTACATTGCAAACGGCACTTACCGTCCACGCAAATGACCGAAAAGAGGACAAAATATGCAAAAGTAGCCCTTCCTATACGTACGTCAGTCACGTAGCAGTTTATACTGTAACATCAGTCATTAATCTCACATAACATGTAAATTACTACTTAAATATTAAGTCTCTTTATATTTCTTATAATCTTAGTACTTTTTTCTCAAGCTTGATTTTCTTTAAATGTTTTGGCTCATTTAACGGGATATGCAGCTTTAACAAATCTTTTAATTTTATGCATAGTTATGTTAGACAATATTGGACCTATCATTCTGAAATTTTCAGCTGAGAGAAAATTTATTTTGTTTCCTTACAAACTAACTTATACTCTTAAACATACTCAAAAATCTGTTCAATTAAATGTATAATACATATTATAGCTTTAATTATTGCTCGATAAACATTAAGGTCTTTAATTTTTTGTTGAGATATTTATTATTGTTACAGAATTCCAGTTTACAAGATGGTAGTCAGACCTCGGACCCTGTACAACTGTCACCTCAACATGTATCACTTACTCTTAGACCAGGTAAACGCTGCTTTTCTTTCTTTAAACACAAAAAATACACAATAACATTTTTATTCGTATTGTTTTCTCGCAAATTTATTAACACAAGATACTCATACGGACGTACGGGTTTTAGATTTATTTTAAAGAATTATAGGAAATGATAAATTCTATTGGTTGCTTTAGGTAAAACATTTTTACTGGACGTGAACTACAGAGTTGCTGAAAATTTGCCTATAGACTTGTACTTTGTTCTCGATTTCACAACCACCATGAAGAATCGCATTAAAGAGCTAGCAGGACTTACAAAGGACCTGAGTATGTATACTTCAGATTGTTCTGTTCTGTTTTTAACTAAGTAAAATATAAAATGATAAGAAGTTAAAAGGGGACTTAATAAATGTACAGCATATTTTCTACATTTATGCCTAGGTCACAAATTAAACGGCCGCCGCTCTGTTTAATGATTTTTACAACATCGTCGGCTTTGACTATATCGCGAACGTTCTTGATCGACATTAAGTTCATGTTAAATCCAAAAGAGTTCACAGATACATTCTGAGGCAACTACAAAAATCTCAAGCCGCAATTACAACAAACTCGCCGCACGACAAAACGATGACCGCCTGGTGCCTGTGCATGAATCGTCCGGGTACCGGGCGATACTTGTTCGCCAACTTCAAACTTTGCGCACCGGTTAGGGAAGATCACTGCATAGGAGATTGCGCCAACTTGTGTCCTTTAAAATTGAAAGGTGTTTTTGTATAAAAAAAAACAATCGTCCGATCCGAAAAACATCTCCTGGGCGCCGCCCGGCTACCGGACCATCCCTGCCAGATGACTTTTTCAACTCAGTGACCCCAAAAATTATCGTCCAGACGCCGTTAGCTTTTAAGTAGTACTTAAAACTGGACGGCGCCCGCCCGATGAGCAAAATTTTCAGCTGCTGCCGTCCGATTGTCACAGTGGCCGGACGGACATCGGTCGATATTACGATTTTTGGAGAAATAGACGCCGCCCGGCGGTCGTTTGTCATTTTGGACTTAGGCATTAGTGTCATTCTCCAAATATGTTGGCCAGATCTCAGAAAATGTGGATTTTTTCGTCTTATTCCAAGATACATACAAACTTTTACCGTTATAGCTTCACGGTTCACAATTAGAGTCAACGTACACCGGTGAGTATTAGCTGTAACTGTAAAAGTCTGTTTTAACCCCGGGCTTTGATAGGAAAACCCTTATTTCTTGAGTTATGGAGTATCTATATTTCATTGAGTTTCTAGAAATGGAAATTTCAGATACATTTCTTTATTGTATGTTTTTTAGCCCAATACTGTTTGTGATTTAATTCATTTTTTTCTACCTTAACTTCAGTTAATGGATTGAAAGACAAGTTTTCGGAAAACATCTTCATAGGATTTGGTTCCTTTGTCGACAAGCCCGTGCAACCATTCAGTATAACTACAAAACAACAGTAAGTCAGCTTTGATTAGATCTTAAGATTTACTTTATACAGATTTTTTAGGTCGATTGAGTGGGAAGCCACACTCTCATATCCGTTCCTGGAACCATCCAGTACTAAACAATGCGTGTTAAGTGTGCCCTTAAAGAGGTTTGAACCCACGTGACTAGCAATCCTGAGGTTACTAATCCGGCGTGTTAAGCACTCGGCCATTCCGCTGAATTATGAAGTATGATTGTATATCATTTATAAATGGGCTGACTAAAGACATTGTTCGTCATGAACTTTGGCATGCTAGAGATTATAATTTTTTTTTTCACAGGAACTTGAAAGTCTATTTTACTATACATGGGATATTATCATTAATATTGGTTATTTGATAGAATTTTTAGTTCCGGATGTATTTTCTTTGGAACATACAAAATAGTAGTCAAAATGAACAAAGTCTGTTAAATGATTTATTGGGAGGTCAATCTTCTATTTTGTTGTATTGCTTAAAAACCTCGTCTGACCCACCAGTGTGTTTATATTCCTATCAATAATTCCATAACAACTCATATTAAAAATGCAGACGAAAGTTTCTGTTATTCAAATGTCACATTATTCGGGAAATCAACATTCCACTCAAACTACCATAAAACCGATTGCCTTCAAACAAAGTATAGAACAGCAAAAATTCGGGAAATCGGGGTCGCTTTTAGCTAAAGAGAGTTGAAAATCGAATAGGTTTTATGGTATACTACTGCAGACTATAAGAATCTTACACCGGCTGTCGGTACAGACCGGAATATCTAGCTCGAGGCTCTGTCGAGTTTCCGCTAAACAGTTACCCGAGAGCTAGATATTCCCGTCTGTACCAACAGCCGGTGTTTGATTCTTTTTCTTGCATATTACATATCTGTCATATGTTGCGGTTCGGACCGGAATATCCGTCCCGATGGGACCCGCCAATTGGGCGGTAACGAGGCTTGCCGACGGATATTCCGGTCCGAACCGCAACATATATGACAGATAATATTACTGTCGCACAATGTCAAAATAAAGCGACATATAAAGTTATGGAAGCTAGAACTAGGTCGATTTAAATATTCACGGCAAAAAATGTCATAAGTGCTATCAGGGCCGTAAAAAAGAAAACCGGAAAGTACCTAAGGAAAAGGCAATTTCAAAATGATAATACTATGATATAACAATTCGTAGAAAATGGCATACTTATATTTTTTCTATAAATTATAAACTTTAATAGAGTGCAATTTATTGTTTGCATATGTTTGCATTTCAGTTCCTGCAAAATTCTCCAGTTCGCTATTCATTACCATAGCACGACACGAATACTAAAACTATTCCTATAAATAGATTTTCGGACTTTTACAATGTTAAGGTTGTCATTCTATTTAAAGCTTTCGAATTCATATACAGCAATAAAATACATAATAACCCATTGTGTACTGCAGAATAATTAATAATTTTCTGTAGAAGATACAAATGAAGGAAATAAATTACCGAATTTGACTATATTTTTGTTTTGCCTTTTATACTGCCTTCCCAGCGAATTTGTTCCCATTCTTATCATTAATAAAGTATGCTGCGAATCACCGAAAGGGGAAACAAATGTATACTTTTCATATTATATAAATCAGAAGGAATTCTTGATTCCGAATTTATTTTTAGCTGTAAATCGAAGGGATTAATTGATAAAAGTCTCGTCCATAGACAAAAAAATAGTAAACACAAATAGCTCCGCAGCAATGGCATGGGCGTTTATAACACTGTATATATACTACATTGTATATGTTATGCTTACATTTACCATTCTCAGAAATACCAGTTGTGTTATTTGGTTTGTGTTTATGTTCGCAGCTTGGAGAACCCGTGTGTTTTACAGAACACCCAGTGTGAACGGACGTACGGATATATCCACAGAAAAAAGCTCAACAACAACATTGAACAATTCATAGTAAGTTATGTTTCATTTGAAGTATACCAATTCTCATTTAAGTTCAAACAAATCAACATACAAGCATACATACAAACAATACTGACAAGCATACAAACAAAAAACAAACAAAACTAACAAACAAAAAATAAGACAATGTCTTGTATGTTTTGATTCAGTTTACGTTTGATAAAGACACTTCATTGCAGCAAAGAGAAAAATATATTCTCTTCTAACCACCTGGTGGAATTTCACTTGTACACTGTTGTATGTTTTAAGGTTAAAGGTTAAGTTTAAGAGAAGCCTCTCTAGCGATTTCCTTTCGATCGATTTTCCCGCTAGAATTCTTTGGAAATTCTTTAAAAGCCAAATAGTATCTAGGTTTCAGGTGACTTTTGTCTGCCCAGAGATGATCAAACAGTTTATTTAAATCACTTGTGTCTATTGACACAGTCGCCGATAAAATGGCACAAACGCATATAGCTTGATATAGTCTTTTATCGGGAACTGGTACGACAATGACGGCGTCTATTTCCGGGCAAGTGTTTAAAATTTCCTCTAAGTCTTGAGGGAAAATTTTCACACTACCTACAGATATATAGTCATTTTTGCGACCTATCATTACAAGATTACCATCTGTTCGCATGTATGCCAAATCGCCTGTGCAAATCCAGTTGGCTTCATCAACAGTATCAAGAAACTTATCGTGCATGTTCTTATATTCTATAAATCTGTAGACACTGCGTGCATGGACCTCTCCGATCTCTCCAATGGCTACCACGTGACCCTGTTCGTCCACAAGTTTCATTTCAATCCCTTGATCGAAAAATAGCTATTTTGCAATTATGATAAACATTATTTGCAAATACCTACATCAGCAATAAACATCTCTAAAATATGGATATAATAGAAAACACGAAGTATCTTTAAAAAGATACTCGGACGAGGTAAAACTGCTTTAACTTACATGTAACATGGTGGTATGCACATGCTCTTTTCCGGGATCGCGGACGTTATTGGTCGCCTCGTCATTTTAGAATGTCCTTTAGAACTCGACAAATAAGATTTTCACTATAGAATTTTAACATTTAAAGCCGTGTAAAATATTTATTAAAAGGAAATTCACAAATCTTAAATATCCGAGAAAATTAATGATACTCCTTTAGATCATTTTATAATTTTGAGATGTATACGTTTCAGAAAATTATACCAATTTTAAAATAACCAATGAAAATCATTCTAATATTCAGTTCTTCATTGTTAATTTTACAGGAAATTTTACAGGAAATTTTACCAATCTCAGACGGACTTCGTCAAAAAAAGTAATCATATAAGAATCTTACACCGGCTACCGGTACAAACCGGGATATCTAGCTCGAGGTAACTGTTTACGGCAGTAACGAGGTTTTGCGGAGTGTCCACTAAACATTTACCTGAGAGCTAGATATTCCTGTCTGTTACAACAGTCGGTGTTTGATTCTTTTTCTTGCATATAACATGTTTATTGTTTTTCTAAAAGTTTTTCTTAAGTGAATATGAATGTAAAATGCTCAAATGCTCTAAATATAGATAAAACAAAACCTGGTAGAGGTTTCCCAATGATTCCCTCAGCATAGTCGTGAGCATTTGGTGAAGAGAAAGCGGATACACCAGCCGCTTCTGTAGATCCATACCATATAACAAGTTTCTTACAAAATCGTCCAAGCAGTTTGGCATATTGCTTCGAGAATCTGTCATGCAAAAAGCTAAGTTAGTAAAAAAAAAACACAAAAAAAAACAAGAGTTTAGGTCATATACTACATTTGTTCGCCAAAATCGGTCCTTATATATGAGTGAGAGCACCAAACTTATGCCGTATTCCGGTATGTAGATTAAAGCTAAAATCTAAAGTCTTTTCAAACGCCGAAAAGTCTTTTTTACCCCAAATCTATATGTTCACGCCGATTTATATACGATAATGAATGAAGATGTAACAATCGGCGGAAAAGGCGATATTTTTTTATTTTGTTATCATGATTTCTTGAAGCGTCTGGACGTACAGCTCCAACCCTGTAGTGATCCATTTTAAAATTTCGTTTTTACCCTTGCAGCACATTTCATAAAAAGATAAGACATCGAATAGTGTTGGACATGAAATGATTTTTAAGTTTTGATTTCAATACTCGAATTAAGGCGACGCACCTTTCTCCGGCAAATTTGATAGCTTGTACAGTTGTAAAGTTTGTCTCATTGCCAGAACTGTTAGTAAGGTCTGCTAAAAGGTAGCCTGGTAAATAAACATGTGTACATCTTTCCTTGTGTATGATGTTAGACAGGATATCTGAAGAGAAACAAAAATAGAAATACATTGTATCAATCGATCGATCGATTGATTGATTGATTGATTGATTGATTGATTGATTGATTGATCGATTGATTGATTGATTGATAACGATGCTTTATATTTATCAAGTTTAAAACATATTCAGATTTAATTACCAATGTTGTTTTGATGCAAGGACAAAGCCATGTCTACAAACACTCGAGTAGCACCAGAAGCTAGAAATGTTCTTGGTGACCCTACACCCCAACCAAAAGGTCTGTCGCAGAAAAACCGTGACTGGCTATCGATTCCTAAACAGTCGTTGATTAGAAAAGTACTGTTAAACAGGCCAAAATGACTATGACCTACAAGCTTAGGTTTTCCAGTGCTCCCTGATGTTGTAAAGTAGATAGCCAAATCTTCAGGAAAAATGTCTGGCAATTGTACTTCCGGTATTGTGACAAAATCCATGATGTTAGTTGTATTTTCCTTAAAGCTATAGGTAATCATTTCTGCTTTTTTGTTATAAATTATGTTTGAGAGAGAAGCTATTCCACTAGACAATTGAATATTATCTGGCAACGCCCAGCTTTGGTCCCCTTCTTTCATGTCCATAATCAAAAGTTTCGACTTGTTGTCGCGAACAGTATTGATTACGTCACTTCCGTCGGCTCTACTTTGAATGATTGATATTGGTATACCTCCAGCAAACTGAACACCAAACAACGAAACGAGCATATTTAAAGAGTTTTTCATGCAGATAGCTACGGTATCCCCTTTTTTAATTCCAAGGCCGGTTACATACCATCCGAAGCTCCGACTCTTTATTAGCAGCTGTTGGCAAGTTATGAAATCCCTTTTTCCATTTTCATCATATTCCACAAAAGCCTCTTTATCGGGAAATAGATGCGCCCAGTGGTGAATCATTTCCATATGTGTTTTATAGACATAGTGTTTCAATTTCGGAGCGCTAGCGTAACTTAAATCACTCTGCATTTTTATACTTCTTTTGATGAAGCTCGACCTGAAGAATATATTAAAATATTAAAATGAATTACATGTAAATAAAATAAGGGGAGAATTGCAATTGTTAACAACGAGTCTTTTAATTAGATAGAAATACGTAACCCTTGTACTAAATATATTTATCCTGTCCATATTAAAGTCGGACTTGTATTGGACCTGGATGCGGTGTTTAATTTCTGCTAGCTCTAAACCAAAAGTAAAACGTCCTGATACCAAAATGGCGCTGTCCATAGAACAAAATGGCGCGCTCCATATACTAGTACATTCTGAATGCTTTGGATTTCTAGGTGAAGTTTAATATCGTCACTTGTACGTGAAATTCAACAAACATAGTTCTTCCATCTCACGAGAAGGAAGAATAATTATGTGAATATAATTTTATGCAAGTGTTAAACTTTTAAATTTCATGATGTTTTTATTCGAACATTATGTTAATGATTAAACCCTAGTTATATGTATATAAATCTCACCTGTACTTAAGAAAAGTCGATGCCTATCTCCTGATTTACTGTGACTAAAACACAAAACTACAAAGTTAAAGTTACATTTACCTAACCGATTAACGTAAATTTTAATACAGTGATCGCAGTGCGCTTCTTTTGATTATTTATAAAATCACATACAGAGAAAACCACAAACATTTCATCCGACTATAAATTATGCCTAAACATGTCTGCTTTATTGCAACTGATAAGTGTTACCTATCTTATTCAAAGCACAACAGTAACCTTTTTTCTATGTGTATATAGGAAATAGAACGCATAGAGGCTCGAAATGATACAAACAAATTCAAAATCTTATCATATGTGATGTGTCAAAACCTAAGTCCATAAATTAAGGTATTCGTACGCACATTCCATTTTCGAAAAACTAAATACTAGAAAGAATAATACATATACATTTTCATGTATACATAAACATGTTGAGGTCTTGTTATTTCAAATGTTTTCACTCTTGTTTTAATTGTTTTTAAGAGCTGGTTCCTGTTCTATGTAAAATAGCTGCTCCTTTTCCTAGTTGAGCCATGTCATTTCAATGTTTTTCTCATTCTGAGCCTTTGAAATACCTTAACATTTAACCTATGTGTCATTTACTGATTAAGGGGATAATGAACCTCTCAACTCTATCATATATACTTTCAGAGAGATCGTTTATTATATTTTTCAGGAAACCATTAGGACTGCTCAGACATCAGCAAACTTTGACCCAATGGAAGGAGGGCTAGATGCCGTACTACAAGCTGCGGTGTGTCCGGTAAGAAAGTTGCAAATATCGAGCTAGCAATTCACACATATTTATTCTTTAACAAGACTGCCACTGGATCCAAATACAAAATGGTATTACGTTCAGTATAATTGCGAGTCTGGCATGGTCAAGGCCACTGTAATCTTGACCTTTGACCGAAAGACCTGAAAATGAATAGGGGGCACTAACGTCCAAACCATATCTTAGGACTGTAGACTGATGGGGTTTAAGAGATTTACATATTGTTTACCACGTATGTTAGATGCTAGTATATAAGAAAGAGCAAAGATAACGCTTAAAATAGCTACAGTTGGTCGTGCTATTCCAGATAAGATATACTTAAAATGTAAAAAATACTTAGCATTGTCATAATTAAAATTATTCGGCGGGAAAATTAATTCAAATAATTTGCTCGTTACCTATACTTTACCGTTACAGGACATTGTGGGTTGGAGGGACCACTCCAGACGTGTGTTAGTGTACATGTCCGACAGTGGGTTTCACTTCGCCGGTGATGGAAAGGTAAAACACTATAATATTCATACGACATATTGAGTTATACCCAATTTTACTTTACAAATGTAATGACCATTTGATAAAAAGAAATGTTTAAATCAACCACAATTACGTAAATAGTAAGATGATTTTAATTTAACAGAAGTATATTATAATTTATTTTATTTATTATTATTTATAAGCTTGCTGGGATTGACAGGCCTCAGGATGGTTTGTGTCACATGGCGCCCTACAACGGAAGCAAGGAGCAATTTATTTATACACATGCGGCGATATATGTAAGCTTACTATCATCATGGTATACCATGTGACTTTTTGTAATCTGTGTAGGGCAAAAAATAAGTACATAATACGGTCCATATAGTATTTCATTTCATTTTTTTTTTAATATTTCATCATTTTTTATACGATAAAGTGTCCGCTTATTCTATCGATTTATCAATACTTGTTAATGTTAATGTTAAAAGGAAAAAGTAGTGTTTTATATGAATTTCTACTTGTTCCGACTTTATGAGAAAAATACTGACTTTTTTCCTAAAAAACAACTTTATTTTTATGGGTTACTCGATATAATGAGCGGGATCTATACTTTATCTCATAAATGATTAAATATTAAGAAGATAATGGAAATGAAGATTGGTTTTTCATATCACAAAAAGTCACGTCACTAGGCACTGTGAACATTTTTTATCTAGCTCAGATGATAAAAATTTCACATATGTTGTGCTTTATGTATCCCTTAATTTCTTTTTTTGCGGATGATCACCATTTTCATGACTTTTAGGCACACCTTTTATTTTAATGACAATCTTTAAAAGAACAGTATATATACAATGTATAAAGTTACTGCATTTAAAATATTTTTAATTACATAGCTTATATTAATTAACATTGCACCGGTGAAGATATCTTAACCTTATGAATTCACGAAACACGTTTTGATCCGCAATATTTCAATTATAGGAATTAATATTTTTTACTTCAAGAATAAAACTTCATAAATTCAGTTTACTGAATTTAAGTTACGAACCTCACGTTTAATGTTCACGTGACCTGTAGCATGCTGCTGTCATTTGAAGAAAGCCCCGCCTTCCTAGTATAATGCATGCATGCACGGCCTCTTGGACAAGTATAGCAAAACTAAGAAAAATTGACTTTTATTCTAAAGGATAATTATATTCAAGTAAGAATACACTGATTTGTTTATTCATTAAAGTTACAGATGTTTGTATCAAATTTCACCAAAATTTTAGGAATGTAAAAAAAGAACGCAAAATTGTTTAATTATTATGAACATACAAAAGCTTACTTTACGAAGAAAGAATTAATGAAGTTTAAATCGTGAATTCATGAAGTTCAAAAGGCATGAATTCGTGAAGTTATATTCCAAAATTTGAGAAGTATAATATTGAAAGATGAAAAAGTGAAGTTGTATTGGTGACTTAACTAACGCAAAAAAAATAATGTCTCCATCGACGGTCTTTCGTAGTTGGTATTGATTTATTTTTCGATCGGTTTGGTTAATTTTTGAATACTTAAAGAGAACAAATTTTAAAAAAAGTATAAATAACTTTTCATAAATTATTATTGTTATCATAAATGGTTACAATATCATAAATGCTGCATCTGTTCCGTAAGAAACTTGTTTCTAACATTTTCGTCTAAACTACAAATTTTTTGTTACTTTGTTTTTAACATTTTCGTCTAAACTACAAATTTTTTGTTACTTTGTTTTTAACATTTTCGTCTAAACTACAAATTTTTTGTTACTTTGTTTTTAACATTTTCGTCTAAACTACAAATTTTTTGTTACTTTGTTTTTAACATTTTCGTCTAAACTACATTTTTTTTTGTTACTTTTGGCACCATGTAACAGATTTTATAACTTTAATGATATTTATATCAGGATTATCCATCATACGGGCAGTTAAGAAAGGTTCTGGCAGATAATAATATCAACTCATTCTTTCTTGTGGAGGAGACAGATAAAAAGATGTATGAAGGACTAACAGACATGATCGGGAGCCAGTCATCCACGGAGACTATGAGTACAGAGGGAACCAAACATATTGTACGGCGTATAAAAGAGTTCTTTGAAGTATGTAAACTTATGCACGGATGTTTCAGAATAATTTTGCTTTTTTAAAATAGGTGTTTTGTTGTCTTTCTTCAGTATTTATCATATGTTTGTTTGTTACGATGTCGGCTTACGGTGTCGGCGTAATATTTTTCTCTTTTTTCTATGTCTACTGACATATTGCTTTAAAACTTTCTTGCACGAGCACATAATCTCAGGGACTTTACCAAAATTACATTGTACATGTATTTACTACATGTACATATCGACTTCCGGTTAGGTTTTTTCGTACCATCCTACTCCTTTCCTATTCCCTTTAAACTTTTACTTCATCCATCATCCCAATCTTCAGACTGCGGGAAATAACTCTGTTTAGGACATTTTTTTACTTAAAACTTCGTTTTATTTAAATCTATATTCTATTTTTATATTTCAACCTGGTAGGTATTACTTTGAATAGTAACTATCGTCTTAAATTCCAGACAAGACCTATAACTCTGTCATAGGTATAAACAAAATTGCACCCCTTTTTTCGACTTTTTGGTTCAATTTTTATACCGCCCTACTGTTTTAGAATATGGTATTTTTAGATATTATCTTACTTATGTCCTATTCCCCAACATAGTTAACTTTTCACCATTTTATTGGATAGTTTTCAAAGACCTCTCCCTATCAAGTCGAGCTTTTTATTACCCTGAGTGGTTGTCACAAGTGGTTGTTTGCAAGACGTTATTACGCTTAGACGAATATGTTTAAAACAAACTAATGTTATTGACGGTTTCGATCTTGTATGAAAGTCCATTCAACTAGTTTGTTGAAGGTCCGTGCTTCTACTTCTGTTTAAAATCGGTGCCTGTAACAAAAGAGGCCTCAAGTTATACTGAAATGACGTCACGTGACTATAATGATATCCACGTGACTGACCCTTTCCAATACATCAACAAGAATAACACCTCAAAAGTTTGTTTTCATATTACAGAAATTAAGTAAAAAGGTAGAAATCCATGCAGAAGATCTTCCTGACGAAATTGACGTCATTGCTGAGACAAACTGCAATAATCAGTAATATACGAACGGCAGCACGAGAAAACGACCTTTAACGTCAGTTTACAAATGACGTCAAAAGACGTTAACCTTGTCATTTACGTTAAAAATAGAAAAGTGAATTACCCTTGAAATGTTAAAGATAAATATGAATAGGTAGCAATAAGCAAATTTCAAATGTTTTTATGCCACCGCAGCATCTGCGATGCGGTGGCATATAGCGATTCACCTGTGTGTGTGTGTGTGTGTGTGTGTGTTTGTTTGTTTGTTTGTGTGTGTGTGTGTGTTATATAGATTATATAGTGAACTTAAAAAATCTTCTTGTGAAAAACCACTAGTCCAATTTCAACCAAACTTGGCAGGATTGATCCTTGGGTGAAGGGGTTCCAAAGTTGTTCAAAGAATTTCATTCCATGCAGAAATCTGGTTGCCATGGCAACCAAAAAGAATTTAAAGAATAAATTTAAAAAATCTTCTTATAAAGACCCAAAAGGCCTAGAGCTTAGATATTTTGCATAAGGCATTGTCTGGTAGACCTCTACCAAGATTGTTCAAATTATAGCCCTGGGGTCAAAATCGGCCCCGCCCCGGGGGTCATTGATTTTCACTATATGTACATATAGTAAAAACTTAAAATACCTTCTTGTAAAGACTGAAAAGGTCTAGAGCTTAGATATTTTGCATAAGGCATAGTCTGGTAGACCTCTACCAAGATTGTTCAAATTATAGCCCTAGGGTCAAAATTGCCCCTGCCCCTGGGGTCATTGATTTTCACTATATGTACATATAGTAAAAACTTAAAATACCTTCTTGTAAAGACCCAAAAGGCCTAGAGCTTAGATATTTTGCATAAGGCATTGTCTGGTAGACCCTTACCAAGATTGTTCAAATTATAGCCCTGGGGTCAAAATCGGTCCCGCCCCGAGTGTCATTGATTTTCACTATATGTACATATAGTAAAAACTTAAAATACCTTCTTGTAAAGACCCAAAAGGCCTAGAGCTTAGATATTTTGCATAAGGCATTGTCTGGTAGACCCTTACCAAGATTGTTCAAATTATAGCCCTGGGGTCAAAATCGGCCCCGCCCGGGGGTCATTGGTTTTCCTTATATGTATATAGTAAAAACTTATAGTAAAAACTTTAAAAAAATTTCTTCTAGCAATTGACAAATGCTAGAGGTTAGATATTTTGCATGAAACATTGTGAAGTGAACTTCTAGCAAGATTGTTGTTGAATTATAGCCCTGGTGTCAAAATTGCCCCCGCCCCAGGGGTCATTGATTTTAAATATAATTATATATATATAGTAAAAAATCTTATTGTCTGAAGGTACAAGGCTTAGAGCTTTAATATTTGTTAAATGATATCATCTATAGGAACTCTACCAAAGTTGTTCAAATTTTGCTTCTAGTGTCAAAATTAGCCCCGCCCCGGGGGCCATAGGTTTTCCTTATATGTATATAGTAAAAAATTAAAAAAAAATCATTTTCTCTCAATTTACAAAGGCTAGAGTTAAGATATTTTGCATGAAACACTGTGTAAGGAACCTCTAGCAAGATTGTACAAATTATAGCCCTGGGGTCAAAATTGGCCCCACCCCCAGGGGTCATTGATTTTCACTATGTACACATAGTAAAAAAATAAAAAAATATTTTTGTCTGAAGGAACAAGGGATAGAGCTTTGATGTTTGATTTATAATATCATCTATAGGTCCTCTACTAAAGTTGTTCAAATTTTTCCCCTGGTGTCAAAATTGGCCCTGCCCGGGGGCAGTGATTCTCATTATGTACACATAGTAAAAACAGAAAATAAAACAAATGTTTTCTGAATGGGAGAAAGCTACAGCTTAGATATTTGACTTGAAATGTTGTTTGGTGGACCTGTATCAAGATTGTTTTGAATTAAACCCTTGGGTCCAAAATTTTGCCTTGCCCAAGGGGACAGTGACCTACTTTCTTCTCCTTTGATGTACAGCAATGAAATTTTGACCATGTGCACAGTTTTAGTTGTAAAATTGAACTTTGATATCAGGTGACCTAGATTTTGTTGATGTGACCTACTTTCTTGTCCTTTGATGTACAGCTATGAAATTTGAACCCTGTGCACAGATTAAGATGTAAAGTGAACTTTGATTTCAGCTGACCTAGATTTTGACAAAGTGTCTTACTGTGTTGTCCTTTTGATGTAGTCATGAAATTTAGGCTGTGTGAAATAGGCTTCACCACCAAATTCACTAGACTCGAGTGCATTGATATATTCCTACTCTGATCTTTTATTGAGTTAACATTAGATTTAACCACTTATCTGATAATAAGAATAAGATAGGTCAGGGATCTATGCTTTATGACAATCTTCAAAATTGTAAAGAAACAAAAAAAATCTGTTCCTACACTACTATTTAGTGTTGTATTAATGCGGTGGCATAGCATTTTTCTCAAATGCAATCTTGTTTTTATATTTATTTATTTATTTCAAGAGCTATATAATTGACTTTCTTTAAGAATTCAATATGTCAATTAAAACAAAGAAAGTGACGTTAAGGGTTGTTTCCTCATGCTTGCGTTCAATTACATCTTCAATAAATACGGTATTATACTTTTATGGCCATAATAAATTTTATCATAGATCTATATTAACTTTGTTGAAAAAAAGTTGATAAAGATCTGGTTTTAGGTTGTTAAATTATTATTTGGCTCACTCATATAACATTGCTTATCATACATGCAGTTGGTGGGAGCACAAAACCCCGGGCCTGGTTTGCGCTTTGACTCTGAGGTTCGAGGCATGACTTGTTTGTACCATTTCGCTGTAGAAGAACGTTTATCGGCAACAAAAAACTGAATCTGGCGATGACTTCGAATAAGTCCGTTTTGCATTTTTCTTTACCATTCAATATTATAATATTTGAAAGTTCCCAAAAATCAGATGTGTTCCACTCATAAAAGATATTGCATTCTTGAATATGCCAGAAACTATTAATAGTTCGCAATTATTATTATTTTTATTCATTATTTATCCTTAAACTGTGTAATAAATTATATATAAAAAATGTACGTAAATTTTACTACCCTCGTTTCTATCAAATCCACAAACACACACGCATGGGTCAAAACATGTGAACGCTGCAAAGATGTCTTTTACATATTTTATCTTGTATGTTTTCATGATTTTGCTTTTGCAAATCCTTATTAATTAAAAGGATGATATCATTCTGTCCTATTGCTATTTAATATAACATCATAGTTCGAAATTTGAGCCGCGTCACGACAAAACCAACATAATGGGTTTGTGACCAGCATGGATCCAGACCAGCCTGCGCATCCGCGCAGTCTGATCAGGATCCATGCTGTTCGCTATCAGTTTCTCTACTTGTTATAGGGTTTGTAAGCGAGCAACATGGATCCTGATCAGACTGCGTGGATGCGCAGGCAGGTCTGGATCCATGCTGGTCGCAAACGCACTATGTTAGTTTTGTCGTGACGCGTCTCATTTATCTTTCGCGTCATGAAACGCTTGTAGTATTGTTTCCTGCTTAACTCCATTACACAAGATTTTATATTGTTCCTGTTGATCATTTGACCAAAATTGTTTATACCTTATTTTTCAGGCGAGTTAAAAGTACATTCAATTTGAAAGAAGGGTCTATAAAGTGTGTTGATCTAGAAATCGGGAAAGAGGTAAGTGGAATGAATAATGCGTAAAATTATGATAATACAATTGTTAAAGCGATCGTGAAATTGACTAGAGGATAGAATCTCACGAAAGCGCCGATTTTGAAATCCAAATACAAGTTTGCTTCTTAAAAAAGAAGCATGCAGGAAAGCTTTTTGCAGTCTTTAAAGATAATTTAATTTTACAAATGGCGGGAAAGTAAGAACTTCTGATTGGTCGAATTGTGCCTGCAAACAATAGCAACATATCAGCTATTTCAATTTCCGCCAGTATCCGAATACAAGTAATAGATTTAAAGATCTATACCATATCGAACTTAAACAAGATGTTCATCCACGAACTAACAAAGAGCAGCTTATATTATCTTAATTTATTTTTAAGATACTTATAGATGACTAAAATAATTATATACATATATTTGAGTTACATGAGGAGTGCAAACGATCGCAAAAAGAAATTGTCTTTGGGCAAATTTTAATAAATGATTAAAAGTTAAATGTTTGTTACCCATCCAATATTTGACGTTTTGATCATATAAATCTCCATTACTCACTATTTATAGGTGTACATAAACGTGTCTATAGTAGCAAATGAATGTCCCAAAGATGGGAGCACACGAAAACAATTTAGACTTGTACCTTCTGGGCTTCAAGAGGCTCTGCTCGTAGAAGTGGACTTCATCTGTGATTGTAAATGCAAATCTTCCGAGGTAATAATTCAAAAACGGCATAGTTCTGTTACCGTTGTTCAATGGAATGATATAGAGGATATTTGTTTAGTTCAGTGTAAGATCGAAATATATTTCACCGAGTGAGCACCAAAAGGTATATTTCACGAGTGGCGCAGCCACGAGTGAAATATGAACTTTTGGTGTTCACAAGGTGAAATATATTTCGATCTTACACTAAACAAAACAAATTTTCTTTTTATTATATGCAAAGAAACGTTTAAAAAGACATTTAAGCATAGTACTAAATGAAAAGGGCGCCAAATAATAATACAACGTGACGTCATTTACGACGTCACGTCATTAAGTTGGTTTCCATTATTGTGAACGCTTGTATTTCACTGAAACAACGTACCGGGCTCAAATATTCAAAACAGTGAAATTATCAAATTGATAATTTCACTGTTTAAAACAGTGAATTATCAGTTTTTATTTCACTGATATATTTCTATAAACCACCGAAAAGCATGTAATAAATGATTTTATTTGAGTAAGTACTAATGTTAAACGGTAAAGTGCGATTATATTTGAGTGAGTACTGATGTTAAACGGTAAAGTGCGTTTTTTTTAGTGAGTACTGATGTTAAACGGTTAATTGCGATATTTCTTAGTGAGTACTGATGTTAAACGATATTGTACGATTTTTTTGAGTTACTACTGATGTTAAATGGTAAAGTGCGATTTTATGTGTGTGAGAACTGATGTAAAACGGTAAAGTGTGATTTTGTTTGAGTGAGTACTAATTTTAAACGGTAAAGTGTGAATTTATTTGAGTTAGTACTAATGTTAATCGGAGTAATACGATTTTTTGAGCGAGTACAGATGTTAAATGGTAAAGTAAGATTTTAAATACGTGAGTTTTGATATTAAACCGTGCAAAATTTTATTTGAGTGAGTCATGATGTTAAACGGTATAGTAAGATTTAATTTGAGTGAGTACTGATGTTAAACGGTAAAGTGCGATTTTATTTGAGTGAGTACTGATGTTAAACGATGTAAGATTATATTTGAATGAGTACTGATGTTAAATGGTATAGTTTAATTTTATTGGAGTAAGAACCGTTGTTAACTTTGTCTTAAACAGATCTTGTTGGAATTTATTTACATAATATTATTTTAAATTAGAGGAGCGGGGAGTTTTGCCAACAAAGGTTCTAATATACATTTATTATCTGATTAGTTTAGTTTATACAAATTTATTTAAGTTCGATTGTGTTGGAAGCTATAAGCTTATTGAAACACTCTCGAATCCGTTTCTGGAACCAACCAGTACTAAGAAATGACTGTAAAGTTTCTTGCTCAAGGAAACAACAGCTTGGCCCTGACAGGGTTTGAACCCACGCGGTCAGCAATCCTTAGATTACTAGTACGACGCGTTAACCACTCGGCCACACCAAGTTGATATTGAAGAGACATTAGATATCTAATACAAATCAAATACATTACATAATTAAGTGTTCTAACTAAATGTAATTCAAAAACGTGAAATATACATTCCATATTTGCTAATAATGATGTACGTGACTAAAATATGTTGCTCCCTATCTATTGTACATGTATGTATGTATTTGCTTGTAGTTCCATCATTGGCAAATAGCCTTATGGAATAATTGAATCTAACTCTAATGTCATCACTATTGTTGATTTGTTATAGAAATTAGATGAACAGTGTTCAAACAAAAATGGAACATATATATGCGGGGTATGCAAGTGTAAACCTGGAAGGAGCGGGGAGTTTTGCCAGTGTGATAATGATGACACCTCCTCTGATCTCAGCACTCAAGAAGTCAACTGTAAAAAGTGAGCTTCTTTTATATTGCACATAGACTCAACACTTGTCCGTGTTAAAAAACTATGCGCTATTGTCTGTTTTTCCTTGTAGTAAACAGTACGACATTTTTAGTGTTTCCCAAAAAAATAAATGTTATTTATTGTTTTAATTTATAATAGCTCATGTTTTAACTTGCGGAATAAGTATAATCAATATGTACAGGTCAGTGTTTATTACTAAGCATTTACAAAATTAAAAACTATAGTCTATAGTCAGGAACGGCGCAGCCATTCTTGACCAATTTAATTTAGTAAATTCTTACTAATAAACACTAACCAATTTAGTGTTTGAAGTTATTTTTTAGGTTAAACATATTTTATTTATAATCAGATACAGTACATAATATACATTCATTCAATATATACAATGTTGAAATGGATTAGAACGAAAGATATAAAATCTTATGAAGTTCTTCTCCAGTAATTTTTTTTTATAAAACTGTCGATTTACCAGACTTATTAAATATAGTCGATTTACCAAAGTAAATGTTTTATGATTCATTTGAAATACTGCAATTCTACATAATGGACAAAAAATAATTTGAAACTCTAAAGTACTTTTTTCCGGTAGTCTGATGAAAAACTTGAGTGTTTGAATTGTGTGTTATACATGCAGTTATACATGGTTTGATTTCTATTTATATGTGTATGCTTAACTAATTAAATTAAATATAGAAACTTCGATGCACGACATGTCGATTTATATGGTTTAATTTCAATATTTCAAAAACCTGTAAAATAGTATGTAACTTTTTTACTCTTGGTTAAGATCCAAGTTATGTTGCACGGTTTTTTGTTTGTTTTTTGTTTGTTTTTGTTTTTTTTGTTGTTGTTGTTTTTTGTTTGTTTGTTTTTTTTTTGGGGGGGGGGGCGTAATATATATATACATGTACACGCCCAGCAAACACATCTTTTTGAGTGACTTCCGGGATCCAACTGTAGCGCTAATATTTGCACAGCAAGGTGTCGAGGTTTTGTAATCATTCTTTAACATTACACGATCTCTATGTTAAAATCCGAAGAATTTTATCGAAATGCTTTTGCCTCGTGAATATCATATAATATTATTACGAAACTTCACTAAAGCGCTATCTGAGGTTTTTACAAATTTGTCTGCAGGAGTAGTAAAACTTTTCGTCAATTTTCATTTTAGAAATATCCAATAAAACTACCATTACGTGTTAACCGAAGTTCGACTGAGAGATTGCCAACGATGTGAAGCTTACTGTTTAGTTGAAGCTCTTCATTGGAGGAAAGGCGGAATTTGTAAAATACTCTTGCGCTTTTAAATATGAAATTGCGCTATAATATTTTGAAATTCATGTGATTATCTCATGACATTCTCCGTTTTTAATAGAGATCGTAATTTGAATGAAAACCTCCAAACATCTTCCTTGTTGTACAAAAAAAGCGCAACCGCCTTTTTTCCGGAAGTCTTGACACTGCTGAGCTTGTATTTGTAGGGCGTGATGTACTAAACAAAATGACTGCAAAACTCAATCCCATAAATCACGGCATCACGTATAGGCGAGTTTTGTAGAGTTACGTCATCACATTTTTGAATCCATCTGTTTGTAGAAATAATGAAAGCGAGTCCCTGTGTGAGGACCGCGGCACGTGTAAATGTGGCCAGTGTATCTGCCCTAAAGATTACGAGGGAAAGTTCTGTGAATGTGATAACACAAAATGTATAGGACCAGGAAGTGCAGAAAAATGCACAAGTATGAACAAAAAAACTTTCTTATATATCATTTTATTCACATTTTCATGTCATAAAAGATATAGATCTACGTTTTTACGTATTGTTATATATTTCCAAAGTAGCTTAGAAAATTGGACTTGTTTTGTTAAAATGTATAAGTCTTCAAATAAAAACGAAAGCTTCAAATATGCTTGTTTGAAAATAAAATGGAAGCTTATTGGCTTAAAAGCCACTAACTAATGCATGAATTCATTGCTAAACAATTTAAAAAGGTTTATAAAAGATAGCTTACATATTGGCAGTAATTAAATCTTTTGTTTAATTTATTATATTTAAGGCAAGGACCAAGGGACTTGTGAATGCGGGACGTGCAACTGCAATGATAAATTTCATGGCGAATTCTGCGAATGTCCATCAAATGAGAAATGCGTAGCACCAAATGATAAGGCATGTCTTTGACCAATTTAAACAATTCCATGTATATAACTATGACCTTATTCTCGGAGATGATAATAATTTTGCATGGCAATCATATATGAGCCGCGTCATGACAAAACCAACATAATGGGTTTGCGACCAGCATGGATCCAGACCAGCCTGCGCGTCCGCGCAGTCTGATCAGGATCCATGCAGATCGCTATCAGTTTCTCCACTTGTTATAGGGTTTGTAAGCGAACAGCATGGATCCTGATCAGACTGCGTGGATGCGCAGGCTGGTCTGGATCCATGCTGGTCGCAAACGCACTATGTTGGTTTTGTCGTGACGCGGCTCATATGTCAATGTTATTCTATATTTTGTATTTTACAAAAGTAGTAATATCAAGCTCCATAATTTTATAGAAAACTCTAGAAAATAGAAGGTACTGCTTCCTATCTAATCATATTGCTCTTTGTTCAGTATAAATGCCTCGTCCTTTTATTTTAGCCACGTGATGGAATATATTGGCTTCAAACCTCTATACCCGGCAGAGCAGAAAAGCTTAAAGTCGATTTCTGATAGGAAATAAAACAACAACACTTTTTTTTTCTGTTAGTAAAAAATATTTTTATTGAAATTTCCATGGATATTTAATTTAGTTTGGAAACATATTTTTACTTCAAGAATTATCACCAAAAATCATTATACATGTATATTATACTTTAAAATGTTTTATCATACTTATAACAGAGACAATGTAGCGGAAATGGAAAGTGTAATTGCGGGATATGTAATTGTAGACTGGGCTATAACGGAACATTCTGTGAAGATTGCCCGGTAAGTAGTCGCCCCGTTGTGATACATTTTAGACTGATATTCCAAGAACTGCTACATATAAGTTTGTTAATGTCTAGACAAAGTCTGAAACGCTTAAAATAAAATTACACACCTAACTAAATGGTGGTGGTGGTGTTAGGAGGTTTTCACGTTTTTCACGTGTGGGTAGTATATTGCAGTATGTTGTTTCGCGTACTCTTTTTGTTAAATGCATTGTTTTTAAAATTGCAGTTAAAAAGAATTTTGGTTACAAATGTTTTAACACGCCAACACTTCTTTTTATTAAGTCATTTAATTTGCATTGTATAGCGGTGCGATAATTGTCTGAAGTGTGGAAACGAGATTCAGAAAAGCTGCATTACTTGTCTAGATGAAAACAGGCGTGTTGACAACGCAACTTACACCAAATGCTCCGAGCAATGTGCAGCCTTAAACGTTACCGAGGTGGCAAAGTTTCAGAGAAGTATAATAGCTTTGTGACAACAGTATTTTTATTATCATAACAATTATGAACTATCATCACACTGACCACTGTCGGGGCCCCCGGTTACTAATTCAAGACGATTTAAATACAATATTTCTTAGATAAAAAGTTTGAATTGTCGACATACTGTTACCATTGTAAATATGTGTAGCATCTTACACGAACTGAATGCTGTGTTATATACATGTATACATTGTATATGTAAATTAACCACTTATATACGAGTATATCACAAATAATGTAGCGGTGTTTGAACCGCGACTGAAACATAGTGTTTGATGTATTATATAATTATTTATTGTAGGTGTGCAGCCATGTGGAATGTTTGATAAAGACAAGTGTCAGATCAGTTACCTCATACTCTGTGAGAATGATACAATACATCTACATCGTGCCAAAAATAAACGTAAGTTCATACTGATTGTTTTATACTGATTATTTTATACTGATTGTTTTATACTGATTATTTTATACTGATTGTTTTATACTGATTGTTTTATACTGATTGTTTCGTATTGATTGTTTTATACTGATTGTTTCATACTGATTGTTTTATACTGATTGTTTTATACTGATTGTTTCATACTGATTGTTTTATACTGATTGTTTTATACTGATTGTTTCATACTGATTGTTTCTTATTGTTTCATACCGATTATTTCATAGTGATTGTGTTTCATACTGATTGTTTTTATACTGGTTATTTTAAACTGATTGTTTCATACTGGTTGTTTTTATACTGGTTATTTAAAACTGATTGTTTCATACTGATTGTTTTTATACTGATTATTTAAAACTGATTGTTTCATACTGATTGTTTTTATACTGGTTATTTAAAACTGATTGTTTCGTACTGATTAATTGTTTCAATATTTCCACATACAACGTTGCTTTGTAATATAAGTTCATAGACTACATATTTAACAAGCGTTTATGACGTTACAACTGATGTTCATACTGTCTTATGGTCATTTGTTATTTGTCTTTCATCGCTGTATCAGAAATTATGATATGGGATGAGTTGTTGGTCACTTGCGGAGAAATTGATAATCACTGGTTAGTTATCCAGGAAAGTCGATCTGGTGAACCGACCCCCGATTGAGATATGACCAGAAAAAGTCTTATAATCGTCGTAAAACGATGTATGTTGGCGTCTGTGACATTTCTCGATAAATATGTTCATTAAAGTCGCAGAATTGAAATAGAAAAATGTCGAATTTGATTCCTTATATTTATCTCATTTGAAAAATGCGTTGATCTTGTAATGTTGTAAGACGCTTTAATGGTGGCTGATTTCTGCCATTCCGTGTCTTCGTCTTCGATTCTGGAGGAGCGAAGACACGAGGACACGAAATGGCACAACTCAGCCACCATACGTTTTATATATTTATTTTTTAGTTTGTGTGAGTCCCCCGGACCCACTTCTGATAGCGTTGCCTGTCCTGGGAGGTATCATTGGGGTCGGACTTTTACTGTTGATCATCTGGAAGATTCTCACCTCTTTCTACGATAAAATTGAGTATGCAAAATTTGAACACGAGATACAGGATCCCAAATGGAGCAAGGTGAAGTTAGCGATGAAACAGAGCAAATCCAGGGCTGCGTGTCATAGAAAGTCCTACGTGTATTCTAAGGCCTAAGACATGAAACCAACTTTTAGGAGTAACTTAAGACCGTTTAATTAAACATTTTATCTTTAGTCAAATACTGTAGACTCTCTATGAATTCATTCTCCTGAGAAAAGTTATGAAATACAATAACAGACCCTATTATTCGTAATGTGAAAATGTCTATCAGCATTGCTATTCAGAAATTAAAAGACGTCATAAGTAAGGGCATTTACTTTGAAACGGAAAATAATCTCAGGGTTGGTCTTAAGACTGATTTCAGACATGAGATTTTCTATGAAACGCAGCCCTGAAATAAAGTGTATCACAACTTATATAAATAGTGCTGATCTAAAGATCAAAATACACTCATGTAAACAATTATCCAAAGTTGACTAAATTATTATTATGTTATTGTTGTTTTTTTGTTTTTTCAGACTGACAATCCAATTTACAAGACACCAGTGACATCCAATCAAAATCCTGTTTACAAAGGAACTGTTGATGATTAGATATGTATTTGTAGAATGTGATAAATCTGACAATTAGCGAGTTATACCTTGGTTTTGACTGATGTACTGAAATGAAATCTATAGATAAAACATGTTAAATAACAAATTTTTAAGTGATTTTTAAAGAAAAGGAAGAGATTATATGAGCCGCGTCATGACAAAACCAACATAATAATTAAGTTTTGCGACCAGCATGGATCCAGACCAGCCTGCGCGTCCGCGCAGTCTGATTAGGATCCATGCTGTTCGCTTACACACCCTATTACAAGTAGAGAAACTGATAGCGAACAGCATGGATCCTGATCAGACTGCGCGGATGTGCAGGCTGGTCTGGATCCATGCTGGTCGCAAAACCCATTATGTTTGGTTTTGTCGTGACGTAAGCTCATATGTACTCACTCACACACAGGGCGTCGGTGACGGCGTCGGTGTCACAATTTGGTATGTAGAACCATATTTAAACAAACCGAAACATTTTTTATCCTACATCAAGGTATTAATTGTATGTAAAGTCGATTTTTTTAAAGAAAAAAATAACGCCTGAATAAATGATTTTTGTATGTATACTCGATTTTGGCACCTAAATCAATGATATTATACGCAGATTCGATTTCCCTCGGCCTGAAAAGAGCCTAAATAAATGCAAATGATTTTTGAATGTAGACTCATTTTTCCCGCCCCGAATGATTGATATCGTATGCTAACTTGATTTTCTTCCGTCTGTATAAATTATTTTTTATGTAGACTCATTTTCCCGACCGAATCAATGCTGTAAATATTATATGTAAATTTGCCTTTTTTCTGCCAGAAATAATGATTTTGTATGCTGACTTTTTTGCCCGGCTAAATCAATGATATTGCAGGTAAATTCGATTGCACGATTTTGAATGCACATGTACTTCATGTAATTTTATTCATCCGCCGAACCAATTGTATTGCCAGCAAAATATTTTTACACCGGGAATCCATTGAGAATTAAAGGTATTGAATGTAGAATGATATTGTGTAAAAACGTGTTTTTTTATCCAGAATCATAGATACTATATAAATTTTTGATAATTTTAGAATCAAAGATAATGTATGTAGAAACGTTTTCCGCTAAATTCAAAAGATATTAATTTATTATGTAGAACAGTATTGTATTGAAACATTTTTTATCCTTAATCAATCTTTTTGTATGTAGGGTAGAATTTTTTCCCACCTGAACATAATATATGACACTATAATTATGTGGAAGTGTTTATTTTCTTTTCCTTTGCCAGATTTCTAGCATTACATCTTAATATGAAAATGCTTGCGTCTAAAATAATTTGCTGCGGAGTTTAAGATTTTTTGATATAAACAAAACTTAAAGTTGTGAGTTTTTTTTTTACAAACATTCTTATTATGTCTCATATTTTTGTCTTCATAATGTCTGTCAGTTTATACATGTGTTTGATTATTGTACATATCGTTTGATTGTCTGTGCAAGTTGTTTCTATTATTTTAAACGTCAGAAAAACTCTGTTTTACCAAACATATATTTGATGTACATTGTATTTATGTGGAGTTCAATTGAGCCGCGTCACGACAAAACCAACGTTATGGGTTTGCAACCAGCATGGATCCAGACCAGCCTGCACATCCGCGCAGTCTGATCAGGATCCATGCTGTTCGCGTACAAACCCTATAACAAGTAGAGAAACTGATAGCGAACAGCATGGATCCTGATCAGACTGCGCGGATGCGCAGGCTGGTCTGGATCCATGCTGGTCGCAAACTAATTATGTTGGTTTTGTCATGACGCGGCTCAATTTTTTAGTTCGACTATTCGAAGAATAGGTATTGTACTCACTAAAGAGTCAGCCTCCTATCACACTTTTGTTAAGTTTTTTTTTGCGTCACCAAAACTACAAAAAGAGAATTTGGTTGAAACTTCAGAGCATAAGGAGGCCAGTGTCTCCACAGCTCTGATCGACATGGTTGTTTGACAGATTTATGACCCGTTTGAAGTTTGGAAAAGTTTACATCATACAGGCTCTTGTTTACTGTCAAACACTGAGAATAGTCGAGCACGCAGTCCTACCGACAGTTCTTGTTTGTTTTCTTTTTGTTGTTGCTTTTTAAGAGTAATTATTGGGATTGAAGAAAATCGTCGGAACCCACGGTACGAGTACATATTCCGTATATATACGGTAAATAGCCAGGACTACCGAGGATTGTAATTGGAATTTTTCAATGTAATTTATTATTTTACATGTAAAAATGGCCTATCTTGGTGGAGTTTGCTGTGTTTTTTCAGCAATTTCTAAGCTTCTACAATATCAGAAAATGTTGTATTTCTATTATGTTGTATTTGCTGTCATTTCATAATACATGTACATCAACTTTAAAAAAATAGTCCTGGAGATAATGTAAAACTTGCCATAGACTTGATTTATAACACAGTCCATTCCTCGAGGTTATAAAACTTTCTGAGTCTCATGATTTTTCAATGTTAACGGCGCGTGCCGTGCCAGTTTTGACCAATCATATACCTTAGTTCTGAGTTTGAGTTTGGATAATTTCTTTATAATCTTAGACCTTGGCCTTTAATGTTATAAAATTTGTTTCCCCAGTTCTTTCACAATTCTGTGGCAGTTTCTAAACCAATCAAAAACCTGAGATTTGAACTTGAGCTTAGAGAGTTTTCTAATAACCCGACCTTGGACTTGTTATATGTAAGTCACTCACAACTCATTTAGGTCATAATAATAATATTACATATACTATTCATTGACATAATATTTGTTGTTGTTTATTTTTCATGCTTTTCATTCAAACTCGTGTCTTTTTATTCCAACCATGACAATTCACTTTTCTTTAGTTTATTTTTCGTGAATAGCTATATTTATGACATATTGATGTTGAATATGTTTTTAGCTCACCTGTCACAAAGTGACAGGGTGAGCTTTTGTGATCGCTTTTCGTCCGGCGTCCGTCCGTCCGTCGTCCGTCCGTCGTCCGTCCGTCCGTAAACTTTTGCTTTAAATGACATCTCCTCATAAACCACTGAGCCAATTTCATCCAAACTTCACAGGAATGTTCCTTTGGTGGTCACCTTTAAAAATTGTTCAAAGAATTTAATTCCATGCAGAACTCTGGTTGCCATGGCAACCGAAAGAAAAATCTTTAAATATCTTCTTTTAAACAACCCTAAGAGCTAGAGCTTAGATATTTGGCATGAAACATCTTCTAATGAGTGTCTACCAAGTTTGTTCAAATAATAGCCCTGTGGTCAAAATTGGCCCCGCCCCAGGGGGTCATTGATTTTCCCTATATGCATATAGTAAAAACTTAAAAAATCTTCTTTTAAAGAACAGTAAGAGCTAGAGCTAAGATATTTGGCATGGAACATCTTCTAGTGAGTGTCTACCAAGTTTGTTCAAATAAAAGCCCTGGGGTCAAAATTGGCCCCGCCCAGGGGGTCATTGATTTTCCCTATATGCATATAGTAAAAACTTAAAAAATCTTCTTTTAATGAACTGTTAAGAGCTAGAGCTTAGATATTTGGCATGAAACATCTTCTAGTGAATGTCTACCAAGTTTGTTAAAATAAAAGCCCTGGGGTGAAAATTGCCCCGCCCAGGGGGTCATTGATTTTCCCTATATGCATATAGTAAAAAACTTAAAAAAATCTTCTTTTAAAGAACCGTCACAGCTAGAGCTTAGATATTTGGCATAAAAACATCTTCTAGTGAATGTCTACCAAGTTTGTTCAAAATAAAAGCCCTGGGGTCAAAATTAGCCCGCGCCCAGGGGGTCATTGATTTTTCCTATATGCATATAGTAAAAACTTAAAAAATCTTCTTTTAAAGAACCGAAAGCGCTAGAGCTAAGATATTTGGCATGAAACATCTTCTAGTGAATGTCTACCAAGTTTGTTCAAATAAAAGCCCTGGGGTCAAAATTGGCCCGGCCCGGGGGGGGGGGTCATTGATTTGCCCTATATGCATATAGTAAAAACTTAAAAAGTCTTCTTTTAAAGAACCGTCACAGCTAGAGCTTAGATATTTGGCATAAAACATCTTCTAGTGAATGTCTACCAAGTTTGTTCAAATAAAAGCCCTGGGGTCAAAATTGGCCCCGCCCCGGGGGGTCATTGATTTTCCCTATATGCATATAGTAAAAACTTAAAAATCTTTCTTTTAAAGAACCCAAAGAGCTAGAGCTAAGATATTTAGCATGAGACATGTTCTAATGGGTGTCTACCAAGTATGTTCAAATAAAAGCCCTGGGGTCAAAACCTGCCCCGCCCCAGGGGTCATTGATTTTCCTTATATGTGTATAGCAAAAACTTAAAATTCTTCTTTGAAAAAACCCCAAATAGCTAGAGTTTAGATATTAAGCATGAAACATCTTTAAGTAAATATCTACAAAAGTTTGTTCAAATAAAAGCCCAGGGGTCAAAAACTGGCCCTGCCCGAGGGGTGTCATTGTTTTTAACTATATGTGTATAGTAAAAACTTAAAATATCTTCTTTTTTAAAAAACCTAATGAGCTAGAACTTAGATGTTTTGCATGAAACATCTTCTTATGGGTGTCTACCAAGTCTGTTCAAATAAACAAATAAAAGCCCTTGGGTAAAAATTGGGCCGGGGGGGGTGTGGGGCTATATACAGGTGAGCGACCTTAGGGCCATCATGGCCCTCTTGTTTTTTTTAATCCCAGAGTGATTCCCTCTATCTTAAGTGATAACACCGTACGTACGTCTAGATCAAACACTTAACTATATTATTATATGATCTAAAAAATAGCTACAATCTCATATCACTATGACATTAACCGGTGAATACATCATCTTATCACACACCCGTGCCGATTTTGCGACTCCGTAATATGGTATTGCACGGCCGTGCATATATTTTGACGTGACGTCATTAGCATTAACAAACATAGAGTAAAGACGCGCTAAATGTTAGGCGTTATACTTTAGGCGCGTCAATGAAAAATGACTCTTATTTTACTTTAAACGGTCTTTTATTTTGGGTATGTGATAAACAGAATATTAAATTCGTGTAAGTTCATTACTGAATTTATTGCACTCGTTGAATAAAATAATATTATGCTCGCCAGAGGCTCGCATAATATAATTTTATTCAACTCGTGCAATAAATTCAGTATTGAACTTACACTCATTCAATATCCTCTATATATTCTTATGGCTC